ATGCTGCTTGCCAAGTTGAGAAAGGTCCACTTAGCAAGATTATCAAGTCCCGTAATCTGAAAGCAGGAAACTATGAGGGTGGATTGGTACGCGCATCCCCTGTATTTTGTCATTGAGTCTTATTGACAGACCGCGATGTATAGTGTGATATTGTTGGAACTGGAGGAGACTCTCATTCGACCTTTAACATTTCCACGACCTCCTCAATCGTTGCATCTCCTCTTCTCATGACAGCTAAACATGGCAACCGCGCTCAAACATCGACCTCTGGGGCCGCTGATGTTCTCAATTCTATCCAGCCATTGGCACCCAAGATCGCAGCTATCACTGCTGAGAATCTGTCTCAGGTCTACGAGAAAACCAACTATTCGTTCTTGTTTGCTCCCAATTTCCACCCGGGAATGATGCATTCCAATCCTGTTCGCAGAGGTCTCGGCCTCCGAACGATTTTCAACCTGCTGGGCCCATTGGCAAACCCTGTTGACTGGGCACTGGAAGCACGTGTAGTCGGCGTGGCATACCAGAGCCTTGGTCCAGTATTTGCCGAGGCTTTCAGACAAAGTGGAGCAAAGAAGGCCATGATCGTCTGCGGCGCAGAGGACATGGACGAAATCAGCTGTGCCGGAAAGACAAACTGCTGGAGGCTCTCCGAGTACCCGAACCCTGCATACAAAGCATCAGAAGACGATGACGACTCAAGTGAAGATGATATCAACAACCCTCGCACACTCATCAAGATTGACACCTTCCAGCTCGAGGCATCGGACTTTGGGCTTTCTAGTCATCCCCTTAGTGAGGTTGGCGGAGGTAAATCGCCGAAGCAAAACGCAGAAAAGCTGATGAGCATACTTCGGAATGAGCTTCCACGGGATGACCCCATCTTGGAGTTTGTTCTCATGAATGTGGCTGGTCTACTTGTCACCTCTGGCATTTGCGAGGCCGATACCAGCAACATGGGACCTGGCGATGATGGTCAGGTCATCACCGAGCGTGGCCCTGGCGGTGGTCGCTGGAAAGAAGGCGTGCGTCGCGCACGCTGGGCAATCGAGAGCGGGCAGTCTCTGAAACACTTGGAGCAATTCATTGAAGTAACTAACCAGCTTCAAAGTAGAATGTTGTGAAACTAGCTTGTAGGTCTGGGTTTAATATTTTATAGCCATTTCGGGTCCAAAAAGTTTTCGGATTGGGTTATGCATGGTTCCACCTGTTCTGATGATGCACTGATGTATGTTTGGGTATGTGGATATTTCGGGTCTATGAGCAAATGCCTTTGATTCTCTGAAACCAACAAATATGCTTGTTTTTTTTAAAAAAAGAGCTGAAGCCTGTCCTCACAAGTCTAGACTTGGCTCGGACTGGAGGACATGGCTAGAGCATCATCGTATCTGGTTTTTGTAGACTGAGACCATAGAAAAACTGGTTTGTATAATTCAACCCCAAAGCGCCATTGTATGCATAATTCGTCAAAAAATAAAGACTTAGAGACTAAAGAAGGATATCAGGCCGATTCCTTCGATTCTGCTTGAGCCATCGCAACCTCCAAACTTCTAGTTCGTGTTTGGGAAGATGGGATATCTACCGAGCCTGGAACTGGACCATACTATTGAGAAGTAAGAAATAATGAGTCAGCTCGTGTCTCGCGCATATCGCATAGTAATTCCCCGGAAAGAAATTCTTACCGCTTGGTCCGCTCCTTGTACAACACACGGTGACCGCAGTCCTTGCAGCGAATCTGGTCGCCACGCTTCAGGGGAACACGGGCAGAGCACTCGCCGCACAGGTAGGTGACTGAGGGGCTGTCGATGGCCATGGCGTTGCCGAAACCTCCGGCTTGGTTGTCGAAGTTGTTCTGGGTGCCCATGGAGGGGACCTGGTAGGTTTCGCGAGACATATTTTTGGGTTGAGATTGGTGTGGTGGTAAAGTGATTTATTTTGCGCGCGAGTTGATCGTGCCTGGTGGAAGGATAAGAGTTGTGAGGTGGACACTGGCTTGTAGACTGAGATACTTCGATTCTTTTTCTTTCTGGGGCGCGGGATTTTAGGTGCTTAGTCATGGGGTTGTCAGATTAGTCATCACATCCAGGCCCACCGGGCAATCTCCAGGGCCCGAAGTATAAAAAGTCCTCTAATTTGGTGTAAGAGGTTTACAAAGGAGATATTGAGTTAGATGTTTTGATAGCTTCGTTAATATCATCGATCGTATCTGAAGGTATTTGCACCCTTTTTTCTATGCATTTATCGCGTCATAACTTTAAAACAATCCAGCATGTCATGTATCATCGACCGTGACAAAAAAAATATGAAAATATGGTATATCCCCCATGAAAATGCAAGAAAAATCAGATCCCGGCGCCATGAAAATGAAAATGAAGCAACGAAGCGGTCACCAAGAAGACCACCAAAAGGGTGGATGTTTCAGTAGCAAAATGAAGCAGATAAAAGTTACCAACCACCACCAATCTTCCCCGCAAGCTCCACAACCCGAGTCGTGTCATTAGCAGGTGTTTGATCCTTGCCAACATCACTTTCTACCTTGCGGTAGGTAGTATAAACGAGCTTAGAGAGAGGAATGTTCATGTATTCTGACCAATGCTGCAAGCCTTGATGAATTTTAGCCTCCTTATCAGCCAATGAAGACAGCTGGGACTGAGTGTCCAGTTCAGACTCAGACTCAGATTCCATGGAGAAATAAGCCTCGTCGACACGAGCAAGCCATGCGCGCTGCTCATGTGGTGATGGCTTCATAGATGCATCTAAGGGGTCTCCTTGGGAAGAACCGATGGCTTCTCTGGCGTCCTCGACTCGGATCTGGCCACCTCCATTCGTGCACCCACCAGGACAGGCCATGACCTCCACGTAGGCGTAGTCTGATCCTGAGCTGCTTGTGGAGACAGCATTACGAGATACAGGCTGGCGTCGACCTGCGGCGGGTCTAGCGGCTGGTTTTGCACCGGGAAGCCTCGATACACGCGCGGGCTTGAGCTTCCGGACAAGGTTTTGGATATTTCGGAAACCGTAATAGCGAGCTGCTTTCAAAATGGGTTGGCCCTCATTAGACATGAGCACGTACTCGACGACGTCGACATTCCGTCCGCGGTTGATCACAAGTTCACTGCCTGGGTTGCGAGCTTGGAAATTCATGAGAACGTGGTGTAGGTAGCCTCCAGAGGTACCTGTAGCAAGAGATTGTTCCGCCCGAGAGCGCTTGAAGGAAAGGAAAGAATCAAGTGTTTTTTCAGGGAAGGGCGGGGTGAAAGACGAAGGCAGAGGTTGCAATGGCAGGCTTGGCAGCGAGAAACCTCGAGACGACGCCATAGACAGAAGCTCACGAGCAGTGATAACACAGTCTACGTCGCGAACTGGTTGTGTTTCAGAGCCCGTGGAATCTCCCTGTCGCCACGATACATCTGTGAGTTCTTCTCGACTAGCTTCTAGCTTCTTGTCAAAGCAGGGCATGACTGCCAAATGCCAAATTCGAGAAGGATGAACACCGAGAGACTTGCTCAAGACGGTTTTGAGGAACGTCCCCGAAAGAGCCTGCGGTGACTTGAGTCGAGAAAGATGTGGAAGGATAAAAGGGTGAGTCTTCTCAGCGTAACAGATCCATCCCGGACATGCTGAGGATAAAATAGGTCGTTTGGGAAGAGAGTCATCCGACTGACTAAGCGAGTCCGAAACCTCGTCTGCAGTCAGTACCAGTACGGCCTCTCGCATGGCATTTGTGTCGACAACCCATGTAAATCCATTTCCGTGTTTACCCCCACCTCGCAAGCCCTGCGGGCCACTCAGTAATTGGTTGATCATATACCCCGCTTCCTTCTCCGAAATCCCATAGATTGTTGCTAGACTGGCTCTGACTTGCGGGCTGACACTGGCCACGAAGATCTTACCCTCTCCAGAGTCTTCGGCATTATTTACTGTCACCCCATGATGCTCATGCGCCAAGGGAATCTCCGGGTGCGCGTCAAGTGTATTGAGGACCTCGGCATGAGACTGGAGTGATATCAACACTGCTTCGGCAGACGTAACGCAGCCAGAGCAAGCGAGGCAGTCTGTCAAAGAAATCTGTGCGGGGGGTAGATTCTCAGGCTCGATTTTGTCTTCCGTTGTTACTTCATAGGCGTTCTATAATTAAAAGATTAGTCAAAGGAACTCAAATGTCACACAAGTCCCATGAGACCAATAAGCGGACATACTTCTAGATTCTTTGTATCTTTTGGTGGAAGTGTTTCAACTGGTTTGATACACGCGACCCCCGGCGAAATGAAATCATTCAGATCGTCTGCTGACAGGATCGCGCTCATTGTAGCGGAGTACTGCTTTGGGCAGCCCTGGATAAAGAGAAAGAAATGGCCTGAATTTGGCTTATGTTATTGTAAGGAATAATCAGAATAAAGATATCGAAACCTTGGAGAATTAAAATAGTTCTGCAAGAAGGCGACAAGCCAACGGCATTGCACGCTTTGTCATGGTGGCGAGATCGGAGATAAGCTCACCGCCTTATGCGGGCCTTTATTCACTCTGATTGGTCAGACTGGAAGTATGCACGTGACCCATCTGATGTTTCTTTCAACTTCTACTTTCCACTGTTCGAGTCTCGAGTCTTTGTCTTCTCGTATTTTTTCAATTCATACTATGTAGGAACCATACTGGATTACATTTAGCCAATTGGTGAGCAAACATGGAGAGTAAACATGGGCCATAAAGAGCCCCTGGAATCCTCGTTTTTGTCAAACTAGCAACTTCTCTACTGTTTCTTTAGCATATCTATCACCTTTAACACAGGAAAGGCCATGCCGAAAAGGAAGGTTCCTTCCCAGTCCGATACCTCCAATATCTCCAGGCCGACACGTTCCAAACAATCAATAGGTTCCCAATACGCGAACAAATCACCCGCCTCAAGCAGAAAGAGTCGTCTAAGCAGTAGTGGCCTCACTGGACTCATCGATACCGTGATTGGAAAATTCCCAACCGGCTCCAGCAGCCCCAAAGACGCACAAATGACTGGTCTTGATGGTCAGTCAGAGAACCCTGACCTTCTCTCGCCACCCGAAACTGCATCCGGATTTTCACTTACACCTGGAAGTGAACCTGAGGTACTTCAGAAGTACCCGGCCCAAAAGCCCAATCTGCTTGAGAAGCGGCGCCCTGGTAATCGTGGAGGCAAGAGTAAGGGGGTTAGCAAGCCTCAAAACATTGCAATGCAGCAGGTGATATCAACAACACTGCAAGCCGCGAGAGAAATTCTGTCCAGGTCAGAATTGGAGGGGACTCGGTTTGGTTATATTGTCAACAGATGGACCGCTCCTGTTCTGGACCGTAATTCGGTGGAGTATCCAAACGTCGCCACTGTGGTTAGGGTCCTGCAAGGAGACACATATGACCGGGCCCTCGAGATGCAAGATGCTGGCAAAACCAGCGATCCCATGCCCGTATGTGTTCTCAACTTTGCCAATGCATTCGTCCCTGGTGGGGGCTGGCTCAATGGTGCTAGAGCCCAGGAGGAACAGCTTTGCTACCGAAGCACGCTCATTGATACTCTCCATACCCGGTTCTACCCATTGCACGATCTGGAGGGCCTCTATTCACCTAATGTGATTGTTTTCCGAAATAGCGTGGAAAACGAGTATAGCTTCATGTCGGCGCACAACAAGCTACACTTGAATCCCACTGTCAGTGTTATCAGCATGGCAGCACGGAGCGGGCCTAAGTTGACCGCCGACGGATCCACGTACGTGGACTTGGCACAGCGATATCTCATGATAGCCAAGATGAAATTGATTCTGCGCACGGCAGCACACAACAATCACCGCCGCTTGGTCCTCGGTGCCATTGGTTGTGGGGCCTTTCGCCATCCCACTGAGGAGGTGGCCGAATGCTGGTATGAAGTTCTCATGAACAAAGAGTTCAAGGGTTGGTTTGAGCGCATTCATTTTGTAATTAGAGACTCTCCAACTGAGAACAATCTTGGAATTTTCAGAGAGGTATTAGATGGTTTGAGCATGTGATGAGTTTTAAAATCCAATTCCATTGCTCTTTGTTACATAATTCTTCCCACTTGCCCAGGAGAGGTTTGGGACTTTTGAGACAGGTGCAAATTTTACACGAATCTTCGAATCAAATTGCGTATTGAAGATGTGGTCCGGGATATTAGATCCACGGCCCTTGTAAATGGTTATATATATGGTATAGGCGTTCTCACAGTTCCTTCGACAATACATACATTTCTTCCGGTTCCTTGTCCTGATATATCACCTCAACAGGTTTCAGGCGTTCTTTAGGAAATTTACTCCAGTCCGCCATTACTTTCATGTGGATTTAATCCAATCACCCTTCTTTGCTCTTGTAACAACTTTCACCCATCTTTTTCATCCATCATTGTCGCAGTCTTTCCTTACCACTTTTCATCAACTGACACCATGAGCCAGTACCTTCGCATGAATTTACTAGGACTGCTGTTACTATAATCGAACGCGGATATGCGATCCCCTTGCTCGTTTTCACCACACGTACTATCTAGGAAAGACATGTGATGGGGGCGGGTGATGGGAATCTATGTCTATATTCTCTATGAATGACTTGAGATTGACCGGAGAATGAAATTGCATTGTCAACAAACACTGAGCTATAAAGTCCAAATAAAACATTGACCAAGACTGAGCAAAAATGCACAAATGTGTAGAGACAGAAAAGATAGGGATAAAGAAACATGTAAAGAAAAACAAGTGATAGACTCTCATATAATAAAAAGAACAGCAAGGGCAAAGAGGATGTGCAACATACCTTTATGATTTCCAATTACCAACAGATCCTCGCCCCAATCATCTGCTGATCCATTGCATCTAGCTGCTACCAGGTTTTTCAATGGTCAGTTCGCCCTCAGAGGCTCCAGAGAGCAAGACCCAGCCATCCTCAGTCTCTCCAATAAGAGAAGGCTCAATCTGGCTATGATAACAAACGCTGGCGCCAAGAGGAATTAAGCACTTGCGCTCAAGTCCGGCAAGCACCTCCACCATCCAGCGCTGGCAATTCTGTACGGGGACTGCTACTACCGCTGATTTCACCTTGTTGATATCGCTTGCGGAAATACAGCCGACGTATTCCGTTCTCGATATACCGAAACTGTCGATTCTCTTCCCGGCCTGAATCTTGCGCTCATACTCGCGATTCTGGGTAGGACCTCCGACGACGTGATACCATGTACAACGCATCGACCCAGGGTTAGCGAGCAAAAGCATCCAATGCAAAGGATCAGTACCTCTCCGTTGGCAGAAGGCAACATAGACGTCCCAAGAGTCAGCCATGTTTAGCGAGATCCTGGCTGTCAAAAATAATCAAACTTTCTTTCTTCTCAGAAGGTGGGCTGTAGTTATTCAATGGTAGGCTGGTTGACTAGGATTCGAACGAGACTTGAGACTGATATATTTCAACGGTTGCGGCCGTCTGGAGACCTTATATATGTGTCCCTTCACTGATGCTATTCCATGACATACAATGACAGACAAAACTCTTTATGAGCGAAAGATAGAACTATGCGATATAAAGCCTATTGTCCGGCGTTGACATGAATATAATCATTAACAATTGGGTTGACATATATAGTTTTTACATATGTTTCGCTGTTAGCTCGAAGAAATATGTGATTTGAAGCCCATTGTCAGGGATAGAGGTGAGTATGGCCGTTTATAGGTAGGCTGATCTATACGCTTCTTATTGCGCATGTCTTGTTGCCTATTTCACTACCCTGCATGGGATGGCTATTGATAACATCGGAATAAAAATAATAACAACAAAGAAACTTTTGAAACTAATCCTTGGCATTGAATCGAAAATAACTATTTCAAATTGTCCTTCCTTTGTCGCTTTTCCTATCGCCCTCTGTCCTTCTCAATCCTTCAAAATGCCACGGAATACATACCCCGCCCCTCTAGTCATTCCCCCGCTAGGTGAAGAGCATACACACACTGTTATTTCGCTCCATGGAAGAGGCAGTAATGCAAATCTCTTCGGCCATGTACTTCTTGCCGATGCAAGCCTGCAAGCTCGTCTTCCCACAGTGAAATTCGTCTTCCCGACTGCAAGTAAGCGGCGGGCAACAAGGTTCAAAAAGATGCCTATCAACCAGTGGTTTGACAACTACTCAATTGATGACCCTGGAGAAAGAACAGATCTGCAAGTCGAAGGGCTCTGTGAGACCGCTGAATTGATTTGTGACTTAATCAGCCAAGAGGTTCACATCTTGGGCGCGGGCAGCCATAAAAAAATCATCTTATGGGGGCTAAGTCAAGGTTGTGCTGCGGGTATCTTCACTCTGCTAGGCGGCTGGCTCGACGCCAGTAAAATAAGAACGATCGGAGCATTCGTTGGGATGAGTGGATGGCTGCCCTTTGAGCAGCAACTGCAAGAAATTCTCCGATGCGGCGAAATTCCTACGTCGGCTAGAGACAACCAGGAGGCTCAGACTGATGAGAACTCAGACTCAGACTCAGAAAATGAAGAAGCAGCTATGCAGCGGCCCAACAGCGACGAAGAACTAGACACAGATGCGTTCTCGGAACTTGATTTGGATGACGACCCGTTCAAAAGAAGCAGCTCTGCGCATGATGATTTCGATCCCATTGCTGACGACGAGGAAGAAGCTTCACTGCTTGACCACGCTATCAACCACATCCGAGATATTCTTGATCTCCCAATGATCTCATCAAATGATCATTCACCAGAGGAATCGCAACCACAGTCAGGTTTCCATCATCTACAAACGCCGGTTTTTCTTGGCCACGGTTCTGAAGACCTAAAGGTTTCCGTGGAACTCGGGAGAAAGATGTCTCATGTTCTTTCGGCCGGTTTGGGGATGGATGTGACTTGGAAGGCCTATGAGGGACTAGGACATTGGTATCGTGTGGATGATGAGATTGAGGATATCTTGAGATTTCTTCAGGATAGGGTTGACCTGCCAGTAAAACAAGTGCCATCCCAAGACCGACGCGAGGAAAAGGGTAAAGACCAATAACTGCTTGTTTGATTTACATGAATTCACTCGTATACTACCTTCTTTATATTGCCTCCCTTGTGGCAATTAAGTTGTCTAGATTCATTCTTTGCAAGTTACTGCATCAATATAATTTAGGTGGGAGTAGTTTGTCATATGATGTTGCATTTGACCTAAGTAGAGTCTATTTCCTTACAGCAGAATGCTGAGATCGCGATGGAAAATACAGAACTATTATGGATTCAAATGCAGTCGCTAGTAACTACCTGAGTTTCATATACACCTCACTTGGACGTACGGGTAGATCGTCTTCTGCCAACAACGGCAGGTTTGGGCTTCTCCTCTTCAAAGTACTCACTCTTTACAGTGGGTTTCTTTTGTTTCGGAGTTGCTCGCTTCTTTGTCTGTGTCATTTCTTCCGCTTCGGAGTCGCTTTCTTTCTTTAGTGCCACACGTTTCCGTTTCGAATTGGCTGGTGTGGATTTTGCAGCGTCTTCATCAATATCTTTGGCGACCGGACCGGTCTTCTTCTGGACAGCTGGAACAATGGCACTTGTTCGACCCCCAACAGTGAGGAAAGTGATCTTATCCCCATTAGGTAGGACGGCTGGCTGGTTCTTCTTCCCCTTGCCCCAGCGGTGCTTGAAAAGCCAGTGCTCGGGAAACTTCTCTGAGTCTGCCAGTACACCAATAGATGTGGAACAAACATAATGAATGGCAGAGTGTAACGCCTTGATCTGATCGGCATCCAAAGTGTTGCTGTATTGTTCTGGGTGTATCTTGGCATGATAGAGAATCTCATCCCTGAAGATAATCAGCTCCTGTATATTTCATGATTTTGTATGACTGGAAGACCTACCCCATCCAATTTCCAATACCACTGATATTCGCCTGGTCGAGCAGAAGAGCCTTGATCGGCACTTTCTTCTTTCCCAGCTTCTCTGTCAACCATGCTTCATTCACAGTATCTTTATCGGCGACTGGATCAGGTCCATTTTCCTTGAGCGGAGTATGATTTCGAATCTCATCAGCGGGGCAATCCACCAGTCTAATGCGACCAAGCCTGCGGGCATCCACAAATGCTGCCTCTGTTTTCGGCTCGTCACTTGTCTCCAGCAAAAATTTCCAATATTTGGGGGGCCATTCCTGATCTGCAGGCTTGTCGGTTCGGTAGTAGTATGTGTCGGCATCCTTGATCTTCAACCAACCTGCCATCCCAAAGTGCATCACAGCGTGTGGTGGTGAAGACATTGTGATCCAGAAATATTTCCCTTGCTGGCCTGCTCCCACGATTTTCTTCCCTTGCATAGCCTTTTGGAATTCGGTGGCACTAGTGCCAACTTTGCCAAATATAATATCATCATGTTGGGCTTGTACTTTGGACAGCGTTTTCCCAACCAGGTGCTCACGAATGAAATGCACAATGCGGTGGACCTCTGCTAGCTCAGGCATGTCGGTACGCTATTTCCAATATCAATGGTTAAAATATGCAATAAGTGAATTCGAGGGCATGTACAAGTGCTTTTTCTCTGAAAGATGATCTGGCATAAGCAGGGACGCGACCCTCCTAGACGCCAATACGCGCTGTCACGTGCATATAATTGAATGCGCTAGTCCCAAAACAGCCCCGAAGCTTGGGGCTGATTACGGCATGACGCCGGTGGTCCACGGAGAGCTTGCTTGGGCAGTTCACGAATGTTGACAACTATCAGTTCGTCACTCGTCTTATAGCAGATAATACTGCGTCTTAGTGAATATACTTCAACATCACAAATTATTGAAGCTACGCTATACAGCGCTGTTAGCCGACCTACCGCCATCAATAACGCCACACAGATCCTCATTACAAACTGGAGTGGTTCTGGATCACATCGAATCGAGAATCTGGGGGGGAAACTCGTGGCAAGATGTCACAGGCCTCATCCACAGCTGCTCCGGCGCTGACGCCTCGATTCTGTTTTGACGAGAGACTACTCAGAGGTTCGTTTGAAATGTGAGGTGAGGTCTTGATACCAGCTTATATTAACTTTGCTATATTTTTTTTCAGACTTTCTCCGACTCTCAAGATCTACCATCGATGACTCGATCACACAGAACTTGAACGCGTTGATCACACCAGCCAAGGAAGGATTTGACCCATCATCAACAGCACTACGACAAACTGAGTCTAAATCTCGGATCAACTCCGCAGCCTGCGAGAGCTTCAAGGATAATGTGTTATTTCCCTCATGGCAAACTAGATCAGACGTTCTCACTTATTGCGCTGGTGTGGCTACGAGTCCGGATCCCAACGATCCTGATTTGATTCTTCGGCAAACAGAATCCGCCAGAGACCGAGAACGGGAAGTTGATGAGCGTCTGGACCCGTACTCTGCGCGCTTCTTTCCACGTGAAGCTCGGACTGAGTCATTGGCCAATCTAATTCGCAATGAGCGCACTATTGAAGAGATCATTCGGGCCCGAACGTGGGGGATGGTGTCAGAAAAATGCAATGGATCGTCTTCTACCTGGGAAGAAGCTCTCGATGGCTGGCGCCATTTGCATCAGAAATAGCTCCTCTGGCAGTGGAGTACCACAGTACACTAGGATCGCTCTATAACTCAACTCTTCTTTAGACTCCGGGGGCCTCACCCCAAATTGTACATATTTGAACAGTCCTGACATGAACTTCTCTGTTATTCTACATTCTCCCTTGCTTTGCAATAGACTAGATTGGGCTTTATGTTGTATGGAAAGGGAGAGAGAGTGGTATGGTATATAGTCCGGAGATACTACTTAAGAGCAGTGGCTTTTGTTATACCCTGTGGTTGACTTTGAGATTTTAACGAGTAAATGAACAATCCTTTCAATTTCAACGTATAGAAGTTTAGCACATAATAAAATAGTGTGTTGCTTTTTCGTTGTCCTCTTAAAGTCATTCAAAAGTTGCATTACATGTACATAACAAACCACGTGCGCATCACAATATATGAATTTCACACCATATGCCAACTAAAAGCATAGAGTCAATGATTTTATGTATTTAACTTAGTCTAAAGCCCCAAATTAGTCTGCTTTACCTGCTTCTGAAGAAGTTGGTGCACGCTATCTTATCGGCCCATTAGGTCTGCCAAGATCGGACTCGGAGAAGTTGTCCCCCGCACACATCGATTCCTCACTCGCACAAGTCAGGTCCCTCGACGTCAGCATCGCCCACAATGCCGGAAACATTGAGCACCAAGGACCATTCCTTGTTTCGTCAAGTGGTTCACCACTTTGAGATGAAACAGTATAAGAAAGGTTGGCCTCTAAAGTGTCCTTAACCCACCTCCGCCTGTCTAACGACGTTTTACTTCACAGGCATCAAGACAGCAGACCAGGTCCTTCGCAAAAACCCCAAGCATGGCGATACACAAGCCATGAAGGCTCTGAATATGAGTCAGATAGGGCAATTGGAGGAAGCCTTTGCACTCGCTAAGAAGGCTCTCCAGAATGATATGAAGTCGCACATCACCTGGCACGTGTACGGGTTGCTATTGCGCCAGGAGAAGAACTACGAGGAGGCAATTAAAGCATACCGATTTGCCCTGCGTCTCGAGCCTGAGTCGCAACCCATCCAGCGTGATCTGGCTCTGCTCCAGATGCAGATGCGGGATTACCAGGGATACATTAAGAGCCGTAGTGCGATGCTGCAAACTCGTCCAGGCTTCCGCCAGAACTGGACAGCGCTCGCGATCGCTCATCACTTGGCCGGGGACTTGGCAGAGGCCGAGAAGGTTCTTACTACCTACGAGGAGACCTTGAAGGGTGCCATACCACATGTCGCCGATATGGAGAACTCGGAGGCCACCTTGTACAAGAACACGATCATTGCGGAGACCGGAAACATCGAACGAGCTCTGGAGCACCTCGAGGCTGTTGGATACCGATGCACCGATGTACTCGCAGTCATGGAGATGAAGGCGGATTATCTTTTGCGACTGGACCGCAAGGCCGATGCGGAGGCCGCTTATACAGCTCTCCTGGAGCGCAACCCAGACAACTCGATTTACTACAATGGCTTGATCAAGGCAAAGGCGATTCCCGAAAGTGACCACAAAGCATTGAAGGCTCTATACGATGAGTGGGTGGAGAAAAACCCTCGCTGCGATGCTGCTCGTCGCATTCCTCTCGATTTCTTAGAAGGAGAGGAATTCAAGCAGGCCGCTGACACCTATCTGCAGCGCATGCTGAAGAAGGGCGTTCCTTCATTATTTGTGAACATCAAGCAGCTTTACGTCAACCCAGCTAAGCGTGATGTTGTACAAGAATTAGTGGAGGGATATCTCTCTGAAAAGGCAGCAAACGGCTCTGCGGAGTCGAACGGGGACAAGAACGAGTTCCTGCCATGCACATACTATTTCCTGGCTCAACACTACAACTATCACCTCAGCCGCAACCTCCCCAAGGCCATGGAGAACGTTGAGAAGGCCATTGAACTGTCACCAAAGGCCGTGGAATATCAGATGACCAAGGCGCGCATTTGGAAGCATTACGGAAACCCAGGAAAGGCAGCAGAAGAGATGGAGAAGGCTCGTCTGCTAGATGAGAAGGATCGCCATATCAACACAAAGGCGGCCAAATACGTGCTCCGAAACAACGATAATGAGAAGGGTCTAGAACTCATGAGCAAGTTCACTCGCAACGAGACTGTCGGTGGCACATTGGGTGATCTCCACGAGATGCAGTGCACCTGGTTCTTGACTGAGGACGCCGAGGCGTTCCTCCGACAGAAAAAGCTTGGTCTTGCTCTGAAGCGCTTCCACTCGGTTCACAACATCTTTGATACCTGGCAGGAGGATCAGTTCGACTTCCACGGCTTCTCTCTCCGCAAGGGAATGATCAGGGCCTACGTCGACATGGTGCGCTGGGAAGATCGCCTCCGCGAGCATCCCTTCTACACACGAATGGCTCTCGGCGCCGTTAAGGCCCATCTACTTCTTCATGACCAGCCGGATCTCGTCCACGGACCGATGCCCAGCGGAATTAATGGAATCGATTCTACCGATGAGAGCCAGAGGAAGAAGGCTCTCAAGAAGGCCAAGAAGGAGCAGCAGCGCTTGGAAAAGATCGAGTCCGACAAGCGTGCGGCCAGGAAAGCGGCCGCCGCTACTGCCAAGCCTACTGATGGAGAGACCAAGAAGGAAGATGACGATCCTCTGGGCAACACCCTGGTCCAAACTCAGGATCCTCTGAAGGATGCCATGAAGTTCTTGACCCCGTTGCTTGAGTCCAGCCCTCAGAACATCGAAGCCCAGTGCCTCGGGTTTGAGGTTTACTCTAGACAGAGTGAGTTAATTTGGTATATTCTAAGACGAGACCCTTATGCTAATACGTTTATAGACAAGCACCTCCTTGCCATCAAGTGCCTTGTGGCCGCCCATTCCATCGATCCCTCCAACCCTACTCTCCACCTTCAATTGCTTCGCTTCCGCAAGTCGCTCGAGAGCCTTGCCGAGCCTCTTCCCGAAAAGGTTGCCGAGGTTGTCAATGCCGAATTTGACAAGCTGCTCCCAAAGACCCAGAAGCTCGAAGAGTGGAATGAGTCTTACCTCTCGGCTAACAAGGGTAGCGTCGCACACGTGCACGCCGGCCTGTCTGGTCGTCAACTCCTGAACCCTGAATCCAAGCCGCAGTGCGAGCAAGACCTGCTTGCCACCCTCGACTCCCCCGAGATCACTATCGACGAGGCTGTCACCGCTTTGGACATTCTGAACAAGTGGGGCAGTGATAAGACTGCTTACGCCGAGAAGGCGAACAAGAAGTGGCCCGAGTCTTCTGTCTTCGAGCTGAACTGATTTCATATGAATGGAGGACCGTATGGACTCCCACCCCCATTCCCGCTTCGATCATGAGTTGCCTAGCTGCCTAGCAATATAACGTTGTTGCAGGAGTTGGGATAACAAAAGAAGGTTAAAACATAGAGAAAGACACGGGATGAGCAAATATACTCTGGTATTGGCCGATGCCAAGTGGAGTGAGTATACAGGTGCTGGGGGAATCCAATGTACCAGTATCTATTGCCAATCAAGCAAGGACTAAACGTAGAAAAGTCTACTTCAAAATTCAAAAACACTGTTTCCATCAATGTACATTTCTAAAATGGGACATCAAACGCCATTAATATACAAGCCGAGGAGGGAGTCGCAATATGCTAAACAAAAAGACCAACACATGCCGTGCTGAATGCCAGGGAAGAATCCATCCCATAACCGTTATAGTATATAACCAAATTTCAAATTGTGAAGATCAGGCAGAAAACGTCCGAAGATCTCTTTACTGCACGTCTTCTCCGTCGATGTTACCCAAAATGGGTTTACGTCTCAGGGCCTCGTCACTCTCGCCGTAGCCGTAATCGATCCACATGCGCTTCCAGAAAGGCACGGGAGCCGGTCGCTCCTCGCCAATAATGTATTCCTGTTGCTCGGCGATGCGCTGAGAGCGCGCCTCATCTTCCGGAGAAAGGGTGGCGCGCTGCATGCGCGAGGCAATGCGCTGATCAAGCACAATATCATCGAGCCACTCGCGCTCCTTCACATTCTCGTCTTCGTCGCGCTTGTGCACAGACTTGTGCCACTCACTTTCAGCAGCCTCCATTACGGTCTGCTGCTCATAGTTGCGAGGGGGAAGGTCGGTGAACGAGCTGTCAGTAGAAGGTGTGGGGTCAACGCTGGCAGCGGTGGGTTCGGAGTCTGCGCTGAGGGCGTTTTCGCGGTATGGTCGTGCGCTATTTGCGAGGACAAGTGCGGCAACTTCGCGCCCAACATCCTCGGCAAGGTGACGTTGTGTGAGGAAGCGGTAAACTCGGATCGGGGTGTTCAAGAAGCCAAGGAGATGGGGGAATTCGACTGGGGTGGAGCTGTCGAAGGATTGGGGGATGGTGTGGGGGAGGATGGCGGATGAATATTCGCTGGGGTAGATGTATGCAGAAGTAGGACCGGCTGGCTTAGCAGGCTTCTCTTCTTCCTTCTCTTCTTCCTTCTTGGGTTCCTCGATCTTAGGCTCAGGGATTTCGTCTTTCTTTTCTTCGGAGAATTCGGGGGAATCGATGCTGGCAATCTCGGGGTTCGCGAGACTAACGGGTTTCTCCACACTGACGTCCTTCGATGTATCCGCGGTCAACTCCTCGGGGGGCGGAGCTGGCGCATCCAACGGTCCAAGCCAGCCCTCGTGCAAGCCCCGGACATACTCCTTCCAGGTGTGTCGGCCGATGACCAAGTCGCCCTTGGGGCCCGGTTCGTCAGTAACCCCAATGTGTGCCCGGGTGGCAGCGACGACTGCATCCACACCGACCTCTTCGGCGGCTGAGCTAGGTTCTCCGGCCTTTCGGCGCAGCTTGCGGATGTTTTCCGCCGTATTGGCTCTCACGTCGCCCTCACGTCGCCCTTCAACAACCGTATAGTCCAACGCCGCGGCCACAAGGATGGGCTTGACGTATTCCTTGAAGTGATCCCGGGCCACACGCAGGCCATCCCCTGGTGGCGCAGCCAAGTATACTGTCATCTTCCGGCGCATCTGGTCGACTGGTAGAGTTTCTTTCGAGATGTGAGCCACGAGTTCCGACCACTTTTGTTGCACGCGACGCTTCTCCCGACGATCGTATATAAGAGCACCGGCGAATGATCCAGTGACAGTAAAGAAGATCATCCAGTTGCGAGAGGGCAGTTTGAACCGCATATTAGGGAGGCCTGTTGATCACATCGGTATTAGCATTTTTTTGGATCGTTCAAATCTGGGGAACAGAGGCGTACCCATCATTTTGAATGCTGGGTTAGGCGGCTTTGGGGCCGCCTGGGGTTTGCTAGCGCCAGAGGGCGCAGCAGAGCTCGAGGAGTCTGCCATTGAGCCGTATAATGGAGAAATGGTCTATACGTATAAATAAAGTACACCCGGGGGATGCTCGTTCGGGGAAAATTGTTATCTCGGGATTACCTTATCCCGATTATTCACGTGACATTATATAAAACTTACCCGACCTACACCGTCGGGGGGTGACTCCTGTGAGATGTGACATGTATTTCAGGCTCCTTGCCTCGGTTGTTCTGTTCTCTAAGCACTTTTGGTCCTTGATTTGAACTTCGTAGGGGTGTTTCGATGATCTAGGCGAATCGCAGAAGAAGCAACTGCCTAGTAACACGGCATGACCCTCACAAAGCTTTATCCTTGCTACAGAAAACTAGCGTTGTCCTACCACAGGAATGGAGTAAAATATAACCCTATTCACCATAAAATAGTCAACTTGTGTTCCTGAAAAACTGGATGATACGAGCGCTCTTACAAATTTACAACATCATTTTCGTAAGACTGTGTTCTAGATTTATAATTTGCTATCACCGATTCATCTCTAGTCTGACCCTTGACGATCATGCCTCGTTGTTACTTTCCCAGAGGGAATGCGGCGTCAGGCCCACTCGGTTTCTGCTGTTATTGTAAGCCTCACCACCTTCCATATCTCTAAGCAACTGCAAAGCCCTAGGATCTACATTCATCGTGGCAGCCAGGTAATGCAAAGCAGTATTTCCATCGGCGTCTTGTGCACGCACATTGACGCCCATGACCCGTACAAGAAGGTGCAAGGTACTAAGCTGGGCCTCTTGTTCCATTGAGGTGAGCGGTATTGTTGGCTCGATATATTGACCTGGAATCGGCCTCACAAGCCCATAACCAAGCCTTCCCTTCGGGTCTAAGTGTATGGGGCTGGGGAATGCATGCGATAGCCAGTTGGAGTCAAGAGTGCGGGCGCAGTGAATACTCTGAACAGAATCTGGATTTTTCTTGTTGATATTCTCAGTCAAGGTGAGAGGTGCGATGTGGAGTAGGTTGAGTCCTAACGCCGTGGTCCCTGCGGTAGGGAGTGGAATAGGTAGGCGGGATAGGAGGTCCGGATCGTGACGGGCAACCGCCAAGTGGAGCGGGTGAATCCCGAAAATAGGAGAGCGTAGGTGTTGATCGAGGTCTGGGTGCTGGAGGAGGTGCACTATACATGACCAGATGTCCGGTCATGTGGATCGCATTGAAGAAGTGCAAAAGAGAGTGGCGGTAGAGCGGCTGTTGGAGTCGCGACGGGGCAGTAGTTAGGAGAGTAGCCATACACGTGGAGCAATTTATGAAGCATTTCGGGCTGGCCAGCTTTGATAGCCTCATGGACTGGAGAGGAAGTGCTCATGAAAGATGGCTTGGTATCCTCAAAATCAGCTCGACTAGCGTCCGAGATACTTAGCGAGGCAGATTCATCTGCTCCTGCGTTGCGAACCAGACTAAAAGGATTCTCATTTCCAAGCCCAGCAGCCACATCTAATCCCGTGAGGGCTTTTGATAGTCGCAATCGCTGACCAGGAACATTCGGCTCCGTCCAAAAGCGTGGGAACCCTTTGCTCCGCTCATCAAATTCGGCCTGGGTCAAGGGCTGGGTCTGCCGGGTGATTCCTTTGGCCTCTGTCACCGCTAGTATTTGTTCCCGCGGAGGACAGAGAGCGAAACTCGACATGTCAGTTTTAGCGTCCCGGCCACGAATAAATCGCACAGCATAGTCAGACAAATCTTGCAGCGTAATGCCTGTAGGGTCTGCGCCGGCGGCTAGCAGTGCCCGGACATTCTCAGGTATATTTGCTCGAATGGCGACAGTCAATGGAGAATCGTACGTACCGTATATAGCGCCCATGGTATTGGCATTGGGGGACCATTGTTTTAAGGCTCGGTCCTCACGACCAGTAGGTACGGACTCAAGGTGAGTAAAATAACGTTTTAACAGAGCTTCCAGGACGGCTGGGTTCGGGTTTTTGGCGGCCACAATGGTAGCCGAATCCTCAAATGTTCCTCTGAGGTCTTTTTTCGTAAGTTGATAAGCCATGGTGGTGACCTCGGGAAGGGATAAAAGGGATATCTCGGGAGGGATGGGCTAGATAAAAAGAACACATGGGAGAGTTGTCAAAGGTTTAGATCTCTTATAAAAAAGGAAGAGAGCAATCTCATAACATGAGGGTGTTCACTGTTGATATTTACACGTGTACATATACTTTGATAATATTTCAAACCTTTAGAAGAGCGGGGTGGCCCAATGATACCAATTCCCCTGAGTTCTGTCACTTTACGTACACAGTAGATATATACTACCTATCTAAGTATGAGATGACTAACTTTTCATATTTATCAATCTATTCTTTAGGACTGGCAACTCCTTGTATATGACTAGTAGTAATGCTTCTTCTCATTTTTTTTTGGTTATATTGGACAGTGTATACAGTCAGCATGGTAGGAAATTTACATCACCCAATATCTTTGAATCATCACCTAGTGGTTAGTATTTGTTTTATCCAGTGATTTCAGACGGGCATATAGGCCCGGAGAGAAGCTTAAATCGATGCTACATCGACCACGCAGAAAAAAAGAGCAAGCTCACGCTCATTTGATTGAAAAGTATCCTTATTTTCACGTACTCTGCCTTTCATCCATATGACATATTCGTAGTTTCGAACAGCCCCCAAGCTTTGAATAAACCGCCTCTCCAAACCCACAGTGGTTTCACCGGGTTAGAGCCCAATGAGCCGTCTTCATGTGGTCCACCAAGTTATCGTTGCGGTTGCAGAGACGGCCACAAAGAGGACAAGGGAATGCGCCCTTCTCGATGTGCAAAGTTTTGACATGGCGCACCATTGACGACTTTTTACCGATGGAAGAAGTGCAGTCCTTCCAGCTGCATTTCCATTTCGATATGCCCCCGTGGTTCCTAAGACAACAAATATAGTATTAGTATGGTTTCGTTTCAGTGAAGCATGATAATCTTACTCTTGATCTCCGTCATTCCGCGGGTTGATATGAACCATTTCGACGTGGTACATCAGCGCTTTATTGTCAGGAAAGATCAAGTAGTGCCCACAGTTCCTCCAATAGCATTGTACGGTGTCTTGACAGTTCCTGGAGTGATGGTTAGCGAGACATGAAATATTTTCTCACGGTAGTGACCATGGGTAGATAGCTTACCCCTCGCTCAGTTGGTTCTCAAGGTACCTGGAAGATGTCGCCTGTCCCGCAGATTGAATGTCGCCCCCGTTGTATGGCTGTAGGTTCATATGCGCATGCACAGAGGGGACGGCCGCAGGAGTATGGAGATAGCTTTGAGTGGGATCGTATCCGGTGTAGGGAACGCTCGTGTGCGAGCCCTCGAGAACATTATATCCCTCGACTGTAGGGTGATGCATGGCATTCCAAATTGGAGTCTGACCAAAAGGATTTGATTGAACGCCGTTCCGTGGACGTGATTGATTGGTATTTGAGTCTGCATAGATCCAGGGCTGACTCTCGCTCTGGTCGTACTGAGTATAAACAGTGGTCGACATGGGCAAGCCAGCGTCCATATATAATTGATAAGCATAATAATCATGGTCACGATTGGCGTCATCTAGAGTCAATCCATTGTTGTCAAGTTGGTTCGGATTGGCTAGATCGTGGTCGTATAAATGTGCCATTGTAGATCTCGTCACCAAAAAAGTAGAAGACAAAAACAGAATTGGCAGGAAGAAGGGCAGCTTAATCACCCAAGACGCCTCGAGGTAAGATATATACCTCTTGCGGTGGGCTGGGGAGACATGGATCTCCTTACCCCATGGTAGCTTCAAAAATTAGAGAATAAAGACTCTATGGAGTGAGCGGGGCCACCTAGGTATTAGGTTGAACCCGCATACGGAGTAGACGGATTTAAGTGAGCGGGGCCACTTAGGTTGTCAGGGGCAAAATGAGTGCTCCTAATACGGCGGTGAGTTCAAAGAAGGTGCTTAGATGTGCAGAGGGTTACGTGGATGAGGCTCTGGGATCGTCCGGTAGATCTTCAGATCCTTTTTTTTTTTTTTTTTTTTTTTTTTTTTTTTGGCTTTTAGTTAATATTGATATCGAAAAAGATATATATATATTACTTTATACTTTACTTCATACTCCAAGCTGTTAATTGCATGCGAACCAAAGAGGGGGACCATTCAAACCTCCACCGGAATAGCTTAAACCTATAGTATAGCATAGGCAGTAAGCGCCCTGACCCGGATAATGGGACGAAGAACCTAAGGTGGCAAAAGATAGATTGGAAAGTGGGAATCATCTCTCGTCATTTGGGAATCTCAGTCCTGTGGCGTGAAGCTCGGATCTGTGGATGGCACCTGCAAGGAATCAGGAGAAAGCCCTTCCTGGCGGCCAAAATAAATGTCAAGACCGGATCACTAATATAAATACCTCAACAGGATTAGTGCCCGTAGTTCCATGTGAGTTGGCAACCTTGGAAGGTCTACCTGCATGGATCGGCAACCTTGGAGGCTCCCGAACCTTCGATCTAGATTCTATGACAAGACGGCAAAGGTTATATTGTACATATGTGGGTACATACCTAGGTACGATGAAACGGTATTGCGTCTCTAGGTCTGTAGGCAAGCATTCTAGATCATCATCGGTCTGATCTCAATCACATTACACCTCGAATTTGTTGAACTTTCACTACTGAACTGTCAACCATTAAAATTGTGCTACATATAATCTCGATTAAATAAAATGTTCAGTGTTCCATGTTACAATAGTTGACACAGGCCTACAGAGGTTAAGATTCGACGAGGAACGGGGGAAGTGGCGGTGTCAGGAACACGAGGTCCGAGCCCTTCCCTTTCGGGGTTCGACATGCATGGCACATACTCCGATCACACGAGACCTGTTGTCCACTTCTGAAGACTATCTACGGAGTACGGTGGCGATAACTGTTTCCAGATTGGGATTGCCAAAATAACAAAACCCACACTTCTACCCATGTGGGTGATCTAGGTGACATCTACGGAGTACTCCGGAGTCCGTACCTGACTATTGTTTCAGGATAACCCGCACGGGTGACAGCACACCGGAGAATTAGGTTCTTCGTACAGAGTTCAGAGTACATAAAACATGTATTTTTAGTAATATTTAGTGGGTAAAGCACTGCTGGCATAATGGTCTAATTATATTTTTTTACGCGTAACTAGGCGATCCTGTACTGCGAAGGGCAAGCTAAGACTAATACAGTCTACGCTATATGTGATCCCGGCGGGACCCGGTGCAGCAACTTCCGGTGGTTGTACGTTTATTTCGAGTACCCAAGAACTTGGTGCGGTCGGTTCTGTTGACTCTGTTCGGTGTCCAAGATCCATGAGCCCATCCGAAGGTGCATATACCACTTATGAGCCTTTGACAGTGTAGGTCGGAAAATGACCGATATTCTCGAGGTGATCGGATGCATTACGTTCAATTTCATTGATGGTGTCTTTACTACATACACATACAACATAAATCAGAGATAAGGATCGAGTCGTGCATCGGTGTGGTACCCTTGATAGACAGGTGTGGAGATAGTGGAGATAATGGGGATTGATATACCTAATCCGACTAGCTCCGGCGACCTCCCGGAGCTAGCGCCTTCCTTCCACTTCGGCGACGACCTCTATTTTGTGGAGTGTTGGGCGGCATCGAAAGTCTGGCCGTTATTGCCGCTCCCATCGTTGGCGGAGCCCTGACTCAATCTCTGGGTTGGCGGTGGTATTTCTGGGCCAACCTACCTATTGGGGGTGTTTTGCTTCTGCATGAATCAACTCGCGACTAATCTGGTCCGCGTAGTCCCAGACATTAACCCTGTGGCCATCCAGAATAATGGATTAACGGATATCATGGGATAAGCACAAGTAAATCGACATATGGTGGTTCTCGAGGATGGATATTGGTAAAAGCTTGAGTGGGACGTGGTATCTGGCTGTTGGGTTGGCATATGCCTCATTGATTGGAAGTTTACTTAAGGAATGGTGGTCTGTCAAGTAGAACAGAGCTTAACCAAGGACACTAGCTTTGAAATCTAGGCCGGAATGAAGAAGAATGAACTAACAGGAACAAGGGGCCAATCATGCCTATTGTTAAGGGACATATATCGTCCACGGGTGCCACATGGGATTGTTTTCATCTAATCAATTTAAAAAGAAAGGTTCACGTTCATGATATTTTAACCGTAATACCGCGACGATCTATATAAAAAACCAAGTCGGTTGGACTTCAAATTAATATATATTCTCTCAATTTTATAGATCTAGCTGTGGCCTGATCTAAATTTTGTTTGGTGAGAGTGTCATGGCCATGGTTGAAGCCTTATTTGGCAGCATTGCTCCATTCATATACCTTGACAGAGTTGATCAACCAATATGCATTCGAAAATGCCGATGGATTTTGGGACACATATTCCTTACAAGTAGCAGCTTTTGCACTGCACTCGGGAGTTGATGACCACGCGCTTCCACGAGTGTGTGCATGTGTTAGCGCCCCTCTTATTGCATTAGTGGATCTTGTATCTTACGCCCAGCCACACAGATTTGTGTTGAATATAATGTCGTTGCTTTTGAAGTGAGAGGAAAAGTCGCAGCCCGAGGGCACGAACCGGGTCAACGGTGTGCCCCAAGTGGGTGGTTCTATAGCCCCTGCCGTGATGTCCGCTGGGATGCTGCTGCGAGGGAAGAACCAGACTGAAATAGCGCTCGTCGTCCATTGCATTACATAAACACCGCCATTGATCGCGTTGAAGCCGTCCCCGTAGACATGCGTATTTGTCGACGTCTGGGAACAACCGCCGGAGGAGGTACTGCTGTCACAGTCGGGATCGGTAAGGACCGAACCAGCTGCTGAGCCTGTGTTTGTGACGGTGCAGTTCTTCCCAGAATGCAGGGTGATGATGGGTGTTTTCTGCAAGTTGACACCTTCGATGATATCGATCTCGCCGCTGTTGGGCCAGTCTGGGCCACTAGTCCAGTAAGCCGGCCAGACGCCACATGCATTACCTGGCATGTGGGCGATATCAGCGATGTAAACTCCATTGGTCCATACATTCTTCGAGATGACTCTGACGGATTGTCGACCACCGGTCGTGTTTTCAGTCGTGTTATCAACCCCTAGATACACCTTGCCATCCCGAATGCCTGCTAGAGATTTTGCCTCTGCGGTTGCGGCCCACATATTGAGCAAACCCGCCAGATCCAGAACCGTTTCGAAATTCAAATCCGTCAAAGAAGTTGGTGGCATCGTAGGAATTGGTCAACGTGTATTTCGCCGCGACCATATTTGATAGCGCAAGCGTAGCAGCCCCAATGAGGGTAGGTAGTCGGACCATGCTGAGGTGCTTTCAAATAGATAGGAAGGCTAAAATATGAACGATTTGTAGGATAGTAAGATAACTTACACCTCTAGTGCAATGATCCCTACTTATATACCGTTGAGGAGGCAGTGCGGTCTTGGCTGCCATGCATGATAGCAAGGCAGATACTGTGCTATAACCGCCTATGCAATTAGTGAACTTGCTTGCCATATGTTGCTATCGTTACGTGCTTTGTAGAAAGGTTGAGTCTTCCCATAGTTATGGCCCTATCCGTTAGGAGTGGGGTTCGGTTCTACGAGAATTGGCATGTAGCAAGAGAAGATAGATCAAATCCCCGCATCTTATCACATGTGGAGTGAATCCGATGTTACATTGCAGAATCCATATAGGAGGAAAATGCAGATATGGACGGGATATTGTCTATCAATGGGTCTTCTAACCTCGTTTATTTAGTCCACTTCAGCAACATCGATATTGTTGCGTCATCTCCGACCTTGGGGTTGCCAATTATATCGAAGTAGACAACCTATACTTAACTTTACACGTAAGTTTAAGCTAGTGACTAGCTCCGGCTCTCGGTGGCTCATAACCAAATGGGTTAGCGCGCTACGCCAACAGTGTCTATCAATCTGTATTACAAAATCCAGTCCTCAGAGAACGCCAGAAATGCCAACAATCACGACATGATTCGTAGGAGATTAGTAGTAAACAGTAACTTCCTATACTAACAAGTGTAACCTTGTACATACGACGCTGCGATCCCGCAGTGTTCCTGCAGCATCACGACATTGCTTAGATGACCCCTGATCATACTAACTAGTATTTGGATTGATATATAAATCATGCATCTGCAGTCTGCAGTCTGCACGATAGTTGCGACCTTTCATCCATTCGAATCGTTATGAGGTTCTTCGCCTTCCTCTCCTTTGTAGGTCATGTGGCGGCCTTGTGGCCTGCTCCTCAATCTTTCACCAACGGAAGCTCTACTGTTTGGATTGCGGAGGACTTTCAGGTCTCATACAACCAGCAAGATGTAGGTATTTATACAACAAGGCTCCTTTGTAGTTCTACCAAGAAGCTGACAATGATCTTCAACAACAGCTTTCGCATCCCAAGGCTGTAACAAAAACGATCTCAAGCCTAGAGATTGTTGCAGCCGCCGTGCAGAGGACTCGAGAGTCTATATTCAAAAGTAGTATCGTTCCTTGGAAGTTCCACCCACGCAATGAGCTGGATAAATTTGAACCCCCCGCGACTGGTTCAAAAACGTACATACGGAAACTCCATATCACCCAGACGACAAAAGACAGCAAATCAAGATTCAATCCCCTCGCAGGCGCAGTTGATGAGACTTATAACTTAACGATTAGAGTCAATGGTGCAGCAGCCATCTCGGCAGTATCGTCTACTGGCGTTCTCCGCGCTCTCGAGACTTTCGCACAACTATTCTACTCTCACTCAGTCAATGGCACTGGCACTGGCATGTATTCCAATCTGGCTCCCGTCAGTATCAGTGATTGGCCAAAGTTCAACCATCGAGGTTTGGACTTGGATGTTTCCCGAAACTGGTACCCCAAAAAGCACATCCTGAGGACCATTGATGCTCTTTCTTGGAACAAATTCAATCGTTTCCACATCCATATGACCGATGCACAAGCCTGGCCCCTGGATGTCCCCGCGTTACCAGAACTATCTAAAAAGGGCGCGTATCAGGCTGGTCTATCCTATACGCCTCAAGATATTGAAGATATCCAGATCTACGGTATCTATCGTGGTATCGAAGTAATCATCGAGATAGATATGCCTGGTCACACAACAGCTGTTGGATTCGCATATCCAGAGCTCGTCACCGCATTCCGTCAGCAGTCATGGCGTGATTATTGCTCTGAACCTCCCTGCGGACAACTCAAGCTCAATTATACGCCAGTATACGACTTTGTCACCAAACTTTTCGATGATGTGTTACCTAGAATCTCTCCATATTCGGCGTATTTCCACACCGGCGGAGACGAGATTGAAGCTAGCGACTACCTTCTAGATGACACTGTCAACTCCAAGGACATTGCAGTCATCACGCCGTTACTTCAAAGGTTCATCAACCACAGTCATGATTTGGTCAGGAAAGCAGGTCTTGTACCAATCGTTTGGCAAGAGCTGCTTCTCACATGGAATCTCACTCTTGGAAGAGATGTTATAGTTCAGACCTGGGATGGTGGTTCGGCCCTCAGCAAGGTAACGGAGCAAGGACACAAAGCTCTCTTTGGAGATACAGGCAGCTGGGTTCGTGGGCTATCTATACCAAGCGTTTTTCTCAATCGCTAACAATATCTAGTACCTTGCCTGTGGTTACGGAAAATGGTTCAACTTCAAAGACGCCGATATTCCAGCTAACTACCCGTACACTGACTTTTGCTCGCCAATTAACAACTGGCGTGTGGTGTGGGAGTATGACCCAACTGCTTCTCTGTCTGCTGAGCAGGCTGCGCTGGTCATCGGAGGCGAGATCCATCTCTTTAGCGAGCAGAGTGACCCATCGAACCTGGATACGATGGTCTGGCCACGGTCGAGTGCCGCGGGAGAAAATATGTGGTCTGGGCGTCAAACTCTAAGCGGGCAAAATAGAAGCCAGATTGATGCAGCTGTGAGATTGTCTGATATGAGAGAGAGGATGGTGCTGCGGGGAATCAACCTTGCACCGGTTCAGATGGCGTGGTGTACACAATATGGTGGTGACTGCACATGGTAAGGTTGCAATCTAACTGGAAGATGAGATAAAATATATACATTTGTTTATAGGAACCAATTCATGTCTACCAAAAGGTAAAATTCTATGAACACAAACCAACGGCGTCGAGAGATAGGGCTAGCAATTGGGCTGACTGAGCTGTTCACGTGATACGTTTATGTAACATATCCAGGGGCTCCTCTAAAGCGGCAAGAGCTGAGTGCTAAATTGGAAGGAGAAAGCCAAAACGTTGCAGAAAACCGTCAGAGCTGTACACAATGCCCTGATTTACAGTTATCTTCAAGGGTTGATCCCAGAGGGCTGTGATCTACTGGGTAATACGTGCAGGATATGCATGTAAAATAGGTTCTCATCTTCTAAATATCGATATTAGTCCATTATCACACTAGCCCACTGACAGTTCCCCCTTTCAAACTATTTAGCCGCCTACTGCCAGTAAATCATTGGATAAAAAGAAAAGTATCACAGACATCGGGAACACACACAGTTGTTTCATTGTTTCAAGTCGAGTGTGAACATGTAACATGTAAACAATCGTCAACCAGTCACACTGGGGCTAGATTGCCTCCTGAGCCACCGCTTCTTTAAACTCCCCGCCCTCGTCCTCCAACTCCCTCCCTCCCAACTTTCTTCCCCCCCCCATCTACCTTGAAAAATCCCCTGGGAGTTCGAGTCAAGATGGATCCCAACAATAACAATCGCAACAATATGAATTACGGCTATGACCGTAACTACAATGCCAACAACCGCGCATATCCCACTACCCCCTCCGCCTTCCCCCAGCCCATCTATCAGACTCAGGGGGCCCAGGAATACGTCGATCCCTCCAATCCAGCTTATGCCCCGGGTTATTTTATGCCCAACAATTACCCGGCCCAGCAGGTGCAGCTGCAGTATGTCCAGCAGCAGCAGCAACAGCAACAACAACAGCAGTACGCGCAACAGCAAGCATTGCAATCGCCCCAGCCCGCCTACCAAGCACGCCCAGGCTACCCCGACGGCACCAACGGTCTGATCCAGCAGTTCTCTAACCAGGACCTCAACGCAAACCGTGCTGGGTTTTTCAATAATCGGGCTGGCTCCCCAGCCCAGCGGCCTCGTACCGCCGGTGGCTCCCCCGCTCAAACACAGGCCCAAGCATCACACCTGATCCCCCCCGTGCCCCGCAGCCCTCGCCCACTCCCCGAAAATGAAGAGTTGCAACGCTTCCCCGATCGGTACTCCGAGAATGCGCACAAGCGAGGCAAGGCAGCAAAGGAGCTGGTGACTGTATTCTTCCACGAGAATATCGAACGGGCCCGTGACCGTAACATGCGGTAAGTATCCATGTCCCAAATGGAAGCCCTGGAATCTTGTCCCGGAGTTTTGGCTTACGCCTATGATGTTCGCCCCTACAGATCGGCGGAACTTGACAAAACAATCCGTGATCCCAATCTCCCCATCGAAAAGAAGCGCCAGGATGCCGACGTGATTTCCAAGAGAGAGTCCGATTTCCTTCGATTCCTGCGCACAAAGGAGACACCAGCGAACTTCCAGACCATCAAGATTATCGGAAAAGGTGCTTTCGGTGAGGTCAAGCTCGTGCAGCGCAAGACTGATGGCAAGATTTACGCTCTCAAGTCGTTGATCAAGACCGAAATGTTCAAGAAGGACCAATTAGCCCACGTCCGAGCCGAGCGTGATATTCTGGCGGATTCCAAGGATAACCCTTGGCTCGTGAAGCTTCACGCATCATTCCAGGATGCTGCGTACCTCTACCTACTAATGGAGTTTTTGCCCGGTGGTGATTTGATGACCATGTTGATCAAGTACGAGATCTTCTCTGAGGATATTACACGGTTCTACATGGCTGAGGTCGTGATGGCAATTGAAGCCGTACACAAGCTTGGTTTCCTCCATCGGTAAGTGAATCTAATTTTTGATTGCGGGTTGGGACATTGGCATGTGCACTTTTTTTTTTCTCTCCCTACAGAAGAATAAGGTGCATATGTAACATACAAGACAATCCATGCTAATAAATCTTTCTTGTGCAGTGATATCAAACCTGACAACATCTTGCTTGACCGCGGTGGTCACGTCAAGCTTACTGACTTTGGTCTGTCGACCGGAGGCAAGAAGACTCATGACAACGCTTACTACCAAAATCTCCTCAAGAACTCTACTTCTAAGGATCGGAACCGCAACTCTGGATACTTCAATGATGCCATCAACCTGACAGTGTCCAACCGTGGTCAGATTAACACTTGGCGAAAGTCTCGTCGTGCCATGGCCTATTCGACTGTCGGAACTCCTGATTATATTGCTCCTGAGATTTTCAACGGCCAAGGCTACACTTATCTCTGCGATTGGTGGTCTGTTGGTGCTATCATGTTTGAATGTCTCGTGGGCTGGCCTCCGTTCTGTGCTGAAGATACAAATGACACCTACCGGAAAATCGTCAACTGGAGAGAGTGCTTGTACTTCCCCGATGAACTGGTTCTTGGGCGTGACTCTGAGGCCCTGATCCGAAGGTAAGTTCTTGTATATCTATCTAAAAGTAGCACCCGCTAACGGAATGATTTAGTTTCTTGTGTGACCCGGATCACCGTATTGGCAGTGAAGGTGGCCAGCACGGAGGCGCGACACAGATCAAAAACCACCCCTTCTTCAGGGGTGTTGTTTGGGACCAACTGCGTGGCATCCGTGCTCCCTTTGAGCCGCGCCTCAGCTCGAACATCGATGTGTCGTACTTCCCGATTGATGAAATTCCTCAGGAGGATACCAGCGCGATCCACCGTGCCCAGGCCCGTGCCATGCCGGAATCACAGGAAGCCGAGATGAGTTTGCCGTTCATCGGCTACACCTATAAGGCCTTCAATGCCTTCCAAACCACTTAGGTTTGTTTCCGAGAATGACCGATTCCTGAGGATAATGGAAGCAAGCAGGGCTTGCATCCTTCGTTTCTCAATGGTACCCTTTTGTCGGTCAGAAAAAAAAGCTCGGTTTTGTTTTCACCTCGTTGCCCATTATCATTGAGCATATCAGCGCGATGTTGTTTTCCCGAATCATGACCCATCTTCGGTTTCACTTGTTGATACATATGTATCTAACGCCTTGCATCCTTCTCAAGACGATACACACACTGCGTCTCTTCGGAGAGACCAACTGATTTTAGGATAGTCAGGATATTACCCTAAAAAAATACAATGCATTTGTCTTTTCTGATTATATCTGCCTTTCATATTAAACAGCGGACTGTTTAATTATACTAGTTTTGGGAGGTGCTGTATACACACGATTTGTAGTACAGCAAGCATGACACACTCGAGGTAGATGTTGTTAACTTGTGAAAGAAGTTGCTTAATCCTATAGGATATAGGAATATGTCCCTACTTCTTTTCTGAAGTAGGTGAGACAATTCAAATACGGCTAAGTGGGGTCCCAATTAAGACAATCTCCGGCCTTTGCTATATAAGTCAGCCCCATCTCTCTTTTTCTCCATTTCACGGACTTTTACTATCATCTCACCTATCATGGATCCCTTTTCAACTTCTCCTTTACAACTTCTCCTTTAGAGGTGATTGCGTTGATCCTCGAATCTTGCTCCGACTTATCTCTTCCTTCATGTTTAGGAATCTAATGTATCTATAAGAGAGCTTATCTCGCATGGTGCCCGACCCCGTCTCCCCCCTGTTCAAATGGTATCTATGATGACCTGACCGGAATGTTGTAAATGGGATTGCTGTGTCAGATGCTGTCTGTCTGTGGTGCTCTGGCTGCTCTCCAACTTTGCCCAATGCCCAGTTCTACTCAGCGAGCAAGGAGCAGCACAGAGTGAGCACTAAAATGGAAATAGAAAGCCTCGCGCATCCTGAAATCCGGTGTATACATATGTAAGTATCCAAAATGTGGTTAAAGGAAGCTTATCTACCCAAAAAAACTAAAAAAATAAGCCAGGGATAGTACAATACATACGTTATTAGTAACTAACCCCTAGATTATCTTTTACCAACTAGTAAAAAAGGCAGTGAGAAGGGAAGCCATAAAGAAAGATTAGAAGTTCGTTGATGTCTGCCATCAAAATTGGATTTCATTGTCATGAAAAGGGAGTCGCTCGAGAATCAGATAAAAAAAATTAAGTATCAACATAGAACAACCCCGAAACGCCTATCCCGATTCCCGCCATAGAGTCAACCACCATCTTTTGATGCGTGTCCGAAAGAAAATCAGAGCAAGACAGATAAATGAGCAAAAAGGGCATCGAAATGATAGAAAAAAATTCAAGTCTGCATAGGCGCCAGACCAGGCACACCACTGAACATCTCCTCCCGCTCAGTCTTGAACATAACCTGAATCCAGAACTCCTTACTGTCCTCATCGAACCAAGTCCAGTAGCGTTCATCCCGACGATCAACCTCCCTAGCCTGCAACTTGAACGCACAAGTCTGGTAAGGCTCCGCAGCAACGACCAAGTACTGGTACTTATTATCGGGCGTCTCAACCTGCTGCTCAAAAGCCGACATGAAGCGAACACGGGGCGTAATACCTGGAGTGATCTCCTGGAACTGCAGCTGGAACAGCAGGCCCTGTTGGCGCGTCAGAGGGTCCAAGATCTTGGTGATTTTGTATCCTGGCCGGCCAATCTTGATCAACTGTTTCTTGACCTGCACACCCGCGACACCGGGCAAAGACGATGGGTCCTGGTTCTTGCCTTCGCGCGCCTCGCGCGCCGCTCGTCGTGCGAGGTTCGTTTGGTGCTTGCGTCCCTGCGTGTGGGCGAGGTATGAGCCGTCGTTTTGGTGCACTGTCAGACAGAGTCGGCACTCGAATGTGCCCAAGTGATTCCTGAAGATGTAAGGATCTTTTTCGACGTCCATTGTTTCCATGGCGAGCTTGCGCAGCCGCTCGCGTCGGTCGGCATTGGTGGCGGATTTGGAGGCGACGCCGCCGCCGCCGAATTTGGAGCCTGCTCGGTTCTGAGGGGTTGTGTTAGCATGATGTGATTCTAGATGAAGAGTAGAACAATGCGCCAGCTCAGGGTGTACATACCTGGTAATCCATCTTGTCGGCGCTGTAGCTTGAAGAAAGTTGGTGGAGTTGACTATCCAGGTGTTTTGCGAAGGCGGTATTTGCAGTGACCGCCTTCCTATCGTAGCTATCATGGAACCGTTAGCCCCGGCAGTTATTACTGCGGTTGACTATGGTTGACTATGGTTACGTAGCCTTGGTGCAAAACCTAACTATAGTCTCCTTCTTCTTTACTTCGTTAGAAGATCCTTCTAGCATTTGGATTTCAAAATGTAACGATATCATATTGGGACCTCCAAAGCATTGGGCCATATCACCTGCGTAGACCGCCTTCCTAAGATAGATGCTGCTTTACTTCACATCCTAAAACATGTCCCTTAATTGAATTTGTTTAATAAAAGGCTTCCAATAAACAATTGCTAGCTGTATTTAGACCTGGCACACCATATATGCAGTGCCTTGTGTAGTATTACATAGAATATCCCTAGTCTTCAGCCATTAATCCAAGTGAAGCCCACCTGGGCAAGTCGGAAATGCTGTTGATTATGTAAGCTGGTTGTTTGGCCGATATCATGGATCACAGTACGAAGTAGCATTCACCAAAACACTTGAACAAATGACCTGTTAGGTCTGGCTTAAGCTATGAGTGTCCCAGTTGTAGGCCAACGTCGGTCATTTGATGGTCACTTAAGTACTATCCGATATGTGGGCACCGTTCAAGGGACCACCGGCGATTGGTTGGGTGTCGAATGGGACGATGCAAGTCGAGGCAAACACTCAGGAGAGCATAAAGGCGTGAGATATTTCTCATGTATGAGCATCTCACTTATATATCCGGATTATTGCTAACCTGGCTTCAGGCAAAAGCAAATATCCCACGGCGGGGTCTTTTGTTCGCCCCTCCAGGCCTTCAGACCAGCCTCTGAGCTTTCTAGAAGCCCTGCGGGAGAAATATGCTTCTGAGTCCGAGAATAGCCTTGCTCACAGTGATTTGCTCAGTGGAGAAACTGTTCGAGGCAAGGCAATTGAAATTAGCGGCAAGGTAGTCGAAGAAGTTGGCTTCGACAAAATTCGGAAACAGCTCGCTGAGCTCCAAGAGCTACGCATTGTCTTGCTTGATGGCTTACGGGTTGTTGGGGTCCTTGCATCCTATGAACAGGCTCAAGTCTCACATAATGAGGAAGCACAAAAGATCGGAGAAACGTGTCCCAAGATCACGGAACTTGATCTCAGCCGAAGCTTATTGAGTCGATGGCGCGATGTTTGGGATATTTGCGACCAACTTAAGCATCTAAGGAAGCTGAAGTTGAAGTATGTGTCAAGTTTGTACACATTGTCAATATCAGAGCTAACTAGGGTATAGTGGAAACCGGTTTCAAGCTTTAGAGGATGACCTGACCTTCAAGGGGATCACTGAGCTACATTTAGAAGAAACCATGCTTAGCTGGGATGAAGTATGTGCCCTATCCACCACAGATAATCTCGAGCAAAGCTGACTCTGGACATAGATTGCTGCTATTGCATACCGATTCCCTGGCTTGACATCTCTCACGGCATCTGCGAACCAGCTCTCTGAGATGACCTGTCCACTCCCTAGCACTATCACAACATTAACCCTCGAGCACAATGAGATCACCTCAATATCAGCTCTTCGACATCTCGCCGCACTTCCAAAATTGGAGCACCTCTCCATTCGTGGGAATAACATCAGCACCGTGAACCAAAACACCACAGATACAACCCTAGACTTCCAATTCCCGCCAACTCTCCGCTCCCTCGATCTATCCCGTAACAACATCACCTCGTGGACCATCCTCAACAAACTCCCCACAGTCTTCCCAGGCCTAACCACCCTCCGAATCACCGCCAACCCCCTCTTCGACCAACCACCCCTCCCACCCTCTGTCGCAGAAGCCTCCAAGCCAATGACAGTCGACGAAGCCTTCATGCTAACCCTATCTCGCTTCCCATCATCCCTTACCATCCTAAACTACAGCACCATCTCACCACAAGACCGCTCCAATGCAGAGATGTACTACCTATCCCTCATCGGTAAAGAACTCTCCGCCACAACCGAGGAAGAAGAACCCGCCATCCTTGCTACACACCCGCGGTACAGCGAACTTTGTGAGCTATATGTCGAGCCGACTATCACAAGAGTAGTTGTGTCGGATTCCTCGGGTGCGAGAGTCATCCATCCGCGATCCGTAGCAGCGCGACTGGTTAAAATGGCGTTCCGTTTGCCTTTTGGAAACGACGAATCCAAGATTCAAGTCAAGGAGATCCCTGGTTCGTTTGATACGTACCAAGTCAAGGCGCTTGTGTCGCGGCTCTTCGGGCTTCCAGCGTTTGGGTTCCGGTTGGTTTGGGAAACGGATGAGTGGGATCCTGTGGAGAAGCAAGTTGGTGAGGAGGGTGTTGTTGAATGGGATGAAGATAGTGAGGATGAGGATCGTCCTGCTATTAGCTCTGGGCTTGAGACAACCGGGGATGGTCCTGATAAGAGTCGGTTTGTGCGTAGGGAGGTGGAGCTGGTTGATTCAACGAGAGATGTCGGGTTTTTGTTTCAGGGTGAAGTTGGAGAGGTTAGGATTCGAGTTGATGTTGTTGATTATGGGTCTACGAGGTAGTGCTTTGAGATGATAGTCATTCTACGCCTAGGAGCATTTGATCATAGTTTGCAGTGTTTGTGAATGTTAATGGGAATTGATATAATCGAGTATAAAAGTAAGAAAAGAGTCTAATAGATGAAAGACCCCTGCCAGTCCCAAGCTAATCTACCAGACTCCATGCAGTAGGCGAGGTGAGTGGAATTAAAGCTTCCAATGTTGGTCGACCTGCTTTCCTTTGGTGGTGGGTTTATTGATATCCCCAGTAGAACAGAGGGTGGGTATGTAGTGGGTGCACAATGGGAGCAACTTGATAAGGTCAAGCTCGGAACACTCGTTGTAGATCGGCTGGTGAGTGAGTGATCGCGCAGCTAGCTTATACTATAGGACACTCTCTATTGGTACATTATTAGCTACTAGTACTTCGCATTATGCATATCAATCATTGTGCGCTTCCACTCACTCTAGTCACTTCTTTTGTCTTTTCCAGCGCTGGTCCATGAGATATTTATTCCCATTTTTGATATTGTAAATAACCGCATGAATAAGACTCTTAGCGTCCTCTGCGGTTCCTCTTCACCAAGCCTTGTGGCTCTGGCCTCACAAATTTTCTTGGCCTGTTTATGAGCATTGATCCTTTCAAGTGTCCTTTTCGCCTGCTCTGTCGCAATATACATACAGGTCAATCCACCTCTGAACGTAGGCGTCCACAACCCCACAATCAGGTCAGAAAGGCCGCAAAGAACCCCCAATCATCTCTCTTGAAAATACTTCCGCCACGGCCATCACGAATCTTGCGAGTGAGTGATCTCAGTATAGTGTCTGTGGACGGTTCCGTTGATATCAAAGCCCACATCCATCAGTCATTCCGGGTGTAGTGTGGTCATTTCATTTGTCTAGGACATACTAGGGTCATTCCAGCAAAAAGATCACTGTGAGACCTCGGAATGTAGAAATGGAGATATATACGAGAAAAAAAGGAAGACGGAAAGATAGGAGAAGAGGAGATGAAGAGGGGAGGAGGTGAAGGGAAGAAGGAAGTTGACAGAATGTAAGTTCTGGCTGTTTAGGAAGGGGCTCTGAATTGGAAGGTGCGATGATCAGGTCGATGTCCAAGTGAGGCTAAAGCCAACATATAAAATATAAAACAGAAGGTCTATCTTTTCTGATTTACTAGATCAAGGTTCATCTCAGGTGAAGTGATATTTCACTTGGTGATCAAATCCCAGTTAGAGGTAAAAGCACTACAGCAGAAAAAAAACGATTTCGAGTGACAGACATTATCCGGTCTATATGTACACAAGACAGGTAGAATCATGATAATTCCACATGTTCGGGGGGGAAGAAAAGGCCAAAACGCCGTAGTGCTTTGCTCGCTCACTGCCCAGTCCCCTAAACCCCCAATAGAAAAAAAAAGAAGCAAATGTAAACAGGCAGAGAATTGACGTCGTATCATTCAGAGCAAAAGAAACATAACGCCTGACCATGATGCTTTTGTTTTGTCGACCGCAAAAGAACAAGATGAAAACCCCGTGAGGACGCAGGATCGAGAGGAGGGTGTAATGGTCCTTGGTTAGGAACTCATTATGCAAGGAGTAAAGAAAGAGTATGAGGGGCAATGCAGACGCTCGAAAGCGATGTTAGCCACAGTAGAGTGGATTACCCGCGAGCAACCCACCATGAGCGGACTGCCATGCAGCAGACCCGCTTGTAGACTTGGGTTGTGCCCTTGCCCTCGGCTTCTTCTTCGAGGAACTTCTGTGCGACGAAGAGCCTAGTTCCCGCCTCTTTCTCGGTGGTGTAGCCCACCTTGGGCAGGCTGTTGGGGAAGTCAGCCCAGCGTTGTCCTAGGTGGCGGGCGACAGAGATGGAGTATATGATGTCACGGTTCTCGTATGTGTCCAGCAATTGTCGACACCGGCTGAGGGTGTCGTCGATCTGCTTGGCCGAGCTTGCTTCGTTGTCATAAAGTGTGAGGAATTCTCCGACCTGGTCCCAGAAATCCAATTGGCGGCTCTGGAACTGATCTGGAGTGTTCGGGGGGTTGGCGGCATCCATGACCAGCTCCCGCGACAAGGGGTTTGAGTCCAGGTGGTTCCAAGTAAGCAATGCCTCGACCACGTTTAACCGTGCGCAAGACACACAGAGATTCCAGTCTCGCCCCTGTTGTCCAGTTTCCCCATCCGGTACCTGGCGACACAACGACATGCTTTTCCAGATGATTGAGGCCTCGAAACTCTCTAGACGAGCAAGGGTTTCGCCGTCTTGAAGATCCCATTCATTGAACGCGATGATCAAAGCCGAATAATCTGCCATAAGCTGGGCATCGGCCATGAGTAATGTGAGAGCATTCTCTGAATACCAGCGAACCTCGAGAAGCTTGTCGATCGCAGGCGCGTAAGTGGCCAGGAAAACTGCCTGGATCTCTTCGAGGCGGCCGGGTGGAAGAGTTGCGACGGGGTGTGGAGGGGGAGGGGCGATTCCCCTCAAAGAGAAGAGGTCGTTGACATAGAGGTTTTTGGCTGTTGAGAGGAATTGTTAGCTACCCAACTACCCATGCGCAATGCTGCGGTGCGCAGATTCAGAAAACAAATCATATAAACTCACCTTTGTATGAAGGCTCTGAGCCCTGTTGACGTGGTACGCCAGTGTTCTGCATATCTGTATGATTGGATTGATGGTTTGTTGCCAAAGACGAATCAATGGAAGCTCCGTGCTCGTGTTGGTCGGCAGAGGCAGTGGGCGATTCGGAGTGGAGAGAAGGTGCGAATGGTTGAGACGAAGCGGGCATGTACCCGGGAGGCGCAGAAGGATAGGAAGGATAGGAAGGTACTGATGAAGCAGAAGGCCCTTGAGGATTGACAACCAGCGAAGGAGGAGGGTTAGGTGCTGGTTGGATAGCTGATGGTGTAGATGCTTGAGTCCGAAACACAGGATCGTAGCCTAAACATTCACGTTTGCTTTTCACACAGTTTCTGCAGACGGGATGTGCTTCGTCACACTAAAAGAGAGTTAGAACACAGAAAATATGCAAGTCTCCAAAAAACCGAATGAAAAAAAAGTTGGAGGTTGAGAGGGAGGTGGATTTAAGCGGACAAAATAAAATGGCGGGGTCTGACGGGCACAAGCGAGCGAGAGACTCCGCCCCGCGAAACTACATTTGCGCTCACCTTGATTCTTCGTTTGCGACAAGTCAAACAACCGGTTTTTGTGCGTCGCTTAACTTCTTTCTTGTGTCTATTCCCTGATAACATCTTGTTCGGGTCCCCCGGGAGTTGATATCGCATTTGCGCATTCCCCATATTAGAGGGATACCCAGCCATGTATTGTCCCATAGAAGCCATCGGAGGCATATTGTTTGGGAGCGGCGATCCAATCGGTGCCTGTGGCACCTGTCCTTGGGAACTGGAATTGTGATACATGTCGTTTTGCTGATAATGTTGCGGCTGTGCCTGAAACTGGTGGGTATGCGTCTGCGGTGACTGCTGGCTTCCTGGTTGTTGTGATTGAGCAGGACTATGCGAATATTGGTATGAACCGTTGGTCGAATGATAGTGAGATGCACCATTCAAAGTCCCATTGTCATGCCCACCCGTAGAGTCTGCCATGCCGACGTTCGAATCGTGATGATCCAAATGACTATCGTCGCCAAAATCATGACCATCCATTGTTGGAATATCATCGGTTCCAATCGCTGGTAAGGAATGGTCGAGAGATGAAAGACTTGTATCAATCGCAGGCAGTGACATATCGGGGGGCGCAGATGAACCTATTGAAGGCAACGCATCAAAGGAGTGCAACTCTGTATCATCGAAGCCATTTGATGTGTCCATGGCTGGAAGTGCTGGATCAATCGGTGGAAGTGATGATTCAACAGACGGTAAAGTCACATCTGGACCTCGTGCTGGCTGGGTGGCTTCTTCGAACTGATACGTGCTCACATCCTGTGGTGGGCCTGCGGCAGACAAATTTGGCTCTGCTGGCACTTCCGGTGTTCCTAGTACTTCTAGTGTTGCTGGCACTTCTGGTATTGGTAGCACTTCTGGTGTTGGTATCACTTCTGGGGGGGCTGATTCCGCTGGCGGTTCTGGCGGTGCTGGTTGGGCTGGTTCTGCTGGCGCTGCTGGTTCCTGGCTTGTTTTCACGGGGGATTGATTCGTTTCCACTGGAGGCGGCTCATTCTGAGCTAAAGGTTGGGCTGTCTCAACAGCTGGCGCATTCGGTTCGGTCGCAGGATTGGTGGATTCGCCAGGCGGGGCGCTCGAGTCCGTCGGCTCCGCCATATTGGAATTCACAGTCTCCCAAGGAAAGTCTCGATCGGATGGGAAAATTGGTAGGTATTTTGTAGGTAGGGTTCGAAGACAAGGTCTTGAGTAGAGGTCGAGTATTCAAGTATTCGAGTAGGCAAGGTCAAAGGTCGTCTGGTTTGTGGCTGAGCGAAGAAATCACACCAGGTCGAACGGATGGGGAGTTAGAAATCATTTATTCCCTATGATCTGTGGGGTTCGGAATTTGTTAGTCAAAATATTCAGCTAGCAATTTCGTGCGCAGCGGAGAGTGATAGGGCGCGGTAAAGGCAGAGTCCTCGGTGTCGATCATGAGCATCGCCAGAAAAGAAGCACCGTGCTAGCGCAGGCCCTCCGTTTCCACGTCTTTAAATCCAATCGGCGGATAAACCATGCGTGGAATATAGTACTAAGCGCAAGGACTGTGCATTTGTACGAATTTCCACACCAACGATATAGAAACCTTGTAACATGTCCAGATATCCTGCTAGCCAATTGAGGTTTTGTAGGTCGCATTCGCGGTGGCCGACCAGCCTCAAATGCAACCATCTGTTCACAACTCCCACGGGGTCTCGGAAAAGCATCGCGAGGTAGACTCCAGCACTCAATAACCTCATTTCATAGTAGGAATACTGGACATGGTATCGCACAAGGTGAGGCTCCGGCGCGAGTCGATGCGCATGTCGAGGGATTGGCAGGGCTGCGGGGATCGCGACTTGCTCGAATTTCAAAGACTTACCAGGCACATAGATTAACAGAATTAGATCGACAGAAACCCAAATCGTAGGGATATCATGCAAATTCGAGGGTCGGAGGTTAGGAAAAGCGCGAAAGAGAGGCTTAAAGGAGCTTTCCTTTCCGGCGTTGAAACTCTCCGCTTTGATTGTGAAGGAAAAAAAATTATAGTGGCAAACACCGCTTTCTACCCCAACATTGCATATTCCGAGGTTTTATACTGAAGTTCACATTATTTACGTTATTTACACTTGTTTTTATTTGTTTTTATTTGTTTTCTGAATGTTTTCTGAAATTTTACTTATATTCTCCTCTTATCTTATATTCATTCAAAAGGGTTGAATTGATAGTGTTACACTCGGCCCTTCTGGTCTAAATCCATGGAAGCTATAGATTGTCCTGTGAAAAAGAGTTGCCATGATTCAACCCTACATATCCAAAGAATCATGCTCCAGAATTGCACATACGCCCATAGAAAGAGGGGCGCTTTTCGAAACAGGCAATCAATACACAAGGTTTAGGCTTGTAAATGATCCTGAGTGAATGGATTCGAAGTGTACATCCTGGGAAAAGGAATTTCTGCCAGAAGTCTTTTGTCGAAGACTTTGGCGCATCTCTCATATCGCTTGACACAGTGAAAGCCGTGAAATGTGTGCTTGTTGCTCGAAGCAACACGGTTGCAAACTTGCAGGGTCATGGGTCAAGGCCAATGGATTGGAGGTCGAATATTTAAGGCCCCACGATGAATTAGGATGTGCAAGAACATGGGCTTGTATTTAATTTGCGCCATGATAAGGAAGTTTTGTGCATATCACATCCTCAAGGTGCGACTATTTCCTCATCGCCTTCGGCTTGCGCTTCTTAAAGATGACACCGGGAGCAGCATCTTCACCCTGCGGTTTTTCTTCAATGACTGGCTCTACTGAAGATTGAGTAGGCTCTTCAGTCTTGACCTCAATTGACTCCTTCGACTCTTGGGCCTCTAGCTTGGGAGGAGCATCTTCTGTCTTTGTGATAGGGGTAGGTTGTACGGTGATTGTCTCCTGCTCGTCAAGTTCTACCTTCGGAGTGAAGGTTTTCGTCCTCTTGATATCTTTTGTAGATGCAAACAGGTCATCCAGGCCCTCTTCCTCTAGTGCACCAGGGTATTGCCTCATTCTCGAGCCCCAACCTTTGTTGACAATAGGTTCAGGCGCATGCTCATCCCCCTCCTCTTCGCCTTCAAGTTTGCGCTTGCGTATTCCAACTGACTTTGTGGGGCCCTCTAATCCCTGCTTGACCTCGATCCTTGTCTCTGATGTCGTCTGCCAATCCCCTGCTAAGGCCATATCAGCGCGGAATTCCTGGGGGACGGCGACACCCATTGCCACGAGCTGTGCCATCTGTTTCTTTCGCTCCTCTAGGGAAGCAGGCCGTTCTGTTGATTTGGGAGCTGGCGGTGCTTTTCCTTTCGCACTGTCTTTGTCCGTGGAGGACTCGCCACCGACGGCCTGTCGCAATCGCTCAACTTCAGTTTTCGCGCGTTGCGAGTCTCTTTGTTTTTGTTCATTGTCATTGTGGATCTGTCTAAGGAAGCGCTTGAGGCTGCCTTGATGTTTCGGACTGGCTTCGTGTTGGGTCTTTTCGAAAGGCGTGTCGCGGATGAAGATTTTGCACTGTTTGCACCAGTAGCGCGGCTGTGACATGGTTAGCAAGATTCTAGAGAGGGAAGAATGCACACTTACTGCTGATTTCCAGAATTCAGCCATGACAGAGTGCTGATTTCAAATAAGATAAGTAGGTGGATTGATCGAGAGTTTGATCGCATTGATATTGCCCGGCAGAAAACGACGTAGTTACCCCACTCTGTTGGCCAATCAATTGGAGCTTCCCTTCACCACCTACGATGTACAAGGTACATATAACTATGTAGTTATAGCTTTCTATATGTATATAGTTTGGAGACTAATTATAAAGTCAGCACTCCTGCTCAAGGCAAGAAGGGGGAAAGGAGAGAAGGGAGGGGTATATCGTGTCTTTTTGCTACAACAACTGGGGAGAAAGCAAAGGAAGAAACCTGGAAAATAGGGCATTTATACTTGCAAGCAAACTGCTTAGTCTGTAAACAAACAAGCATATACAGGATAATCTAACATCCCCGCCTGTTAAAGTACTATAATATGAAGGGAATACTATACGTAACCAGAGAAGAAAGGAAGGAATGGTAAGGCGTGAATAAGATTAAAGTAAAGCGAAAGGAAGGTAACAGTGAGAGTATATTTTTAAATAGTCGGTACAACCCTATTGATCCTAGGCTAATTCCCTAATTCCTAACCTAGGGACGCCGCTAGAAGCTTATCCCTAATATAAGGATACTAATAACTAGGTATACGAAGGGCCTGTTGTTCCGGAGTAAGAGTACCATTATAAAGTGCTCTTAGGTGAAGATAATTTTACTAGATTTAATTTAACGGAGTTTTGGTGGAAATGTATAAATATATATATTTTAATTTAACACACCGGGTGGATTGCCAGCTCGCTTGTGAAATACACTATTCATACCCTGGGACTAGCAAGCAAACTGCTCATTCTGTAAACACAAGCATCTATGGGATGATCCAAGATCATGTCTACAAAGTGAATAGAGATCTATATCGTGGAGATACAGAGGAATAAAGAAATTGTAGGATCTCTCTACCAAACAGACAAAGAGGATAACGACAACAGATCCAGCATAGTTCTTGCGGTCATTTCAATCTTCACCAAGATCCGCATAAAGCCATGGATCTTGGAGCAATTCCTTTTCAGTGCTTCGTTCTTATGGGCACCATTTTATCATCCTTTGTACGAACTCGATGAACATCCTCTTATCCTCGTTGTGGATTTGGCATATTGAATTTTCAAAGTTGAAGTTCGATGGTGCAATAGTTGTGCCTTTGAATTGTCCTATTGAACCAAGTCAGAAATAATTGTTGAAACAGACAAAAAAATAATATACTCACCATCAGATTTGTAAAACAGATCGGTCCTTGTTCCTTTGTCTAGAAGTTCCTTTGGAGGAGGGCCTAATAGTGCAGAGATATGGCCAAGATGGTTGAGCTCATCATATTCTTGAACTTGGAGGGGATCAACCTCCTTGAATAGCTTTTTGCCTTCAAGAAGATCCCATAACTAGTAAAACAACATCAGCTTTTATGTGGCAATGACAGTATTTTAAACATACCATAGCCCCTAAGCTCCAGATATCGGCACTGTACGAATAACCTGCATCCAGAATAGCCTCTGGGGCACGATATATTTCCGCCTGGATATACCCTCTGTTTGGCCTATTCCCACGGACAGATAAATCGAAGTCTGTGATTTGGATTATCCCTGTGGTCTTTTCGGAGATGCCAAAGTCATTTCGAGAGAGATACATTGTGCGGCCATCTGGGCACATCTTCTGTGGCAGAGGATGTTCATATTCCTCTCTGGCGGATTCTTCCAAGATAGATGGATCCTCAACTTTGATCATTATATTGTCGGGTTTTAAATCTGGAATCAATTAGTTTACCATTCCTGTTATCTAACTGGGAACCCAAGACAAACCGGTATGAATAACATGACACTCAGAGTGGAGGTAGTCAATTCCATGAAGCATCATTTGAAGTAATATCTTCAGCACATCTGAAGGTCACATCACCGATAACCCTTTTACAGTATATCCAGAGGGGTTCTCGCAAAGGTTCAAAGACAAGACTGAGATGTCTGGCCAAGTTATGCTCTAAGTTGAATGAATCAAGAGGACGTCTAACGAATCCCCAACCCTTGTGCAGGAAATTTACTTGAGAGATGTGTCTTAGGATTTCTAGTTCAGCTTGAGCAGCGTTCTCTCGAGAATGATGAGCACTGGAATTTATCTTCAGAGTAACGTATTTCTCTTTTAACCAGCGCCATATATACCAGGGATTAGCAGATGCTACTCTAAAATGCGTGGGGAGTGCGTGGAAAACAAACTGGTTTAGATCCCGAGCAAGCCAGATAGTTGAGCTACTACCATAGCCGAGTTTGGTTGCGAGTTGATACCGGCCATTAAGAACGTTCCCCAGGCGTGCGGGATAGAATCGCGTAGGATCATAGTATGGCGTAAGTTCCTCTTCGACGGCTTCGTTCACCGGAAGTTTGGGGGCGACCGCCGTTGACAGTGGTCAAGGGTGGTGTTTAAGTGCCGAGACCGGGGACATGGCTCGGGGTTGGAAAGTTGCCATAAGATTCCATCGGACGTGGAGTGATTGGGTAAGTGCTAGGGAACAGATCACAGAGTGAGCATAAAAAGAGAAAGGAAGAAATGATACATACGTATATGCACTGAGTACTCCCCTGGGAGACAGGAGGCTGGAAGGGTTGGCGGATGGATAATCATGTGAGTGTACTATTGCTATCTAGAGGCCAACTTAGGTACATAGTATTTGCCTGATACTGTTTGCCAGTAGTAATCAGAAGAGAAAAAAAATTTAGTGTAGGCGAGGGACATCCCAGGCTTCCGGGTGTGGAGTTTATGTAGAGTAGAAACTTAACTATATATCTGTCTCCCTAACAATTTTAACAGCTCTCATGTCTCAAGCCAGTCAGAGCTTAAACTCCTAAACACAGTGTACTATGCTATGAACTAACAAAATAACTCTGTCCAATACTCTTCGAAAAGCCTGCATTAAAGGTCCGCCTGTTCCGGAACTGGGCTCTTCAGTTTTCCAACTTCAAGAGCCATACGAATGTTCCCAATTGTCCATTCTTCTATGGCAAGCATTGTCTTTTGGCAAGTCAGCTTCATACTATCTTTATGGAGAAGCACATAACTCACCTCACTCGTCCAGGTACCCATATGGGGAACCAGAATTACATTCTGGTTGCTGAGCAGCCCGGGATGAATCCGAGGCTCTTCCTCGAAAACATCAAGACCAGCCGAGAATACTTTACCACTATCCAGGGCATCAACCAGAGCAGCCTCGTCCATGACAGCACCGCGGGCAGTGTTGACCACTACCACGCCGTCTTTCATCTTAGCGAACTCGGCTTTGCCGATGATATGACGTGTGTTTTTCTTCAAGCGATCAGTATCAGAATATACTTCCTTTCCCTTTGGAAATGGAAATCACTTACATTCAATGGCAAATTCAAGCTGATCACGTCACTGGTGGACAAAAGCTCATCGAAAGAAACATATTGAGCACCTGCAGACATCTCATCACTGAGCTTGCGGCGGTTATGATAGATGACCTTCATCCCAAAGGCCTCTGCCTTCTTCTTCAGATTACGTCCAATTCCACCCATTCCTAGAATGCCAAGAACCTTTCCTTCGGGATCATGGCCGAGAGGAGGCGCCGGGCTGCCACGCCATTTGCCCTCGCGCAAGGCGGTCATACCGGCGTTGAAGTTGCGCAATGCGCCAAGAATTAGGAACATGTTCACATCAGCAGTGGCATCATCCACTGCAGTTGGGACATTGGAAACCCGGATCGGGGGGTTGCGTGCACTGCAGGCATGAACATCCACTTGGTCATATCCAGCTCCTAGAGAGACTCCATGTCAGTATATACATATCTGAGCATTGATATCCTACTATCGACGTACCACAGTGCGCGATATATCGGAGTGAGCTTGGTAGCACATTCAATAGCTCCTCGTCTACGAGCCCTGTTAGGGTCACAGAGCCAATTGTTCGGTATATCGCAACAACGCCATCCAGCTTGCCGTCTTTGCACTCTTGGATGAACTCGGCGCGGTTGGTTGCCGATGACTCAACTAGCTCTGCTATTTCACTCAATGCACTCCAAGCTGCCTGCGCACTGTGTTTGAAGAATGTTAGTATCATTGAATGGATGTTAAAGGTACATGGAAATGGGGCGAACACACTGATCGATACTCCCAATGTGTACAACTTTGGGCTTGGGGCCGGTAGAACTCATTCTAATGTATTGATAGTAGTTGATTCTGTGTTGGGCGAAACAATTAGTGATTTGAGTAGGCCAGAAATGTAAAGTCAATTCAAAAGATTCTCCTTCCAATTTTACTTCGGGTCAAAGTATTCCGACGCCTTCTCTTGACATGTTTGAACGTACCGATAAGCAAGCTTAGGGCTGAAGTCCGATCAAGGCGCCAATTGACTTGGTTGTTGCAAGAGGGTTCGAAAACACAAACAAATTCAAATAATCAGGAAATCGATAAATTTGAGTCAATAAGAGTCCTAACTTCATAGATTACATATACTAAGCATCGGCCGAGAAGAAAGGAAAGTGCCCCACGCTTATCGGGCAAGTTCTCCGTCTCCTCTAGGGCTCTTTTAGTGTTTGAGTGATGAATCCTCGAAAGACCCCACTGATATTGGTTGTTATGCCAATCTCCGGTTCTACAGAGAGAGATAAACTTCTAGTACTCAACTGCGGAGTAACCGGTGTCTTGTCCCGAGGCCATCGGGTTGAATGCCGATATCGTTATCTGTTGATATACTAGGATGTTGGTCATGAGTGGTGCTTTTATCTAGTCCAGTGTGATGTTACGTGGAATAAAAAAAGAAGCTCGAGACCATGGCGACTTCGTGTTTTCAAATTTTGAAATGAAACTCGGTACGATTCAAGTAAATGTTCAGCCATATGTGTGTACAATACAGGATGAGAGACCAACTCCCGGCTTACTAGCCTTCAACCAGAATGCGAGTCCAGTCAAACTTCTTCCAGCGTTTCCTAAATCCGTCAACCCTGCGATCCCCACGGTTCCAGCGGCCTTGTCGTTTGATGACGTCGGGAGCAACATCCAGCATTCCACCGATGATCTCTCGGGCAAAGAGATCTCCACGAGGCCAGCGGTTGTCGTCTTCCACAATATGACCCAGGCCACCGTCTAGTTCGAACCAAACGTGGAAGTAGGGCATCTCCTTCACGAGTGTTCGGCGGAAGGCAGACCGGCCTAACCCTTGCTTTGATTTGGCAAGGGTATCGATAAGCTTGCGGTGCTGCGACCATTCCGACTCGGCGCTGAGAATTGCTTCTTTGAAGAATGCTGGAGATGTCTCTCCTAGGCTATAGGGTAAAGGCACAACTTCCATGGATGCATGCCGCTTGCGCTGTGGCTGAGCTGCATTCTCGTAGAAGATTACATCTCGGCCTTGGTCGTGGTACATGCGCGTGAGACTCTTCATGAAGTTACGGATTTCTTCCCATTCATCGTCATCGCATTCCATCAAATTCGTGCGATGTTGGATTGGTACGATGGTAGCACCACCTTCACTGATCTCGGGTTCGGTAGGAAGTGTGAGGAAGACCCTGGTCGCAAGGGATACCACTGGAGCAAGCGGAGGCGTACCCTTGTCTTCGTTGTGGCAAAGGGGGCAGTTGTCCAATATCCGGTTCATCTTGTGGAAGTCGTTGATAGTTGTGTTCTTGAGGTCAATCTCTGATCGATGAACTCTTTTTGCCAGCTTGGATGCATTGTCGTCCATGTACTCCAAATCGTTCTAGACATAGGTTAGCATGGAAAATGGGGACCGTCGCATGTAACTCTAGGACTGACCTCAAACTTGGCATCACGGCCAATTTGATCCGCCAACCGCCGGCCTTCTCCACCAAGTTGGCCACGGGTTTTGCGCTCTTCTCGCACCATATCTTCAATGCTCATATCTTCATTTGCTTCCACCTGGCCTCTTTCCCGACCTCTCTTAGTATCGACCACTTTTACCTCATTCCTTGAGCCTGCTAGCATTGGGTTATGCATGACATCAAGGACCACGACATCGGATTCCTTGCGGTTTGACATTGCTGCCGCGGCTGTATTGTACTGTTCCTCAAGATCGGCGGCATTTGGTGCTTTTCTGAGCTTTGCCTTCATCATCTGGGCCTTCAGACGATTCAATGCCGTCATATCTAGGTGACGGCTAGTGTTCGGAGGAGGTATAGTGTCCATTTGCTTGCCTTGGCCCTCGACTTTGAGTTCTTGCTCTGGATCACGAACATGGTCGAGCGGACCTCTGCGGTTGTCGTTTTGAAGCTTCCTTTCCTGGAACAGCTCCCCGCTAGGTTTATCTTTGCCCACGTAGGACTCGCCATATGTCTTGCGTCGACCAATTTCGGTTTCCTCCTCCCGAGCGTCGTCAAAGGAGCGAAGATCTCCAAAACGCGCAGTAGCAATCTCGTCAATAGGCTTGCCACTTTCTTCCGCCTCTCTGTATACGCCTTTGAGCTTCGTCATTCTCCATTGTGACCCGGAATCACCAAAGGTATAGTCCACCTCATGCGAGGCAGGCTCATCTTCTATTTCGTCAACTGTTTTTCCATCCTTGAGATCACGTAGATGGTCGTTGAGCTCCTTGTCGTGGATCTTGAGTTCGTAATCTGCCGAAAGCATTATTGGTTTCGGCTCCTCCTGTCGGGTCGAATCCGGTCGATGAACGTAATCAATGTCGAGAGCCGAGGGCGCTTCCATCCAGGCGTCCCGTTTGAGATTACTGGGCTCCTCTTGTACTATCACTGGAGGAGCAGCGGATTCCCCTTCGTCTTTGGAGTTCCGGTGATGATGATGACGTTTATGGCCATGCTCATCTCCTTGGTCGTCAGAACGACGTGAACGCTTGTGCCGGTGGCCATCATCGTCGCGATGCCGGGACTCATGAGTCCGCTCGCTGTCCCGATCACGAGATCTGGAGGAATGGCGTCGGTGGTGGTTGCTGGAACGATGGCGGTGTTGTCTCGAGCGGTCTTTGCTGCGGTCGCGATCGCGATCGCGGTTTCGGTCTCGATGGTGTCGCCCTTCGCTTTTTTCGTGTCGCTGCTCTTTCCCCTCCACCAATGCCTTCTCAAAATCTTCTAGAGTCATGGTGATCCTGATATGTGAAAAAGGGGTGGAACTGAAGACGGCAAAAGTTGGAATGACGTTGATAAAATGCCGGGCGGTCCAACCGTAGATCTTTCCCCGCGACAAAAAAAGATTTCGAGAAAAAAGAAGCTTATCTTTCTTCACTTGTCTTCCACCTTTGAACAATTCACTTTAACCACAGAGGTCTCTGTATTTCAACCGCTTAATCAAGTCTTTCTTTTTATAAACTACCTTCACCATGCCATCTCCGGTGTCAGTGGTCTGCGTGGGCATGGCAGGTAAGGATGCTGATATGCTGATCGCCCCTCACTTATCTGCAGTCATCTAATCGTCAATATTATGGAATGAATAGGCTCAGGCAAGACTACCTTCATGCAGAGAATCAACTCCTATCTGCATGAAAAGAAAACCGTGCCATATGTCGTCAACCTCGACCCCGCGGTGCACTCGGTGCCCTTCGAGAGCAACATCGATATCCGTGACTCCATTAATTACAAAGAAGTTATGAAGCAGTACAACCTGGGTCCTAATGGAGGAATCTTGACTTCGTTAAATTTGTTCGCCACCAAGGTCGATCAAATCATCTCCCTCTTGGAGAAGCGCACCGCCCCGAACCCCGAAAACCCTTCCGCAAAGCCAATCGAACACATTCTGGTCGACACACCCGGCCAAATCGAAGTTTTTGTCTGGAGTGCATCAGGTAGTATCCTTCTTGAGACTATGGCGACATCATTCCCGACGGTTATCGCATATGTTATCGATACACCTCGCGCAAGCTCTACCAGCACCTTTATGAGCAACATGCTCTACGCGTGCAGTATCTTGTACAAGACCAAGCTCCCAATGATCTTGGTCTTCAACAAGACTGACGTCAAGGATGCTGAGTTTGCCAAGGAGTGGATGACCGACTTTGATGCATTCCAACAGGCTCTGCGGCAGGAGGAAGACGCAGGCGCCTTTGGAGCTGAAGGCGGTGCCGGTGGCTTTGGTTCGGGTAGTGGATACATGGGATCCCTTCTGAACAGCATGAGTCTCATGTTGGAAGAATTCTATCGACACCTGAGCGTCGTTGGCGTCAGCTCAATGACCGGTGATGGTGTCGAAGAGTTCTTCGAGGCTGTGGAGACGAAGCGACAGGAGTTTGAGCGTGATTACAAACCCGAACTGGAGCGCAAGAAGAAAGAGCGGGAGGAGCAATCATCATCCCAGAGGGAAATTGAACTTGGAAAATTAATGAAAGATATGAATGTGTCTGGGTCAAGCCGGCAGCCGAGGAAACCCGCCGCAGAGCCTGAGACTGTCAGTGAAGCCGAAGATGAAGAAGATGAGATCATCAAGCGCGGGTTGGCAGATGGAGAAGACAGTGATTATGAGGACTACGTTGGCCCTAACGCTGGCAATGATCAGGGTCTTTCCCAGCGTTACCAGGAGGCTCTAGCAGGCTCCCAAAGTGCTCCATCAGAGCAGGACAACAGCTTCACAAGGTATTTGCGCGCGAGTAATATGCAACAGTGAAGCATTCTTTCACGAAACAGCATTTGATGGGTCTTAATTATTTTCAATGGGCTCTTTTGGTCTCGAGGAGTTTGTGGTCTTAGAGGCGCATTTCATTCATTGCATTCATCCTAGTCAACATATCAAAGTAATCAAATATCATCTTGATATACCTTTGCCTTCATCTTGATGTAGATCGGATAATGCCTGGCACTTGAGACCTTTCTCGTTCCGCTCTAGTGCTCACTCTTACCGCTTATTGATCGAATAAAATTGAGCACGCCCTTTAGTACTCTCCAGGACATGTCCAGGCTCTACCAACTCGGGCCGAAGCAGGCCTCGGGTGATTATCCCGAGCAAAAGAGTGGACACCACGACCTCGGGAGTATATACCCAAATCAAAAACAGGCGTGCTTATTATCTACACACGTAGGTAGGTGAAGTATTGCTCGGCGGTTGGTATTTAAGAAGACCGGTTCCATTATCATACAGTTCTCCATATGTTGACCTCCCCGGTAGGATTGAACGCCTTTACCTTGACTGACAATGCTCTCGTCGAGGCATGTAGTCCATAGTTGATTGCTACAGTCCATTCTCTCGGGCTGCAGGAAGAAAAGGCCTTCGATATTCGCGGAGCCTAGGTTCACGCACTCTTACAGAATGCTGCACAGCAGTAGGATGTCTGGGGGTGACTTCCCTAGACGTATCAGTGTTTTCAATGTATTTTACCCACTTTCCCCAGCATTATGTTGATATGAACGTGCTATGTGAAGATAAAGGGCCGAGGCAGTTTCACAAATCTAAGACGTGGACTTCTCGGTCTCAATGTTTCAAGGAACTCCCATTGACCAGTCACTTCTGTCCGGGCGTTCCGCTAACCCCTCGGACTCCCCGTATTGTGACATGGTCTCCCGAGGTCGTTATATTGCATGTTGTGTGCTCACAAATCCAGGCTCTTTGCTGAATCGAATTGACCCGGCATTTCGCCCACAGGGCACTGAACTAACGTTAGCACTTCAGGCCCCGATTCCAATATATCGATGGAGACCACTGCTACAAAGTCAAACTTCTCATTTCCTAAGCCGCCATGGGTCTCGCTCCTATCGCCATCATTGTCATCGTCCTGGTTGTGTGCCTCGCCATCACAGCGCTCGGGGCTGGCCTGTTTCATCGTCTCAACCCTACGGAAACTAGTATCCAACACAATGCTATCTTTCAGCAACAAATATATATGCGAGCAGTGAGGTTGCGAAATTACAACCTTCTAAGAAAGGAGGCCCGGACTGTAGCAAAAGACCTTGAGTCACGATGTACGTTGCCAAATCATTTTATGACTGATCAACCACTCTTTCGTTCCGCTGATCACCCAAGGACGTGGTCGAACATATCACCAAGTCCCGAGATTCTGCCATTTATATGCGCCAAATTGGCAACTGATGAACCTCTATGTGGAACTTTCATGAGTTTTTTAAGAAGAAAGATAGAAATATGTCTTATATCAACAGTACTGGGTAGCTTCTTCAAATGACTAGATCTCATTTGAACTGGAAAAATATGGGTTGGTCAGAGCAGGTCTACTGGTTGCAAATTAGAAACTGCGTGGGATGCTTGAGTGCATCAAGAGAGTTCTATGTCATTTCCAAGCCTGGCCGCATTCTTCGTTGATTTAAAGCTACGCATCATATCAACGAGATTACAATCTCAACCAAGGCTCTCGTCGATCTCATCAAGCGCAAGAAAGACGCACCCTTGTTGAAGTAGCAGGTTAAGACACGTTTGAATAGGTACATTTGTATATTTAGTTCCTTTTAAGTTTTCCAGTTGTACTGCATTAAGTTTGAACTATTTATCCAATAAGCAAAAAAACTTCCCCTCCTCCGGGGAGTTCTGGAGGGCCCGATAGGTACTATGGTGAATGACTTGAACTATATGGGTCTCGGCGTTGAAGCACATTCCATCTTCCACCATACGCTCCCGGAAGGACTGAGTCTCGGCTTTTACGGAAACGCACATCGGCCGCGGGTCACAGCGATTGAAATGGTGACTATCGAATCAATGGATTTGATACTTTCCGAGGCTAGGGACCTCGGGAGTAAACTGGAACACCTGCACGATGCGGGTGGGTCACGGGAAGTGGGTCCGGGAAAAGCCTCAAAGAAAGAGTTGCCAGTGGTCCTTGCTGGCAGAAAGGCTCATAGCCTCTAGGAATCGCAATGCGATGGAAATATGTATGGATAAACTACGTACGTTGATTTCTACGAAATGGAAGAGACCGGGACAGGAAGGGGAGAGAGAAGGGGGAGGAACAAGGCCTATCTTCCACCCAATATAAACAGATATCAAGATAAATTTCGGCTGCGAATCCCACAAGAGTTGACAAAATATCACTCAAAAAGTATCAGAGGCTTGATCAAGCCCGGCTTTCTCGATATAAATTCCCGGAGACCTGTTTCAATCTCACTGAATGGGATGGCCTCGGTAAGAATGGGCGAAGGATCTATAGATCCATTCTTGATGAATTGGAGAAGAGTATCCATGCGAACTCTAGAGGTATCAGCTAGACCCATCCAGATAGTGATAGCTTTCATCTGCAGCTGAGCTAGGGGCAATTCAACAGGGCCGGATGGAATGGCAACCATGGCAATCTTTGCGCCTAGTGCAGCAACAGAGGGCCAGCAATTGATCGAGTTTTTTACTCCAGCTGCATCGACGATGGCGTCGGCACCGCGTCCGCCTGTGAGCTTCATAACGACATCACCAACATCCTCTACCTTTGGGTTGATGACATGGTCAGCTCTTAAGTCCATGGCAACCGCCAGACGCTCCGGTATCACGTCAATTGCAATGACTTTGGATACCCCCGACAGACGTGCAGTATGAATAGCAGCCAAGCCAACGGGACCCGCGCCGAAAACAATCAAAGTTGCACCTGGAGCAGCAACAGCTCGCTCGACTCCAGTCCATCCGGTGCAGAGAATATCGCCAACAGTGACGGCCTGGGCATCGCTTACACCATCGGGGATGTGAGACAAACAATTATCGGCACATGGAACTCTCACAAACTCAGCTTGCGCACCACCCAAGCTGCCAAAATCCTTCCCACATCCATAGATTCCAAAGTGCACGCAATTCTGGTATTTGAATTCACGGCATTCATCGCACTCGCCACACGAGACCCCGGCCGCTGCCACGACGCGGTCTCCCAATTTAAAGTCTCGTACTGCTGTGCCGATCTGATGAATAGTTCCGACAAATTCGTGGCCTAAGGGAAAATCCCAGTGGGAGTTCATATCGCCATGGATCAAATGGACATCAGATCCGCAGATGGTTGTTGCGCTGACTTTGACAATGACATCGGTGGGAGATTGGATGGTTGGTTCTGGGATATCTTCCAGAGAGAATATGTTGGCACTTTTCACAATAACTCCACGCATCTCTGTGATGTACTTTTGTTCAAACAAAAAGCAACAGGTTTTGCTGTGAATGAATGGAAGTTACTGAGGTACTAATTTCTATATTTATACCCCTATAGAATTCTCCAGATGACCTCGGCACCTCCAAATTCCTACGTCATAAAGAAGAATATATGGAGATGCATAGGTTTACCCCGTCGGCATCCGGGTGCTAGCATGCTGAGAGACCTTCTAACAGACCTCGGCATCCCGGTATTGCGGCGTCTTCACTACAACAGAGCCCCATATTTAATGGACTCATCCGGTATATACTCTCCTGGGGTCCCAGGTGTCCACTGCAAACTTTCTTATCTATCTATTACAGCGTAGCATCTATATAATTTGTGCGGTGGAGACTCCAAAGCCCACAAATAATGGGCTCACAACTCTCCTCTTTGGCTGTTATATACATTCTGCACGAATACGGGCGACGAAATATACCACTAGGAACTTTAGCCATATTTTTTATTAGCGTCAAAAGATAACTTAGGTACTATTTATCCCATTTCATAGCTGAGGACTCATTTGCCGGGGCGCCAGGGCCCCGGAAGTGAACCGTATCTACCTATACAGGAACTAACCTTGGAAGGTACTAGTAGTTGAATATCATATATATTACCCCTAAAAGAAACATTAAATAGGTCATAGATTTGTATCGTCCCTGCAGATCTGAAACTCTTACTGGTCTTAATCCTGCACAATAAGGAGATTGGCAATATCGGACGCGAATGATGATGATGAATCATTGATATTCAATTTTTGAGGAACTCGTGATCTAATATAAGAACAGTAGAATGTACTTGAATATATCTATTTGATCTACGCCTGTCATTGGTCAGTTTGGCGCAGCAAGCCGGCTCTCCTCCAGGGCTTGTTTTATTGATGTGAAGCACTGCTCCAGGCTATTAGTGAATTAAGATCCAGCTCACTCATTAGGGTAAAGACGAACATTATCCCAACTTGAGGGTAACCCTTCTTTGAGATGACAACAGTCATTCAATTACGGCGTTCGGAGTACACCTCTCTATATTGACAAGCGTGGATGTTCAAACAGGTCAAACACCACGGTACCTGAATGACGTCACTTCCTTATAATGCTTCAGCCTTAAAAAAGGATCGCTTTGGAGCTCCATCTTCCTCCGATCTGTTCTGTCCATTCTTTGACACGAGCTATTTCAATATCGTGAAAAGGCTTCAATTCACTATTGAAAGCCATACCAGCGAACTGCTATCATGGATGTGAGCTAAGCCTATTATTCCCTCCAAAGCTATGGAAGATCGACCTCGGAACCGGAACTGAAAACTAACTTGACAGGTCTTTCACGCCTACACCTACTCGACGGCCGCATGGCTGGCGCTTCAGAGCTTACCTTTGATTGCTGGACCGAGTATTATAGTGACCATGCTGCTCGACGAGACTCGGCCTGTTTCCCGTATGTGGCCCACACCCTGAAAGTGCCGCGCGCATCCGTTGGCGAGCCATGCTAATCCTTCGCCCTTCAAAAGCCATGGAAATATACTTCGCTCGATGCCTCGGGTTTAGTTTCCTCACTATCGCCGTTTTGACCATGATGCTGACCGGCTCCATCCCTCTGACGTCTGACATCAAGGAGTCTGTGACAACAGACGAGGACGATCCCAAGGCGCCATACGCTATACCGACTCTAATGGTAACCTCTATCTTCCATACTGCATGTGCTTTCTATGCGTACACCTGGTATGTTACCGGCGGACAGGGTCTCTTTGCTATCGGTGTTGCTGGATACTCTAGTATTGCGGCCGTTGGGTTATGGTGCATGCTCTTTGCTAGCAGCAATGGCAAGATCAGTCGCCGTACAGGTGCAGACAAGAGGACGACGGGGTTCCCTTTCAAGAATTCGGAAGCAGCGAAGAAACATCGCAAGGGTTTGTAAGCTCCCGAGGCTGTTCATTGGAATCAATATGGCATCTAGGTGTTCAATGCAAATAGATGGTAATATTTCAATATCCTAATATCTGAGAAAAAAAAAATTTTTGTTCTTTATTATTACTTACCAATTAGAAAAAATTAAGAGAAATTAAAAAAGAACCGATAGATGCCCAGACGTGTTTTTTTGTACCTGAGAACCTGATGATGATCCAAGCTTCCCTCATCCCCACAATGCCGCTTCAACCGTCCCTTCTTCCCCCCAAAAGCAGCACGCCTCTCCACAACTTTATATTATTAACAACATGGACTCTGAGCTACGACTTTCGTCGCCCCGCCTGGGACCTTCTATGCCGATAAACGACCAGTCCAACCTACAGTTGGGCCAATTTGACCCAGAATCACAACCCTTCGGGCCATTTCGTCCCCCGACCGAAGCTGAATCACAGCTCCAGAACGCGTTCATTCGTCCTCCAAGATCAGGCGAGCCAGCGAACAATTTCATGGCGTCTCCATCCACACAACAACACCAGTCGCACCAAGGTCACCCTACCAATGGAGTAGCCTCGCACTTACAACCACAAGTGCAGTCCTCCAGTGGGTTGCATCAATCGCAGGACTACAACAATGGTGTTGCTCATGCAACGAATATGAGCGGGGCATTGCATGGTACTGCTACTGGACAAATGGCACCTCCAACGTCGCTATCCCAAAACGAGCTAGCGATGGGAAACAGCGCGCATCAAGCTCAGAATAACAGCTTAACAACGCTGCAGTCCCCGAGTCAAGTGTTTCAGTCAGATTTTATCGAGCTAGATTCTGGCTCCGCGGATCCGGCATCTTTCACGGGGCCTGGAGAGCTGCAAGGCTTCAAATTGATCCCAAACCCCCCGCATTTGGATTACTGGAGAGATAGGTTGTTCAATGTTGATGAAATGATCACACTGAGCGAGGAGGAGTATGTAGACTCCACTTTTGGGATTCTTTCTACTCTATTGAGAGGCTGACTTGCACATACTTTTCGACAGATTCCAAACCTACTTCCCCCACGTTGACAACGTATACTCTCATCGCTCAACCCAGCGATACAAGCGTAAACCATTCGTCTCCCATTACTGGGACTGTCGACTCAAAGGACGACCCCCCGGGACCCCCAAGTCCGATGACCCAGAAAAAAAGAAGCGCAAGCGTACGGCCAGAGAACGTGATCTCTGCCATGTCAAAATCAAAGTCGTGGAATACTTCCCAGTGTCCGAAATATCAAATACAACCCATCCAGTCGAACCTATGCCATCTAACGTTCTACCTGGCATGTATACTTTCTCTTTGAATGATGACCCTGCAATCCGAAATGTCCAAACATTCGGTATGCTCACGCCAAATCCCGGTCTACCACCAAATCATCCGGGTTCGAATGGTGGGAGATATTTCACTCTACAGCGGGTGAATGGTAATGGTGCCAATGGGAAGAACGACGGAGTGAGTGGCGGTCATCAACATACACTTGAAGAGAGCGATCGTGTGAAGAAGAGTAGTGTGCAACGATATGTTCTGAAGGAAAAGAAAGACAAAAGGACGAGATCGGTATGTCAATCCTGCTTTGTTCTGTTCATTTGCATAGACGTGGACGAGTATCCCTGCATGATCCCGGCTACATCACATGGCTACATTGACTTCATCCAAAAATCAAGTCTTCATCATTTTGTTTCCATTTCTAGCATTTTGGATTGTGCGGCTGTAACACTCACACATAATAGGACCGAGTCATGTCTCGAACAGGCCAAAAATCATACCATACAAAAGCGACGGGCTTGGCCGCTGAAACTGCGATCAAACACTCTGCCGATGTCAATCTCAAGCTATATGGAAGCTGCTTTTGGTGAGACCTTGCCCTGATTCGACTCGTTCTGATAAAATTTTGTTGTGTATTGACTTGGCCTGCATGCTTGAAGCCCCTTCGTGCAACGGGTATGGATTGCATTGGAACTGAAAGGGATCCCGTACCAATACATCGAAGTCGATCCGTACGAGAAGCCCCAGTCACTATTAGAGGTGAATCCAAGAGGACTTGTTCCTGCTTTGCGGCACGACGACTGGGGATGCTATGAAAGCAACGTGTTGTTGGAATATGTAAGAAAACCGAATGGCCAGTTTCCCATTTCCTTCACTAACCAATCCCTCGTAGCTGGAGGATCTGGGCGTAGGAGCTGCAATGCTTCCAGGAGACCCAAAGCTGCGCGCTCATTGCCGGTTGTGGGCGGATCATGTAAGTAGACAGACAGGTCTGTTCTAGTGATCTTCACTGATAGCGCTCCAGGTCAATCGGCATGTTGTGCCGAGTTTCTACCGGATACTGCAAGAACAGGACCAACAGAAACAGATCGAGAAGACACAGGAGCTGCGAGATGCGATGGAGAAGCTGCTCGAAGTGGCACACCCCAAGGGGCCCTTCTTCATGGGCCCACAGATGTCTCTTGTGGACGTTCAAGCTGCCCCGTGGGTTATTCGACTACGGCGGGTCTTGAAACCATACCGAGGATGGCCAGATGCTGAGGAGGGAAGCAGGCTGGCTATTTGGGTGAATGCAATCGAGAACAACCAGCATGTGCAGGCGACAACTAGCACGGATGAGCTGTACCACGACAGCTATGAGCGATATGCCCGTGAGTCTCGCATGCCGTTTTTTTTTTCAATGGTACTGCTAACACTTCATGTCACAGAGAACCGTCCAAACACATCCCAGGTCGCAAATGCAATTAACGCAGGACGAGGCCTCCCTTAATACCAGCACAACGGTATATGACGGCCAGTGTCCTGGGAAGAAAAGATATTGGCCAGATGTACATTAGCCTGTCCGAGCACCTCGGTTGAAATTGAAGCCACCTCTCCCACTTGCATCAGGGCCTCGAGGACTGCGAACCGGCTGCTGTGGAGCCTGAGTGTCGGAGCCACTTCGCTCAACTTGCGGACGGCCACCTCTCTGTAGGAAGGGTGCATTTGACTTGGCCGAAGTGGAGGGATCGTAGAGATGTCTGGAGGACTTGCTCGAGGTCGACGAGGAATCTCTCTTCTGATGATCTCTTCCGCCGCCACGTCCTTTGCCTCTTGCTCTGCCCTCACCTGTAGAATTTTGACGAGGCGGGGTTGTACTGCCAGGCGACGAGGTACCCGAAGCGGTAGCAGATGGGCTTCCAAACAGACGCTCGCGCGCTTCCTCGTACTTCCGCTGCTTCTCCTCCCGATTCTTCAGTGCGATAGCATGACGCTCCTCGGGTGTTGGCTGGGGTGGCTTGTTGTCATCGTCCGAGTCGTCGTCATCGTCTAGTCCGAGTCGGCCAAGTCCAGCCGCTGCGGCATTGATTGTTCTTGAGGACGATGATGACTGTCTTGTCACAAGCTGGGGTTTCCGACTCAGCAATGTAACCGCGGGCTTGAAGTCTTGCTTAAGGGGAACATCGGCGCGCGCTTCAACGAAGTGGAATGTTTCTGTAGATTCACTGCAACCCAGTTCAGTCTTTTAAAGAACCCAAAACGCAACAGAAGCTAGCTGACAATTCAAACTTACGCTTCAGCCCATAGCTGACGATTGAACTCTGCCTGTTCCGCCCTGCGTTGCGCCTTGGTCACTTTGGATGAGACTTTCTTCTCGGACGGCGGGGTAGACTTGGAGTCGAGTTTCTGTAAACGATGGCCATCAGCATATCATTCATAGTTTGCAAGCATTGAGTAGACTTGAATATCAGACTAGTGTCTGTCCCAAATGTCACATAGTTCGCCTGGTATTACTTACATCTGCTTGGTTTTCCCATGAATCCTCCCAGGCATCGGGAACTGCACCGGAGTTTGCGCTCATTGCACACAGAATGAAGCAGGATTAAGAATAGAGGGAGGATATCGAAAACAATACTAATAAAAATATGCTAATCACAAAAGCCAGCATTAATTCGTATGTTCATGGAGTATATAAGCTGGGGAAGAAGGAAGAAGAAAATTCATACGAGCCCCGGGGGCCACCGCCTGTCAACCGTTGATCTCTCCACTCCCCGCGTCTTGAAGTTTGAGAACTTTTGAAACTACAGATCGACCATCTAACCCATTTTGTTTAATTCCTGGTCAACAATGGCGATTGGTAGGTCTTTTCTATTCCCTCAAAGCTATACGAAGTAGCCGAGAAAAGCACAGTGGGCCCGCGATATCGATAGCGCTCCATACCCACATGTGCACCCGCCTCTTCTTCCTTGCTACAAACCCGGGGATTACATCCATTAACAAACACCTACCAGATCCCAAAGACCCAGACGGTGACTCTACAATGACCTCCTCCATCGACTCCATCCGCCCCGACGATAGTGCTAGAACCGGCGCCCGCACTCCGACCGGTATCGCCCAAGCTTCCTCGGCGGGCGTTGACGTATCGGAGCTTTCCCCTCCTGGATCCCAGACAAAGCAAGAAGCTGGCGCCTCTGTTGGTGACATTGGAACTACGCTGGAACAGCGTGGAGGACAGCCTACAGAGAAGATGGTTGAGTCGAACATCGCGGCGTGGAAGAGCAAACGTGCTCAAGAGGACTACCAGCGTGCGACGGAGTATCTTGTTGATAAAGATTTCAAGCTGGGTATGTTGGCTTCCTATATCTACTTGGTTTAGCTTGGGCTATGCTCCATCCGTGTGTCTGTATAGTGTGCTAACTGGGTGCCTTTTGTTTCAGATGAATTCGGGGACCCATTTGATGAACGTGACTTGGCGGAGAAGCTGCCATGAGTCTGCATGTCCGGAGACTGTTTTCCCGCGTATGATATGAATAATGAGACATGACTTGATTCTTTAGCTTGTGGTTCTTTCGGTACATTTGGTCTACGAGAAGTCAGTATTTTTCGCTCGCCCGTGAGGGACATTTGTAGGCGGGGCTGCTTCAATTCACTGCCGTACAGTGCAAAGGAAAGCTACTCCATACTTATTCCATGCTGTCATGGAGCAATATCGCCTGCTGCCCTTGTAGATGGCTTTTCCAGAAAGATATTCTATGCCCGACCTGCAGGGAAATAGATCTGCAAGCTGTAGTAATTCCATCAAGCGACTAAATGATTTCAACCCACTTTTTTTCGGAGCTTTCGTGTGGTATATATGTTGGCGGTACTTGGATAGTAGTTTGGTAATCTTTGTTGGTTAAGATATATAGTCGCGATATCCGTGGATATACCAAGTTATTCACTATTTGCGCTCTGGTAAGGATTGGAATTGAATCAGCAGACTTCTATTAAAATTCTATACATTAATGATCGCCACTCAGTCCACGTTGGGCTCTGCCATGCGGTGGTTGGCAGGGCAACGGATCAAAAGAGATCAAAGCAAAACCACAACGGCCCGCTTCATGACTTTCACATCCATCACGACAACTGATATTTTACTGAGGGGCACGCTGAGTTGCGTCCTTGGATTTGCATTTTTTTCTCCTGCATTATATTAGATAGCTTGACTTGATTCATCTAAATTACTCGAACATACTTCGCCAAATCGAATTCCAACGGCTTTGACACATTCCACGCGTGTCAACAACAATGGAGAACCAACCTCCTTCGCCGCAAGCATGGTATGTCAACCCTTTCTTTCTTTCTCTGCTTTTGGATTCAATGTTTGTTTTGTTTCCTTTGCCTCAAAAAGATCATTCGCGCCTCGCTCAGGGGTCTGGTCTCTTTTCTCCTTTATTTTGAGACCCACCGCCATATAAACTTGAGACTAACGCAAACTGCCTCACGCGCCATCAGCTCTTCCAACCCTCCCACTGAAAGTTCCTTCAGTTTTACGCCTATCAAAGCCTTGAGCGCCTTGCCGCGACTGTGGGATCGCAAACCTTCGACGCCTGTCCGGGCCGGAGATAAGACACGAAAGCTGTGGAAGCGCATTCGCTTTCCTTTTACTGCCATGAATACCGTGTCAGGAGTCCAAAACTCCGGGGTCGGTGCCTCTAAGAACTCGGACTACCAGCGCGGCGTGAAGCGCCAGTGTGTTGACCCCGCCGAGGCGGACCACGAGAGTGAGGCCGAGCAACGTGGTCGGTCTTTCCTTGAGACTAAATGGGAGATGCAGGCGTCTCGGAAACGACGTAAGTTTCTTTCTATATCATGCGAGCTGTGTAAAAATCATACATCGCATCTCGCGCTCCCGCATTTAGGAAGACCTTTCATCTAATAATTTGCAGGCAAGTTGCCCGAATTCAATTTTAACATCCACGACGAGGGCTCCCAGGAGGTGTTTGGTTTCGTCGCAAACCAGCCTAGGGGAACACTCGATGATGTTGTTGGCGACGTAGCTACGAATGCGGCACCCCAGTCGCTCCGCGATCTGTGGAAGACTACCAAGACGCCGGTCTACAATGACGCTATGGCCACGGACCTCACCGAGCTGAATGCTACAGGATCCGACGCAAACACAGCACAGGGTCTAGAGTCTAGACCATCCAGCCAAGACGCGCCGACTGTGATCGATAATGCAGGAGAGGACCAGACCAACCTAGTGTCTACCACAGAGTCCGTTCAAAACCTGACGCAGGAGCAGGAGATCAAATTGGTGCGATCGGCATTGCGAAGCTCCTTGGATGGCGAGGATGCAGAGCTGCTCAACGACTTCCTTTCCAGGGCGAATGCGAAGCGGGCCGCCAAGGCCACGCATCCCGAGGATGCGAAATCACCGCAGGTGTCTTCCAGCCCAAAGGAGTCGCCGGAAGTTGAATGCTCAACACCGCCACCACGTCGCGCGTTGGAGGAGCTGACAACCAACTCACCTTCACCTGTCAAGTTGCATTTCTCGCCCAGTAAATATGACGTCAAGCGCGCTGCCGATGGCGCCGATGATCGGGAGGATATCATCCCCAAAGAGACCAAGGAAGAAGCCCCTTCTAGCCCTGGATATCGTCGGAGTACCCGAACCAAAGGCTCGAGTACCCCTGCCATGCGCAACACTATCTCATTCCGTCGAGCTAAAGGGACAGAGTTCGTTTTCCAACAGCGAACTGAGACCCAGCAGGTGGCTATGGCTACAAAGCGCAATACCCGGCTCAACAAGGGTAAATCTGTAACTCCCATGGCCGCCCTGGAAGCGCTGGCCCAACAGTCGAGCGAGGAAGAACTTCAGCCGGGCAATTCACAGAATGAGAGCTCAACTCTCAAGGACACTAACTTCCGTGGGCCGAGCAAACCACGAAAGCAAGTGTCTTGGAATGAGGAGCGTATGGCCGAGTATGAAGAGTATAGAGAGCCAATGGACGGGCAGGAAGATGAAGAGGAGGGTGACCGATGCACGAATGACGTGGGCGCAACGCCTCGCCCGCGACCAGAAAGCAAGCGCACAGCAAAGAAAGCAGAGTCCGGTCATCGCAGCAGCCGTAGCCAAACCCAAAAGGCAGACGAGACTGCAGATAGTGGGGCCACCGAGAGCGGCCCAACCCCGACTACTGCACCTGCTACTGTAACCCCGCGCTCACGCCGGGTGAGGCGTTTGGGTGACTCGGGTATCTTAGGGTCTGGTACCCCAGTTAAGACTGGAAGCCGCAGCACAAGCAAGCCTCCCGCAGCCTCGGCGTCCGCCGTGGCTGATGTTGCCCCTTCCACACCTACCAAGGGCCGCCGCAAGCTTGCTCCCAAATCGCCCAGCTCGTCCAAGCTTCCCGCACGATCCTCTAAGCGTGCTAATCACACTACGGATCAGCCTTTCGTCAGTGGTATCCCCACTCGCAGCTCACAGAGCACAGAAGATGGACAGCGACAGAGTATGCTTCAAATGAGCGCAGGGTGCACGCCCACAGCTCGGCGCGTTCGGTCGAGATCTTGATTGTTACCGGATATGGTGCGATTCTCATTGGATTATACGACTCTTTATACCCTGGCCAGTCTCCGGTCCTTCTATACCCCGGTTCCCATTCTAACGCTCTTTATTTATCGGGGGAGTTGCTCGTGTTTTAAGATACCACTTGATTGTTTGCTTTGTTTTTTCATTTTTTCATGTATGCATCCTTATTGAATTTGAAACTTTTTTCACTTCATCTTGATCAAGATAAGATTAACTGCACGGTTCACCTGCCCTATGCAGGATGACGTCTGTGCCGTTGCGCCACGCTGCCCCTCTGCCCCTCCATCGGGATCTGTATGGGGGCATTCTAGTTACAATCTTGGATGTTTGTCCCATTCTCATTCTCTGACCACAACCTTTGGGTTGAACCCAGTATTCGTGCAGTCCTAGCTTATGCACCTAACCGCTTTGACAAGCTCTAGGCTCGACTATATTGCAGCGGGCTGCACGTCTGGTCCGTTGGTGATCCCTCATACCAGTGGCTTGCATATGTTTCCTTTTTTGAATTGAGTTACTTCCAATTATACAAGGTATATATTGCTGCCTTCCAAGGTTCTTACCCGTACCGATAGCCGATACATGCTGATCTCTTGTTTTGATATTTGCAAAAGGTCAGAGTAAGTATGCAAGTTGACTGCGCTGACATTTGCAATATCTTTCATACAATAATGTATATTGCCGATGCAGTTGTATCTCACATGGCGTCCCATTGGCAGCGAACACGTACTTCGTACCACGAGTATGTCCAATATGAATACTAAATCAGACTGCATCATCTCAATAGTACAGTATCCATATACTACCCACAACCACCCCTATTGTAGGCCATCTAGGTAGGAAACAGGTTGACAAACTTCGACTACGTATTATAATCCCCCGAAGTTCCTCCCCTATCGGCTTAATCGGGATGCCCGATCTCAACACTCGGCTTCGCAAAACCCGACCCAAAAGTCTCAAATAAAAAGTCAAAGAATGTTTCATTAGCCAAGAAATGAGGCATTAAATTCCAACATACAAGATAGTAAGTGCATCCCGTCACTAATCGGGCCAATGGAAGAGAACTGCGCTATACTAGTACAATACATAGACACGACAGCGTGAACCAATAGCAAATAAACACCTAAAGGGCTAATCAACAATTCAATGGGGAAATATGTACAAAGTAAACACCAACAATGTGCTCTGACCACACAATCCAAACCCACTACCCTATTAGGCGTTTCGGTGTTAACACCAACCAATATGCCCTCCGATTTCAATATTGGATGGCCCAATGCACATCCGACATCTCCCGGCCGAAACTGTAGTCAGCAACGCTAAGGCCTAATGCGGTAAGCGCGCGAGAACGCTGAGCCCCTTGAGTGGCGCAGGGGCTTCCGAGAGCCACAAGTCAACGCGAGATGACATCGTCTGCAGGGCTCGGAGCACACTGCTCCTGTTTTGAACATGGAATTGCTATCCGCTTTTTAGAGTTGTATTTTTGAATAGCATTCGAATATGGAACTTCTTGTAGTATACAAGTTATACAACGGTTGTATGTTAGATGTCCTTTTTGGCTGCTTCGGTAACACTATTTTTTTTTGAAGGTGGTGCCTTGTCAGGTACGGTGTAACCCTAACGGGTTGTTTTTATGTTATTTTCATGTTATAATCTTCTCATTCGAGGATGATTTACTTTGCTTATTGGTCGAGGATCCTAGGCCATACTCCCAAGAACAGTATACTACATACGAAGTACACTGTTACAACTGTAGGGTCCTTTTGTAAAAATATTTGCAATTCCTTTACAATTAGTATCTTACCATTCTCTTAATATTGGGTGTAATCTTATTCCAGGTTGGTTTGGTTTGACTCGCCTCGTTCATTGGACGTAGACATTATTGATGGGTGGATCTTGGGCGGGTGTTTGGACCTACGGAATGAAGGCTGTGGCAGCCGGTGTGAGAGATTAGGTGATTAGTGCCAGCCCTGGAGGTTACACGAAAAGAGGCGGCTCAAAAGTTTCCGAGCTATGGAGTATACGTTGTACAATCTAAAATCTACGGTACAGCTGAAACACAGTAAATAGAGTGAGATCAATGGTATGTCCAATTCATCTAACAGAGTTCGTAGTCCGTTCATTAACTCATTTCCACCCAAAATCCCCGTTTTGGGGGCTATTATTCTTGTCTTTTTGTAAATTGGAAAATCTAAATAGACAGACCAGAAGCAGTCTCTTCGGGCCAGACATCGTAGCCGAAAGTATCCCGCATGTTCACGAAGCGGCAGTGGTGGGACTTGGCCACCTCATTGACAGCCTCGAAGTCGGCATCGCTGAGCTCGATACTCTTGAAGTTGGACTCAATGCGCTTGGGGTTGGAGCTCTTAGGGAGGACACTGTAACCACGACGCAGACCCCAGGCAATCAGAACCTGGGCAAGGGTGTTGCCGCCCTTCTCGGCAACAGCGTTCAGAGTCTTGTTCTCGCTGACACGCTCGCCCGTTGTGGGGACCTGGTTCTGCGAGCCCAGAGGTGAGTAAGCCTGGGGCAGGATGTTGTGGGCGAAGCAGTACTGCACAAGCTCTTCGTTGGACAGGAAAGGGTGAATCTCAATCTGGTTCACCATGGGCTGGACCTTGGCATACTTGGCCATGGCCTCAAGCTGGGGGATTGTCCAGTTGGACACACCAATGGCCTTGGCCTTGCCATCGGCATACAGCTTCTCCATGGCGCGCCATGTCTCCTCGTGGTTCTCGGTTAGGTCCTTGAGGATCACGTACTATAATAGGTTAGTTGGGAGCTGCTCGTGTGCTCATCGCGGGGAAAGCTGGCATCTCTTACCTTTCCATCAGGGCCAATCTTGGGCTTATCCTGGCCATCCTTCTCGGCAGCAATGGGCCAGTGGACAAGGAAGAGGTCAACGTAATCGAGCTGCAGACGCTCGAGAGAGTTGTTGACGGACCAGAGGACGTCGTCGTAGCGGTGCAGGTGGTTCCAGACCTTGGTGGTCACGAAGATGTCCGAACGCTTGACGGAGGGGTTGGCCTTGAGGAAATCACGGATGCCCTCACCGACCTCATCCTCATTGAGGTAGAACCAAGCACAGTCAAGGTGACGGTAGCCTGTGTTGAGAGCAGTAGTGACCGCGGCGTAGGTTTCACCCTTGGAGCCCTCGCTGGCGAAGGTACCAAAACCAACGGCAGGGATGGTCACCCCGTTGCTCAATGTGAAAGTCTTTCCAGATGACATGATTGCAATGTAGTGAATATAGTTAAAGAATTGAAAGAAGAGAAAGATACGAGCTGTTAGAAGATAAGAAGATAGAGGAGTGGGGGAAGCTTAGAGAGCAATGACGATGTTGGGAAGTGGGGTGGAGGGGCAGGAGAACCTTGGGAATGGGAATTAGATTTAGGTAATTATTTAATTATTTAATTTTTTTCAATTGAACTTTGAAATTGCATCCGATATACAACATTTACATATTACAACTTAGCTATACTTTCCTTTTGTATATGTCGATCAGAAACCTTGAATCTCGTTCCTTGAAGATCATTGTGTTTTAACAAAATGAAAATCAATTCAATTCGATAATAACAATGAAATATTAATAAAAGAAATAAAAAATGTAAGAAAAATAAGAAAAATAAGAAGAAAAAATAAAAAATAAAAAATTAGCAAAATTACCACTAGTAAATTTCAAAGCTCCATGCCATGACATCACCAACCGAAACGGTGTTTCGAGCGTTTGGCCTGATCGTCATCGGCTCCATCGATCTCATGTCGGTCCACGGGCGAACTGCGCTCCAGTCCAATCGTCCGTCCGTCTCAGGCCTCTTCCTACCCACTCGGCGGGCTGCGTTGCTTCATACTTGGCCTAGCAAGTCTGGTCCTGTCCAATCAACAGCTTCCTGATTCAATTTGGCCGCGGGAAGCAGAACGTGCCGTGTATTGGGTACATGGCAAGACACTGTGTCAGCCACAATGACGCAGGTACCCTGTACAAGCCTGTCTCATTGCGAGAAATGGTCCACCCTATATCTTGCCAAATGATGACGATAATTCCTAGGAATGATGATACCCGGTGAGTGGATCCCTCGTAACCTCAATGGCAAAATACCAATTTCGTTTGTCTCCATTGAGTTCGGTATCAGATATGGCTTGTATATATACTCTGCTGAACTCCCTCCTAGCCATCTTGCTTCCTTATCAGTCAATTTCCATTCTCCTTCTCCTTTTTTACAACTTCAATTCTTCCCTGAGTCCTGAATTCAGTGACCCCCAAGTAGAAGCTTATCCATCCTCCTACTTCCTCCCCTTTATTCAATACCTTCATCATGGCTCGCATCGAGGACTCTGATCTCGCAGTCGATCCGGCTTCCCAGGATCCCCGCGCCCAGGACCCCCACGGTGCTCTCTCTCCCCGGGACCGTGCTGCCTCCGGCCTCGCCATCCCATCGGGCGGCAACACTGTCGAGATCCCCGCCACCCGCAGCGCCATCAGTGATGCCGCTCAATTTATGCACAACTTGAGCTTGTCTCCCTCCATGAAGGACCGCCGGGGCTCGCGTAACTCCTTCGGCACTTCGCTCCCTATCCCCCGCTCCCCCCGCCTGTCCCGCCTCTCATCTGTGCAGCGCGGTGCTCCTTCAGTCTCCCGGGATATCTTGGCCTCCCAGGTCCAGGATATTAACAAGGAGAAGACCGCCAAGGCCAAGAACATGGCCTTCGCTTTCGACATTGATGGTGTGCTGGCACACGGTAACCACGCCATTGAGGAGGCCAAGGTCGCCCTCAAGATGCTCAACGGCGATAACGAGCTTGGCATCCGCATCCCCCACATTCTCCTCACCAACGGTGGTGGTAAGACCGAGGAGGCTCGCTGTGCTCAACTCTCCGAGATTCTCGAGCAGCCCATCTCCACCGACCAGTTCATTCAATCCCACACTCCCATGCAGGCCTTGGCTGAGTACTACCAGACCGTTCTGGTTGTTGGTGGTGAAGGCTTCAAGATCCGTGAGGTTGCCGAGAACTACGGTTTCAAGACTGTTGTCCACCCCAAGGATCTCCTCGCCTGGGACCCCTCTATCTCTCCCTGGGCCACTCTCACCGACGCTGAGCGCGCCGAGGCCAAGCCCCGCGACTTCTCCCAGATGAAGTTCGACGCCATCATGGTCTTCGCCGATTCCCGTGACTACCAGACCGATTTCCAGGTCATTATGGATCTTCTGCTTGCCGAGGACGGCAAGCTCATGACCAAGGCCAAGGACCCTGTCGCCACCCGCATCCCCATCTACTTCTCTCAGGGTGATCTTCTCATGCCCACCGAGCACAAGGGTCTCCCCCGTCTCACCCAGGGTGCCTTCCGTATCTCAGTTGAGGCTCAGTACAAGACTCTCACCGGCGTCGACCTCGAGCGTGTTGTCTACGGTAAGCCCGAGCGCGCTACCTACACCTACGCCGATGAGGTTATGAAGGCCTGGATGGAGGAGCTCCACGGTGTCTCCCGTCTGCCCGATAACATCTACATGGTCGGTGACAACCCCGCCTCCGATATCATCGGTGGAAACATGTACGGCTGGAACACTTGCTTGGTCCGCACTGGTGTCTTCCAGGGCAAGGAGGGCGAGAACGACCCCAACAGCCCTGCCAACTTCGGTGTCTTCAACAACGTCCTCGAGGCCGTCAAGGCTGCCGTCGCCAAGGAGCTCGGCGCCGACTTCAAGCTCAAGTGGAACCCCAAGGTCAACCCCGTCACTCACGGCGATGGTGCCTCCGCCATTGAGTAAATGATCACCCCTGATACTTTCACGCTGAAACGAAACAAAAACAAGTGATACTGGGCTTGAGAAGGATCACCTCCGTGGCGTTCTCCTGTTTTTTCCCCATGTCATGCCATTTCATAGACTTATTTTCTTTCCACCATTTCTCTGCATGTGCCCCTTAAATTCCGGGCTTTAGGACTTCTGATATCCTTTGTCATGTCGGTTTGGATATTCGACTTGAGAAAAGACTGAGATTTACTTTCTATTTTTTTTTTAACAATTTGGATAGTCGGTGGATTCGACTTCCCTTTTTAGACTGGGTATCATGTGCCATGACTCGAAGCTTTTGTTTTGTCTTCTTTTTTTTACACATTTCCGCATGCAGCTATATCCCCCAATATGCAATTTTCATCATTGATGTCGTCAACCAGTCTCTAAACTATGATTTCGATGTAATTTTCTCTTTAGTGAAATCTCCGTATTCTAAATTTCGATTGTTCCAGAAAAAGCAATCATTGACGACATAGTGATGTATCATCCAATCCTGCTAGAGCTCTTGTGGATGTTTATTCTTTTCCACGTCTACCTACCTAGGTAGATTGTCCAGAGCTACCCGTGGATTAGTTTAACATACTTTAATACTTGAATTTTACACTGCATAACAACAAGCCATTGTCAAAAACTGTATAATTACACCAGAATACATATCAACAACGTTGAATCCATACACTCACACGCCTTGACCACGAATATTTCGGGCCAGGAACTAGAAGAAAAGGAAGAGACAAAGAATTATTTTCCCGTCAAGCCCCAAGACATACATAGCCAAAGCACCTATAGTATCTAACCGCTAGAGTGGCAAAACACTACCCGACACCTTTTAAGACACGCACGCTATAAGTCGGGTAGGTACGCATTTCTAGATCATACGTTCTACACCAGGCTTCTAGACCACGGCATTTGAGCGGGTATGCATGTTTTGCCCCGGCAACGAGCTAACGGGACGGGATTGTTGTCTCGGGTACCTTTGCGCTGGTTATGCGTTGTTCTCTGGGGACTGAGAGCTGGCTGGAGTACCAGTAATCTGCCCACCTATGCATAATAGAATATGTTTGTGTCTGAATATCTGAAATAAAGCATGTCGAAAGGGCGCAGATCCTGATGATATTTATGTAGCTATACATTGTCCATAGCCATCAAATGAGTCGCATTGCAAGACGATAATCAAGTCGAAGTGAAACCTGAATACATGGTGAAATCCTATGGAAGAGGGAATATTTGGTCAATAATCCACAGAAACAAAATGATTCAGACATACTAATCAACTCAGATATATGCATTTTTGAGCGATGTGTATACTTTTGTATGGGGCTGTTACAACGGTCTATGTATTTTCCGAGGTGTTGAATACTCGGTTCCCAGTCATATATTGTAACATAGCTTTTGACATATATGTGCCCAGGTGGGGCTAACCTTTTAAGGTTGGAAGGGGTGTAAGAATTTATGTCCACTATAATTATCTCATCCTACCACCTATCTCAACCATATGAGTTCTCTCCCAACAGCTTCATTTCCCTGGTACGAAGTAATGTCCCAGTTTCATCGACAAATATCAAGGCCGGAGGCTATCCCGCCCTAGCCTCGACCCCTCGAAAGCTGGCCACCCGCCCCATCTCCTCATCCGCTAGCAGCAGACCCACATGGTCCGTCTCAAACGGCAACACAACCTCCAGGCCGCCCTCCTCCTCTGTCCCCGCCGACCGCCGTGGATAGATCATCATCATGTTCTCCACGACGGTGTCGGCAATCTGACGAGCCGCCGCCGGTCGGCCAAAACCGAAATCGACGGCACACATGTTGGCATCGCGCCAATCTGTGACCGCAAGCGACATTGGGGGCACAGAGTCGAGGCGGACATTCAGGGCGGATTTATCACGTATGGGTGCCATAGCCGCCAGGGTGGCCTCGAGGGACTGCGGGGTGACGCTCTGGGTGATTTCGCGGATGAAGGTGGCCAGGACGGCCAGCGGAGTCTCCGGCGAGATGACTTGACCCAGCGTGAGCGGTCGGGGGTGGAGGAAGGAGAGCCCGCCGCTAAGGACGTTGCCCTGGTAGCGCATTGAGAGCGGGGGGTTCACTGTTGGGAAATCAGTTAGGATTGGGGAGCATGACGCGGGAGGGATGGAGGCGAGGAGGTCTTACACCGGCGGCGCATGTTGATGGACTCGAGGAAGACAGCGGGCGCGGAGAGATCGGGGCGGTAGATCTGGGCGCGGTTTCGGGACAGCACCCGCCACAGGAATGCCGTCAGCGCATCGTAGGTGGAGATCCATCCGCCCGTGGTCGGGCTGGCCTGGCGCTTAAGGGCGTCTAGCTGGCCCTGCGGGATGTGGAAGAGCAACCACGAACACGGCAGCCAGTCGGGATGCCGTGGGGCGGCCGGCGGGGCGGCCACCCGATCGGCCTCAGCAACGGGCGGGGATATGAATCGTGCACGGTCCATCCAGGCCTCGTTCCATTCCGGGGGAGGCGTGCCGCGCAGGAGGGCGTGGCTATGCCCGGCGATCTGGTGGATGAGGCTGGTAGTGCCTGTGACATCCATGGCGAAGTGGTGCTTGTGCACGGTGAAGACGAACCCTCCCGGGATGAAGGTCAGTTGGTACCCGGAGATGCGCGGGCTCGCGTTCGGCGGGCAGTGGCACGCCATCGTCATGCCGGGGATCGTAAACTGCGCCGGGTCCCCCAGGCTGGCCGACGCAAAGTTTGCCTGTTCGATCTCGGCGTAGGAGGGGCCGTCGAGATGGTTAACAACGAAGGGGACTGTGCTGTCGGGCTTTTTCACGATGGAAAAGTCGCCCTGCGCATTCCCCTCGATGGTGCCCACCATGTGGCGGCATTGCGCAAGCGTGGCTTGCACAGCATACCGCAGTGTCTGGGTGACGACGGGGATATCGCTCGGTTGGTCGAGCTTGAAGATCAGGGCCCAGGTGCTGTAATTCTGCGTGATGATCAAGTCGAGGGTCGACAATGGGAACCGCTCCTCAACGGCCAACTGCCGGTGGGGCAAGGGGAAGATATGCTCGGTTTCTCGTCGGGAGGGGGCCGAGTGGCTCACTCGGCGGATGGACGGGAGACGACCAGCACGGAGGGAGCACACCCCCCAGCGGAGCGGAGACAACATTGTGGTGGGATTCGGGTTGAGAAGAACAGACATACGAACAGACAAGGAACAGGGGAGGGGAGAGTCACAGATTAAATATCCAAGCCGTCAGCTTACTGTCGGCCAAATCATCTTTATTTGGGCTATCTTTGAATAATAATAATAATATGCAAAGGCCCCGAACTTCCTAATTCCATTCCTTAGATCGTCAGATGTATACCTCTGATCCCCAGCAGTCCTACAGTTCTACCAAAAATTAACCCGTTTTGTTAAAAGAACAACAGCATCAATATACTAGACATAAATATTTAAAAAACAGGGTTGTACAGAGAATTACATACCTAATATCATATAATGGATTAAATTTATCTATGATAAATTTAAAGGTGCTGAAAGATGTAAAATTACGACCTCTTTTTACCACTACTCCTCGCTGCAATATAAATAGCAGCGAAGGTACTTTTCAGTTGGATTTCTCTATTCTCATATATGTACCCACCCACATCGTGTTTGGATGGAATTCGGCCAATGGATGGCCCAGCTTAGTTCTACTGCCAATTCTTTCCAGGAATCAGGAATAGAAAAAGGTCAGCTACTGTCGTATTACATTCAATACTCGGCATCTACTCACATGAAAATATTCTTCACCTGCTCGTTCATCCCACATGCCGCCCCTCTCATTTACGGCCTAAGAGCGCCCACACCGGTGCTCACGCCTTCACAATGACCCGCACCCCCTTGGAATCCCATTTGGGCATCGGCCGCACCAGATCCATGATGAAGTCCACATCACTACGGTCCGTCTCGAACAGCTCCAGCTTGTGACGACGGAACAGGGTTGCTAACGCCACGTACATATCCATCAAGGCTAGATGCATGCCGATACACACGCGGGAGCCCCGGCTGAAGGAGGTCAGATAGTACGACAGCCGGTGCTTGCCATCAAAGCTCATCGGGTCCCCCAGCCACCGCTCCGGCTTGAACTCGTGCGGATCCGGGAAGATATCCGGGTTGACATGAATGTGGTAGGCGTCCATGCTGACGGCCGTGCCCGCGGGGATCTGCCACCCGCCATACGTCAGAGTCTGGTTGCGGTGCACCCGTGGCAGCCGCTGGACTGAGCCGAATGACAGTCGCAAGGCTAGACAAGTAATGAGTACAGGGTGCTGAAAGAAGTCAGAGGAAAATCCGGGGTACACTCACATTCGCTGATGACGGCTGATAGGAAGGGTAATTTCTCCAGTTGCGCCCAGGAGAGGATCTGGTCCGGGTCGGGCATCGCCTCCACCAGCTCAGAGACCAGCCGCTGCTCGATGGCGGGATTCCAGAGGATGTGGAAGGTGGCCACCGACAGTGTCCACATCGTGGTCTCGATGCCTGCTCCACTGACGCTCATGGCCTCCTGCGTTAGGCGATGGAAGGAGAGCTCCGCGGGGGGAAGGTTGGCCTGCAGGATGTCCGTGAAGATGGTGGGATGAGCGGCCGCCTTGGACTCGACGTTAGTGCCCGCCAGCACATCCTTGATCTGCCGCTGGATAGCCTGCTTACGCATTAGTCCGCTGTCGTAGTCGGCGCGATGAGAGGGACACCTACCACGCGATAGTCTAGGATGGGCTTGAAAGAGGGCACCAAAACCCCCATAATGGAGTCCGGCATCCATTGGGTCATGCGCATGATCCAGTTGAAGTGGGTAGTGTAGTGGGCGGCGTAGACCCAGCTCATCAGGGCATGCGAGTAGGGCGACTGGAAGTCTGGGGCGGCGGAGAAGCGCGTCGAGCGCGCGAAGGCCATCTCCGACACCACGTCGGCCGTCAGCGTCCCCCACATGTCGCACACGTTAATAACCGCCCCCGACCCGGCGTATTCACTCCCCAGCCGGCGCGAGATGCGTTCGATCACCTCTGTCAGCGTGTCCCCCAGCGAGCTGATGCGGGCACGCGAGAAGAAGGGCGCGATGGCCGCCCGACGGATGCGGTGATGCTCCGACTGGACCGTGCTGATGGTCGCCTCGGGCATGCCAAACCGGTGCTTGTATTGGACCAGCTTGTCGATGGGTTTGGTGGGTGACGCCGTGCTGTACACCTCGTTGTAGTAGTCCGGATCGTCGATGTGGACCTCGTTCGGGCCGACCCGCACGATGGGGCCGTGCTTCTCGTGCAACCGCTTGACCTGGAAGACGAACTGGCCGCCGTGGCCCTCGCTGACCAGGTCATAGTATGCTTCGTACCAGCTCGACAGCGCCGCCAGCTTAGGTCCAGGGACTTTGGCCAGCGGACTGAGGTAGAGCCGGTAAACCACGAGGTATAGGCCGCGGAGCAGCACCAAGACCGCCGCGCCAGTTACCAGCACTGTGGATGCCGACCATGTACTAGAAAGGATTGCGTTGCTCATGTTCAATTGTTCAACTGCTCAGAGGAGATGATAATACTTTGGGGTGGCGGAGCGAATCTGGTGCTGGCTGCGCAGACGTTTAACACGACCTGGGTGCCTGTGCTGTCCGGTCCCGATGGCTTTCTCTGCGCACGGCCCTAAGTCTGCGATTGGAAGAGAGCCTCGCCCTGAATCTGACCGAGGGGGTGGTCAGCACCAGGCCCAGATGAGGCCTATCTTGCGAGGCCTATCTGGCGAGGCCTATCTGGCGAGGCATGGATCCCGAATCCCGATCCTGGACACGCACCACATCCGTCTCACTGCAGGGCATGGCAGGGGCATTTGTACGTCTTAGCAAGGAGTTAACCTAGACTTGTCCAGATCTTATCAGACGCGTAGCTGGTAATTGTCCGTGGAGCATTGCTGCAGTGTCAGCTCAGCACCTGCAGTGTCAGCGTTGTTTTGCATGGCGGGTGAGAGACGGCGTTTGGCAATATTCAAAGGATCTCGCACCATACAGATTTGGTGGGGAGTATCTGTCTTAGGCCTAAAGAGTATAATGATGGCTTTCGTGGACGCGGCTCGGAGGATAAAGCACGTGGGAGCTGATTGGGTCTAGATTTGGGGGCCAGAGACTATTCTACAGCCTCTCTACAAGCTAACACCTCACCACATCCATACCAAAATCATCCCTTTAATCTTATGAATTTGACTCGGGACAGGCAGGTCCTGTAAAAAGTACTAGTGATTGTATCGTACAGCACTAGCGCCGCCTTATCACTATCACGTTTGGGGCTTTCCGTAGGACTAACTAACTCTGTTGATTCCTTGGGGCGAAAGATTGTTACGCTTGGCCTCGCTTCTCCAAAGTCGAGAAGAACTTGTCCCCCATGTAAGAGTCCCACTCGAATCCTACGATACTGTAGGCAGCATCAATGTGGCTGTGTCTGCCCACTCTCGCCGGCTCGTACACGAGACTCGCCTCAGCTGAGATGATTCTAGAGTCGGGCTGAGTGGCAATATAAATAGAGTACAACAATGATTCCTAGATGAGGGCATTTGCAATCAACCTCGGTTTTTAAATCCCGGACGATGCTTGGTTCCGCGCTTCGTTTTACTCTGCTGCGAGCCTGGATGGCTGTCCGGCTCATGGGGCAGGTAGGTGCTACATCTCCACCTGCATCCTCCCTGGCCGTGTCCACCAATCCCACCAACTCCCTTCTGTCAACTTGCAGGAAGCTGCCACAAGATGCAGACTGGCCCAGCGCGCAAGACTGGGCCCAGCTCAACCAGACGGTGGGAGGGCGCCTGATTGCCACTGTGCCGGTTGCGCATGTATGCCATGATCCCGCCTACAATGCGACTGCCTGTGCTTGGTTCAAGGAGAACTGGCTGACGGTGGAGGCTCAGTGAGTCGATCCCGCCCATCCATCCATTTCCGACTGACCCCGACAGTGTGTACTATCCGGCCGAAATTCTGAATCCCTACTTCCAGGGCCAGTACTGCGAGCCCTTCACCCCTAAGGTCAAGTCTTGCACGCTGGGTAACTATGCCGTCTACTCAATCAATGTCACCGGTGTGTCTGACATCCAGGCTGGACTCGCCTTTGCCACCCGCCACGATGTCCGATTGACCATCAAGAACACAGGTCATGAGTAGGCTTCCCCTCCCGTCTCCCTTCTCCACTCTTCGTCCTGGCGTGAAATTCTTCCATGCTGACTGTGATAGTTTACTGGGGAAGTCCACGGGGCGCGGAGCTCTCTCGCTATGGACGCACAATTTGAAAGACCTCGAGTTTGTTGGCAACTACGCGGGCGACAGTCCGTACACGGGATCGGCGGTGCGCATCGGGGCAGGCATAATGTTCAAAGACGTCCTCCCGGTCGCAGCGGCGCGAGGGAAGCGCGTGGTGAGCGGAACGTGTGGTACCGTTGGGGCAGCCGGGGGCTACACGGCTGGCGGAGGACATGGCAGCCTGACTTCGTTGTACGGGATGGCCGCAGACAGCGTGCTGGAATGGGAGGTGGTGACGGCAGCGGGCGACCATCTGACCGTCACCCCCAAGCAGCACGCGGATCTATACTGGGCACTCAGTGGCGGCGGGGCAGGCACCTTCGCCGTCGTCGTCTCAATGACTACGCGCACGTACGATGATGGGCCCATGCAGGGCGCCGGCTTCACGGTCTCCAACAGCAACACGACCGCCTTCTGGAACATCGTCGACCTGTTCCATTCCAGCCTAGCCCCCGTGGTGGACACTGGGGCCACGTTGACCTACTTCATCCTTGGTACGGAGCTGATTGTCTTCGCCGCCGTCATTCCGGGCAGCGAGCCGGCGCTGGTCACCAGCACGCTGGCCCCGATTGTGCGCAGCCTGGCCCAGGCGGGGGTCGCCGTAAACATCAGCTCCTCCGGCTTCTCCTCGTATTATGCCCTGTACGAGTCCTACTTCGTGCCCACCGAGGAGTCCACCGCCGTCGGCCAGATCACGGGTGGTCGCATCATCCCCCGAGAGCTGCTCGAGCCCGCCAGCCCGAGTCTCAGCAAGATCAGTGCCGCGCTGCAAGACTTCACGGAAGCGGGCTTCTACATTGCCTGTGCTGCTCTCAACGCCAACTCGTCCCGGCAGGCGCCCTTCACCTCCAATGCCGTCTTCCCCGTCTGGCGCTCTGCACTGCTGACCTGTATCATGGTCCAGACGTGGGACTATTCCATCCCCTGGGACGAGAACCTTGAGCGCCAGGCCAACCTGACGAACATCTACATGCCGCAACTCGAGGCCGTCACCCCGGGTGGGGGGGCTTACCTGAATGAGGCCAACTTCCAGGACCCAAACTGGCAGGAGACCTTCTACGGGGACAACTACCCGCACCTGGGGGTGGTTAAGCAGCGCTACGACCCGAACGAGCTGTTCTACGCCCGTACCGCGGTGGGTAGCGAGAAATGGAAGGAGAATGGGGAGGGGAGGTTGTGTCGGGTGTGAGCGTGCCGGAGGAGCCGAATGGGGTTCTGAGAGGTAACAGGGGTCAATGTAGGAAGTAAGATGAATGGAAGATCAAGTGTAAGATATTGAATATGAAAATTCAATATTAATGTATTGAGATAGAAAAATGGATTTGAATGTATGGTATGATGCTTGCATTTGAGATTAATACTACTTTTTAATGTTGCACATTCAGTCTAATTATCTGCTTTTGGAATTGCCTGTTTTTGGCATTCATAGTCAAGTTAATTGCCCGATTTTGCAATTTTAAATATGATAGGGGTGCTTTGGGGTGGGAGGGCCGTTCATACTACTCTGTGCAGTGAGGCAACTTAAGTATTTTATGTTCACTATATACAGTAGTACTAATACGTACAGTATTATGATGTGTAGTGTAGTGAGGGGTAGGATAATGTCTAAAAACGCGTCGTATTTCGCCCATTTTACTAGATTATACCAGTTATACTAGCGTGGGTTATTCCTTATTAGATGGGCAGGGCAGTAGATAGTAGTGGGGGTAGCAATATAGCGAGAAATAAAGGTACTGAAATAAAGAGTTATTGTTATCTCCAATTGGCTGCATACAATACGGGAGTGGGCACAAAGAACATCTTCAGATGTCGACATATTCAAAATATTCTCAAGATAGACAATCTATGGATGACAGCCATAGGCACTGCGAGCAGGGTACATGTGCTATCAATAGGAGCGAGGCTGTCGCGGCCTCTACCACGGGATCTCTGTGCCATCAATCACATTGAAGAACTTGCCCGAGGTCGTCTCCCGAGACGCATTATCAATCTATACGGGTCAGTTAGCATCATTTATCCTTCGAGATATCGAGATAGGGAAGGGCATCACATACAAGGCCTAGAATGGCATCGATACTCTGGCGCTGGGAGTTCGGGGCCTGAGGAAGGCCCATCGCGCGGGCACTCTTGTTGCCGCTCTCCGTTTGCACAAGGCTGTTAGATAGGTAGTTAGCTGCTGACCGAAATCTCTTATCCGGCTAGTATCTCTAGTAGCTTACCCGGGATGCACAGCAAAGGCGATAAAGCCCTTATTGGCGCTGTGGATAGCACTATATGTTCGCCGGAGTTAGCCGATTCTTTTCCTAGCGAGGATAGGCTAGAGCTAGCAGTATCTTACGTGGTGATCCAGTTCAAGCCTGCCTTAGCGATTCCGTACGCCGGAGCGATATGAGCCTTGTGAAGCTCAAGTCGGCCAATCGAACCGGCGGCACTGCTAACCGAAACCCACTTAGGGGCCTGGGACTTCTCCAGCAAAGGCTTAACAGCCTGGTATAGGGCCAGGGGCCCAAGCGCATTCACGGTAAATACGTCGGTCACAATCTCAGAGCTCACAATGTCTACGGGGATAATACCCTTCTCGCCAGCTCCTCCGGCATTAGCTACCACCACATCGATATGGTCGATGTCCGTAAGCTCTTTGATAGCCGCCGCCGGATCGGCCGAGTTGCTGCTTTCAATCTTTACTAGCTGTAGACTCGAGCTATCAGCCTTAGGTAGGGCCTCTAGCTCCTTCACGTAGTTTGCAGCTGTATCGCGAACACTAGCAATAACGGTATGCTTAGGCCGGAGCAGGAAGGTTTCTACCAACGTCCGTCCGATTCCTATCTTCTGTTAGATCAATCCTAATATAGGTCTAGGTAGGACTTACCTCGACTAGCGCCGGTAATGAAAACTATAGTGTTATCGGAGATAGTCATGGCGGGGGGATAGATAATAGAAAGATTTGGATAAGAGTTGTATCTGAATCAATTGGCTTGATGAATGGGATAGAGAGAGAAAGAGGAGTTAGCTTTATGTTTGCAGCCGCCTCTAAATAGTCAGCTATAGGCAATTAATAATGCTTATGTGACCCTCCACGGACGCTTTGAAATCGGGACCTCACGATGACCGATCATTGACAGGGACATGAAATGGACCCCTGTATAGGGCTACGATGGACTATCGGACGAGCTTGAAGCTTGGGTTCGAGAGCCGCTAAGGCCATGCACGTTCATGCATGTCAGATTCTCAATTTTGGCTTATTCTCACAACAAGCTCTGGAGCGGCCCGTGCGAATCCTTCGGGCCGTCTAGTGCCTCTAGTCTCTTGGTATTCGGAGTACTCCGGCATGGTCTGTTTGTTTGGAAACGCCGTGCTAGTCTTTTGCATCTGATTTGGATGATACAACTGTTAGGGACTACTGTTTGTAGGCACTAAAGATCAGAAGGGAGAGAGTTGTATTCGGAAGAGAGAGGAGCGAGCTCCAAATCAACTATCTACACAGCACGCCGCTCAGCCTATGGCAACAATGCATCCACCACAACAGCAACCAAACCAGGCAATGATCTTGTCGAAAGCTATGTTATAATACATGACTGGGAAGTATTCAACACAGAAAATACATGGACCGCTGTGACAGTGGGCTCCATACAAAACTGCATACTAAGGTTCGTCATTGTTGTCCGCACAAATTGTCAAATAGTCTGTCATCTATATCATACCTTGCTGTACACAAGATTTCTGTCAGATCTCAACACAATATATGCAGAATTCACACCCTTGTTGCAGTCTCAGACATGCCTCTCACTACTGACAACAAGCCCAACCAAGGAGGATTATGAATCCGGTGGAATAGTTGTTCAATTAAGACTCTATCATTCCTAATGTAAACACCTTTGGATTCAATTAAATCACCTTCTGTATAAACTCAACCTGCTTCTCCATCGCCGCCGCCAAACTCTCGCCATCCAAGATGTCCATGTGCCCTTTCCCCTCGACGACAAATATATCCCTCGCCCCATGTCTTCCACCGTCTTCTCCCTGCAAAGCTTCCAGATACGCCTTCTTTTGCCGCTCAACCGGTGAGATACGATCCTCCGCCGCACTGATGAGGAGTACCGCAGTCTTCCCCATCAACTGCACCACCTCAAACGGACTCCAACTCACAATATGATAATAGGTCTGTAAAGTCGTAGTATCTTCGAACCCGACAATCTTCTCTTTGGCCTCCCTCACCAACTTGACCTCCTCTTCCCCAACGCCACCCGCGCCAAACCCCGCCGGATTCTCCCCGGTCTCTGTCAGCATCGGCAGCCGAAAGGCTTCGTTGCCCGCCACCTGCGACTCGCGATCCTGCATTGCCTTGGCCAGAACCTTGGCCTGCTTGTTCGCCGGCAGATCCCAGACCGTGAGCGGATTGACGGCAATCACCGCTTTGGCGCGTTTGTCCAGCGCCGCAGCACATAGGGCAATGGCTCCAGCGAACGAGAAGCCCCAGTAGATTATTTTCTGGGGGTTGATGCGGGGATCGGACTTGAGGAAGGTGAGGGCGTCATGGTAGTCGGAGACTTGCAGGGACGGGTTGATGTTGTTGCGTGGCTGGCCGTCGCTGGACCCAATAGTCCGCGGATCGTAGACCAGACATGAGATGCCGCTGGTTTGGAAAGAGTGCGCAATGTTGGGGAGGAAGACATCTCGGGTGGTGTTGAACTGCATCATCTGGTCAGGGAGAGACGAACTATCGGTAGACAAGACGGGGTTCTCACGCCGGGAGTCATGATCACTGCTGAGCTCTTTCCGGGCGACGAGGCTGGGTAGAAGTGGCCCCGGAGGGTGACTCCGTCCAGGGCCTTGAATTCGACTTGTTCGCGCTGCGACATGGTCTGGAATGAGGGTTCAATGAATGATTTCTCCGAGCAGAAATGATGAGGTGTCTGTCTATTATCAGCTGTGCCCCTGGTATCCTGCACAAGGTACTTCCAAGGCCGTCACGTTATCCCAGCTCCCAACCGTCGGAAATTGGTAATCTCTGCGACATCTACAACCTGACCTTGCATTCCGCTAATATAGTTTCGCTGGCAGGGCTATTGTACCAAAAGTGATAACATAAGCACTAATGCTGCAGGATGTAATCTCTAGTACTTTTGAGGACCTATTAGATTTATTAGACAAAACGGATGAGTTTTAAATGTATATTATGTTGCTTATCTTGCTTCCCCTTCTGTGCCGTGGTGCATTGGGCTCTGGCTGGCCAAGGCGATGCGAGATCGGGTAATCACTTGGACTTCGACTCCATCTCGTATCTACAACCTTGGGGAGCAAGGATCTTGATAACGCAATAGTCTAGAGAACTAGAGAACAACGTGGTGAAAATAGACATGGATTGTAGATTTGTCCGTCGTAGATGCCAATCCTTCTCTATATCAGCTGTCGCACCTATATATAAGGTGCGGCTGACACTCTGCGTAGTAGAGCTCTTCATAAACGTTCGAGCAACATAGACTGACCTTGCATTTTCTGTTCAATCCAATAGAATGATAGACTCAGGATCCGGGAAGCAGCTGCTCTCGTCTGTGCCATCCGATAGCCAGACTAACGGGAACACCAACGAGCACACCAACGGCCATACGGCTGGAGAGACTGCACCCACGGGGGTGTCCCAATCCCCCATAGCCATTGTGGGCCTGGCCTGTCGTCTACCTGGGCATGTTCACACTCCCAAAGATCTCTGGGACCTCATGGCCCGCGGGGGTGTGGCTGAGACGAAGCCACCCAGCACCCGATTCAACCTGGATGGGCATTATGACGGGTCCAAGAAACCATTTACCATGAAGACGCCCGGGGCCATGTTCCTCGAGGATGTCGACCCAGCCGACTTCGACGCCCAGTTCTTCAACATCAACCACATGGACGCTAGCTCTATGGATCCCCAGCAGCGAATTCTCATGGAGGTGGCGTATGAGTGCCTGGAGAATGCCGGTATCCCCGTGGAGAGTCTGGGAGGCAAGCGGATTGGATGCCTGGTGGGAGCCAGTGCCGTGGGTGAGTGACCCATCCCCGTATGCTAAGTTAAGGCGGCATGACTGACCAGCGTGAAGACTACCACGACATGACCTGTCGGGACCCCGAGGATCGCACCGAGTCCCCCACGATGGGCACCGGTCGTGCACTGCTCAGTAACCGCATCAGCCACTACCTCAACGTCCACGGCCCGAGTATGACCATCGACACGGCATGCTCGAGTACCCTTATCGCCCTGGACATGGCCTGTCTCTACCTCTCCGCCAACCAGTGCGACGGAATTCTCGTCGGGGGTGTGAACATGTATCTGAGCCCCGAGAGAAACCAAGACATGGGTGCCATGCGTCCCACTGCCTCCGCTACGGGAAAATGCCACACATTCGATGCCAACGCCGACGGGTACGTGGCAGCGGAGGCTATTAATGCCGTCTTCCTCAAACGCCTGGACGATGCGGTTCGGGACAGGGACCCGATCCGGGCGATCATTCGCGGCACAGCCACCAACAGTGCGGGCAGGACCCCCGGTATCGCCATGCCGAATGACAAGGCCCAGGCGGCCGCCATCCGTATGGCCTACGCCAACGCGGGCATCCCAGAGGCCGAGTTGTCGCATACCGGCTATCTCGAGTGCCACGGGACGGGCACGCTGGTCGGCGACCCGATTGAGGTGAACGGCGCGGCATCAGTGTTTGCGGAGAGCAAGTCCACCGCTGATCCGCTCATCATCGGGTCCGTCAAGAGCAACATCGGGCACTCCGAGGCCGCAGCTGGGCTTTCGGGCCTGATTAAGGCAGTGCTTGCTGTCGAGAAGGGCATCATCCCCGGGACCGCCACCTTCATCACGCCCAATCCCAAGATTGACTTCGAGAAGAACCGGGTGCGCGCGTCGCGCAATGCCCTAGCCTGGCCTGCCAACACGAAGAAGCGCGCGAGCATCAATTCCTTCGGGTTCGGCGGAGCTAACGCCCACGCCATTATCGAGGCGCCCGAGTACCTCCTCCGCGACCGCATCCCCAAATACAAGTCCACCTTTGCCAACAGGGAGGGCATCAGCGAGGGTTTCTTCGACGATAGCGACGATGAAGACTCCATTGAAGACTCGGGGGTCTTGACCCCATCGCTCGCCAAGCCGACAGTGATCGTCTTGTCCGCCGAGGATGAAAATTCCCTCAAGGCCTCCATCAAGCGCTTGTCGGCGCACATCCTCAACCCGGCCGTTCAGGTTGAGTTGGATGATCTGGCTTTCACCCTCTCCGAGCGGCGAAGCAAACTCTATCACCGTGCCTACAGTCTGCAGACGGACACTCAGATCACGTCGGACACGTTCCAACTAGCGAAACCCTTGGGGCGGGACCTCCGCATCGGCTTCATCTTCACCGGGCAAGGCGCTCAGTGGCCCGCGATGGGGAAGCAGCTCCTGGAGGCCTTCCCCCTCGCACGCAGCGTCGTCGAGAGTTTGGACACCGTTCTGCAGTCTCTCCCGGAACCGCCCTCCTGGTCCTTGGTATCAGAATTGACCGAGGATCGCGATTCAGCGCACCTCCGTAAGCCGGAGTTCTCCCAGCCGCTGGTCACGGCGCTGCAGCTGGCTCTGCTAGCCGTCCTGTCGCAGTGGGGCATCCGACCGGCGCGGGTCGTGGGCCACTCTTCGGGGGAGATTGCGGCGGCAGTCGCGGCCGGTTATCTGACGTCCGAGACAGCCATCAAGGTCGCCTTCTTCCGCGGCCAGGCGGGGAAGCAGCTGCCCCCTCAGCAGGCAGTCGGTATGCTTGCGGTTGGCCTCAGCACTCATCAGATTGAGGCATTCATCGATTCAGACGATGACCTGGTCCAGATTGCTTGCTTCAACAGCCCGCGCAGTCTCACCGTCTCGGGGACGGTGGCTGCCCTGGAACGGTTGCGAGATCGGCTGCAGGCGGAGAATCACTTTGCTCGTCTGCTGCAGGTCAACTATGCCTATCATTCCAAGTACATGAGCAGCATCGGCAAGAGGTACCTGGAGATGCTGAACGCTCATGGCGTCGAGGCATCACAGACGAAGAGCACAGATGCGGTCATGTTCTCCTCAGTGACCGGTGCGCCGCTGGAGAATCCCGTCGATGCGACATACTGGTTGGATAACATGGTGTCGCAAGTCCGATTCGACCAGGCAGCATCCGAGATGTTGAAGGGTAAAGACGGAGTCAACTTCCTGGTCGAACTTGGCCCGTCGAATGCGCTGAAAGGACCGGTGGCCCAGATCATCGACGCCATTACATCCAGCATTGAAGGGCCCCCCATCTACACTTCCGCCGCCCAGCGAGGCACTGAGACACTGCAAGCCTTGTATCACGTTGCTGGCCGGCTCTTTACGGCCGGTGGCACCGTTGACCTGGCGCGGGTGAACGAGTACAGCGTCCAGGACCCGCCATTCACCCTGGTCGACCTTCCCAATTACGTGTGGAATCACTCCAAGAAGTACTGGCACGAGAGCCCGGCGAGTAAGGACTGGCGGGCACGGCCCTTTCTCAAACATGATCTGCTCGGAACCAAAGTCCTCGGCACCCCGTGGCAGGCTCCGACGTGGAGAAATACCCTGCGCCTAAACGACCACCCGTGGCTCAAGGACCACCGAATCGGGGATCAAGTCGTGTTTCCCGGTGCAGGCTATGTTGCCATGGCCATGGAGGCAATCTACCAGACGATGTCCCTAACCGAGTGGACTGAGGGGGTGCCAGCGCGGTACCGATTCCGCCTCCGTGATATGAAGTTCTTCCGTGCCCTGGTCTTGGATAGCTCCTACGACTCCAAGGTCATCCTGAACCTCACGCCGAACAAGTCGTGGTATGAGTACAAGGTCTCGTCCCGGGTGGAGGACATCATCCACGACCATGCCTCGGGGTTAATTCGCATCGAGACGGATTTCCTGGACACTCCAGCCCCAGTTGGGGCGTTGGCACCGCTGCAAACGCCCGTGTCTGCCCGTGTCTGGTACAAGGCGATGCGGGAGGCCGGGTTCAACTTCGGACCCTCGTTCCAGAAGCATCTTTCTATGGAGTATCAGGCCGGTCAGCAGTCTGGCCGCTCAACCGTCTCGCTGGAGGCGCCCGCCTCGGCTTGGCCGCAGTCCAGCTACCCAATTCACCCGGCCTGCATGGACGGATGCTTTCAGACGGTGCTGTCATCCGCCTGGAAGGGCGACCGAAGCGCCGTCGATGCGGCCCTGGTCCCTTTGTCGATCGACAGCTTGGTGATCCCCTGGAACACCGATCTTCCGGTTGAGGCATTTGCTGTTGCGAAGTCCGAGTTCACCGGCGTCGGGAGAGCCGACGTGGCGAAGAACTACTCGGCATCCACGGCCGTGTACCATCCGGTGCATGGCAACCTGCTGCTCGAGATGAAGGGCCTGCGGTACACGGAGCTCGACAGCTCCAGCCCGGAGACCCAACTAGCCCATTCGTACGGGCTAGTAAAGTGGGACGCGGATGTGTCGTTACTCTCGGAAACCGGGTTCCACCAGCTAGTTGCTGGCCTCGGCGCAGAGGGAGAGGCAGCTCAGGGGCTGATTGACACGATTGCGCACAAACGTCCAGGATTGACTGTTTTGGAGGTTGATCTGGACTCGGAGGCACCCGCTAGGAGTCTCTGGCTGGACAGGGCGGACACCGTGACGCGGGCTGCCTGCACGCAGTACCAATTCGCGTCCAGCGATGCCAACCGGACCGTTGCCATACAGAACGCGTATCCCTCTGCAACAAACGCCGAATTCACGGTATCGAGCTTCGCCACAGCTGAGGTTGCGGTGAGCCAGCAGTTCGACCTTGTCGTCCTTCAGCTGCCCGCTCAGCCTGGTGCGTGGTTGGGGCAGGCCCTGGCAAACCTGCGCAATAGCCTGACGGAGAATGGGATTGGACTGATTGTCCATGCGGACAAGAGGTCGCGGCTGGACGTTCACGCGGCGACTCAGGTGTCTGAATGGGCCCGGGTGTGGTCCGCTGGGGTAGTCACTCTGGTCCAGGTCGCTCCCCAGGCAGAGGCAGACCATCGTGAGGTCTACCGAGTTCGGTTCCGAAAAAACGACAACACCCTAGGTGGTCTCTTCGACACGGCCCTGTCCCAGGCGGGCGGGTGGAAGAGCATCCCTGTGTGGGAGCCGGAGCAGGTGCCGCCCCGGAGCAAAGTCCTGGTGCTAGACGAGTTGGAGCAGCCCGTCATGTCCAAGCTGGATGGCCGGCAATGGGCGATGCTTCAGCTCCTCATCCAAAACCAATGCGACCTGCTGTGGGTGACCTCAGGGGCTCAGATGGAGGTATCCCAGCCCACCCAGGCGGCGATCATTGGCTTCCTCCGCGTACTCCGGAACGAGGAGCCCCTGCTGCGGCTAATCTCCTTGGATGTCGAGTCCCCGACAGCAAAGGATCCGACGGTGGGAGCCATTGACCGCTGCCTGCACATCCTGACTGCAGCTGAAGGCCCTCGGACGCACATCGACAGCGAGTATGTCGAGCGCGGCGGCATTGTTCATATCAGTCGGGTTCTACCGGACACGACAGTCAACGAGGCTCAGAAGGAAGAGGCCATGGGTCGGCCGGCGCAGACGATGGAACTCCACGCAGCCCCCAACTGTATCCGACTAAGGGCTGAGCGGATTGGCAATATCGACGCCGTGCGGTACAATGAGGTGAGCTCCGCGCCGCTGCCCCTGGAGACAAACCGCGTCGAAGTCGAGATCTATGCGTCCGGGGTCAACTTCAAAGAGGTGGCTGTCACCGTGGGTATTGTCCCTGACAATGAACATCTGCTAGGTGGAGAGGGAGCAGGCATCATCACCCGCGTGGCGCCAGATGTAACCGACTTCAAGCCGGGCCAGCGGGTGGCCTTCTTCCAGAAAGGATCGTTTGCCAACCGCATCATCACCACAACCCAGCGAGTGTATCCCATTGCCGATACCATGAGCTTCGAGGAAGCATCCACGATACCCTGCGTCTTCATGACCTCGATGTATGGTTTGTACCGGCTGGCACATCTGAAGAAGGGGGACCGCGTGCTGATCCACTCGGCCACCGGGGGAGTGGGCCTTTCAGCCATCCAGCTCTCCCAGTACAAGGGCGCCGAGGTAAGCCCAATTTTCTCTTTCCCATGAGACTGACGGACCACTAACCCTGCCGTAGGTTTACGCCACCGCGGGAACCCTGGAGAAGCGAGACTTCCTGAAGGCCCAGTTCGGCATCCCCGAGGAACGAATCTTCTCGTCGCGCACGAAGGCCTTCGCGGAGCAGATTCTGGCCTGTACGGGCGGCAAGGGCGTGGATGTGATCCTGAACTCGCTGACCGGCGACTTGCTGGACGAATCGTGGCGTATCATTGCGGACGGCGGAACCATGGTCGAGATCGGCAAGAAGGATATCCTGGATCGAAGCAGCCTTGCCATGGAGCCGTTCAATCGGAATGCCTCGTTCCGAGCCCTGGACCTGTCGCATAAAGAGATCACCGATGACACGATTGCGAGGTACGTTCATTTCCTGATGCCCTTGTCCATCTGGGGAGGTGAAACTAACCTACTGCAGCCTGTTGGCCGATATTTTCACGCTGATGCAGGGAGGCCACCTCAGCCCCATCACCCCGATGCACATCTTCTCATTCCGTGACATCCCGGCGGCATTCCGTCTGTTGCGCAGCGGAAAGCACATTGGCAAGCTGGTCATCAGCGACGGGCCTGATGCGAAGGTAGAAGTGCCCGTGCGTCCGGCCCCACGGCGTATGAGCTTGTCCCCAGACAAAAGCTACCTGATTGTGGGCGGTCTCCGAGGACTGTGCTCCAGCCTGGCCATCTATCTGGCACAGAACGGGGCCAAGCATCTGGCGGTAATAACCCGGAGCGGCCACGAGGACGAGCAGTCCCAGAAGATTGTCCGAGACCTCCACGCCCTGGGCTGTCAGGTTGATCTGCTCCGCGGGGACATCTCCAACCTGAGCCACGTCCGCTCGGCATTTGCTGCCACGCGGGTTCCCATCGGGGGCATTGTGCAGGGCGCTATGGTGCTCCGCGATCGCACCTTTGCAGGCATGAGCCTGGACGATTATCACACGGCACTCAGGTGCAAAGTGGCCGGCACATGGAATCTGCATCAGGTCGCGCTCGAGCAGGACCTGAGTCTGGACTTCTTCACCATGCTGTCTAGCGTCTCGGGTCTCTGCGGAAGCAAAGGGCAAGCCAACTACGCGGCGGGGAACACCTTCCTGGATGCATTTGCCTCCTACCGACAGCGACTGGGCCTAGTTGCCTGTTCCATTAATCTGGGGGTCATCCAGGATGTCGGATACATGGCGGAGCGCGACGATCTGCAGGACCGCTACGACGCGGCGCTGTGGCACGCCATCAATGAGCGACTCCTGCGCCGGATCTTCGGCTTCTCCATTCTGCAGCAGGACAAGATCCCTATCAACAAGACCAGCAGCGCTAACCTGGTGACTGGAATCCAAGTCCCACAGCCCGCAGACTCATTCCTGCTCCGTGACGCGCGCTTCGCCGGCTTATATCTGCAACAGAGCGGGCAGCAAACGCAGACGGTTTCCGACTCGAAAGACATCCAAGCCATCTTCGTTCTCTTACGCTCCAAGGCCGAGCCAGCCGCCGTCCTCGAAGTCACCGTCGATGTGCTGAACCGGTACCTGACGACGAGTCTGCGCTTGCCAGAAGCGTTGGACGTGGCGCGTCCCCTGTCTACGTATGGAATCGACTCCCTGGCGGCGGTGGAGTTCCGCAATTGGTTGCGCATCGAGCTGGGTGTGGATTTGAACACGTTGGAGATTGTCAATGCGCCGTCGTTGGTGTCGATTTGCGAGAAGGTGATTTTGAAGATCCCCAATCCTTAGGCGGTGCCGGGTTTGTCTTTTTACACTCTTAGAAAATGATAGGAAGGAATAAGAATGAGAACAATACTCAGTTCTCTTTAGTTGGGCAAATCAGCCGTCATCGCTCATAGGTTGTAGTAGTTGCATGGTAGGCGTTATGTTATGGATAGGCACTCACAAATCCAATAGCCTACCGCCTACTATGGACAGGCGATGGGCACCTCCTAGGTGCCCATGGACGGGCGATATCGCGGTCTACTTAGTACTGTAGTACCATATAACAGTACCAGGCCCTAGACCTAGTACGAGGTTACCTAGTCCGACTTGACTAGTTTGAATTGCTCCATCGGAGCTCCGAGACTTTTTGAATTGACATTGTACAAAATAGAGGGATCACCCAATTCAAGTCTGAAAGGGGACACGGGCCGAAATAGTATCAGGTGACAGGGGGGATCGGTGGTTCTTATTATGTAATAGCGCATTTACCCCCGCATGATCGGCTCCAAAGAGGCGATGTTGGCTGTGAACTATGTTAACTATGGGCAGGCTAGCTGCAGGAATAGGAATATGTTAGGTAACAGGAACTCATGGTCTGGGGTACAGTTCAAAGCGGATGCATCGGATTGACTTAGAGATCTGCTGACCTGTCACTTTTGGATGATGGCTTTTTGGAGGCTATAGGTACCGGTGGATCTAAGCCCTAGAGAAGGTTTAGAGATTATGTCATAGAGTTGGAGCAGCCCTTGGAAACAATAGTACACACATGTTACCTTATGTATATTCCCTTATCTGTTCCTATTACATGTACTTTTAAGTTGCCCAGATATACCTAATTATCGTTAATAAAACAATAAATAGTCTTGTCAGGTCCAGATTCGGGGGAGTGACGACATTTGTCCGCATGCATCCATTAAAGAATAATAAAAAAAGGCAAATGGGGTCTGCAGGGGTAGCTTGGGGAACTAACACGAACTTAATCAGTCTAGTTGTGATATAAGGAAGTATAGCATAGATGTATGGAGTATATAATTTGATAAATATAGATTAACGTATATCTATTTAATACTTAATACTTTAAATTTCAATTTCAATATTCATATTTGAAGAAAATAAGAAAAGAATTAAAGAATTAAAGAAGAAAAGAGAAAAAAACAGATCCGCCACCGTAATCAATCAGTTCACCCGTTATTTTTCTAAAAGATAAAAAAGATAAAAAGATAAAAAAGATTCGCCCCATGTGGCCATGACCCATGGTGCATTTCTTACACTTTTTGACCTTCAACTTTCATTCTCATTTTCACTTTCATTTCATTAACTTCTCTCAAAAGTCTCAAATCAAGACTTGGATCCTTCACAGTCCGTATCCGCTCGGAAAAGCCATATTACCTACAAAGTTGTGCAACACCGGTTCATCCGTTTCCGTGACTAACAGCTTCGTTTTTTTTTCTTCCCCGCCGCCCCTCTGGGAGCCCTAAACTTGCCCTCGGTCTTAACACTTCTTTGATTTGACCGGGGCTATTTTTTTCTTTCTTTTTTTCAATCTGAAGAGGCCTTTTGATTTTTAAATTTCGGTAGACTTATTTTTGTGTGTGTCATTCCACCTACTCCAAGGTACTCCTCGACTAGTCACTGTACACCTAGGGCCCTTTATAGAGGGCCTCTTCCTCTTCACTATGGCCTCCATTACTCCTGCCCCTTCGCAGCCTAAGCCGGCCTTCCCTCGACTTTCTTCAATTCCCTGTGGTGATCACTTCCACTCACGCGACTCGTCCCCCTCGCCCTGCAGCACCCCGGACGGATCCAGGTCAAGCAGCCAGCGTCGCCCCTCATTCGGTTCTATCAAAGAGGATACTGAGGACGGTACGTACCGAAGATGTGCGAATCCAGGCAGGAGGCTGACGTGATCGGTAATCTAGGAATTGCGCAATCGTTCGTGGACACCCAAGAAGTACCATCTCCCCAAGAGCAGGACCAGGAGCGCAAGGTCGAGCGCCCCACCCAGATGCAACAAGCTCCAGACTTCTGCTGTCCTTGTGGTGGATTCCTCGGGTGGAAGCAGATTCGATTGGGCGGGAAGAGTTTGAGCCGCAGCTACAGCGATCTCCGTGGACTAGGAAACCTACAAGCAAAGGGCTGGGCATGGGAGGCCCAGGAACCCGAAACCGTGGAGCTTCTCCCACCCAAGGCCCCCGAAGTGGAGGTGCATGCTTTACAGACCCCTCCCGGTACATCGCCTTTGGAGAGGTTCCCCCCGGAGGTTCTTGGTAAGAAGTCGCACTTGCCGTTCTTATACCCCACGTGCTAACCTGTTGATAGATCAAATCATCTCTAACCTTGCGGTCGATCTTCCACCAAATGGCTACGCGCCTCGGAACGTGGATTTGGTCTCGTGCCTGCTTACATCCCACACATTGCACGCTGCCACTTTGGGTGTCTTGTACAGGAACATGACTTTCCCCCACTCCATCATTTTCTCCAAGGCACTTAATCATATGTCGCAGTATCCGGCTTTGGGGACATTGGTGCGCCGACTGGACTTCTCGCACTTTACCTCCGTCGGTCTGGGTCGCACTAAGCAGATGAACGCCGAAATCCAGAACTTGACCTCCAAGACCCTCTTGCAATGCTTGGAACTTCTCCCCAACTTGAAGGAATGCCTGCTCCAGGAACACCTGGAAGGCGACATCAGTGTGGAAGTGATCCGGAAGCTTTTGATGGGGATGCCGAACTTGCGCGCCGTGGATTTCTGCGGTTGCTCGACTCAAGCATTCTCTGGAGTTTTCCAGGAGGCCTTGGTCGGTGGGCCTGCGCTGTCCATGACCTTGCCCAACCTGAAACGGCTCTCGCTTCACGAATGCAGCACTATCCCCGCTCCCATGTTCGAGTACCTCCTCCCGCGATTGGTCAACTTGACGCACCTCGACCTTACTCACACCCAAGTTAACGATTTGGCTCTCGCCTCCATCCCCGAGACTGCCCGTATCTCACATTTGAGCTTGTCCCGATGCACGCGCCTGCGCCCATGCGCCCTGGTTCAATTCCTCACCACCCACCCGTCGGTCAATGAGTCTCTCGTTTATCTGAACCTATTGACGGACCCGACCCGCTTCCGTCTTCTGGAAGAGGCAGATATATCTGCTCTACTGCCAAATCTTCCTGATACTCTCCGTTCCCTCAACCTGGGCGGAGCAAAGATCACCTCGGACCATGTACCACACTTAGTGCCCATGACCAAGTACCTGGAGGAGCTGGGCCTCAGCTCTGCGGATCTCTCAGTCGCGGACGTGAACTCGTTCTTTGGTCGGTACCGCAACCCAGCCACGGGAGTCGAAATCGATGCCCCCAGCACTCTCTGCTACCTGGATCTTGCCAAGGTGCCGCAGATGACCATCGGCGCCATCTTCAACACCAGCACTTGTCTCCTTCTTTCGAACCAAAGCTACCCCTTGCAGGTCGTTGAGTTCAGTGACAAGATTATCACCCCGCTGCGCGAGCGTGCCAAGACCCACCGCACTTCCGTTGGCTGGACTGTGCGAGACCTCGGCCGTCGCGGCTGGTACGTTCGCGAACCATCCTCCATGCCCTACGAACCCTCCGACGATGGCGCCCGTTACTGGAAGATGGGTGCGCGCTGGTGGGGTATGCGCAAGATTCCCATGGCTGTCGGCGAGGTCGGCGGCCTCTATGGCCACTACATGTTCAAGAAATGATCTACTATGAGCGTTCTGTTCTCAAAAAAGCGTCTTCGCTGGATCTTTTTTTTCATCACTTTTGCTGATACCCTTGATTTGATATGCTTCATTTTCACGGTTTGCGTTCATTGGAGGGGCTTTGCGTTTTATTGCTTATTGCTTATTGCTTTTTTTTGACGATCATGAATGATGATATCCGGTCTATGCATGGCGGCGCGCAACATGGTTTACGAATTTCGGCATTCTGGCTACTGGCTTCGGGTTCGTGCTCTCGGTCGCGTTTTGTCTTTTGATTTTGCATAGCATCTGAGATTTCTCTCTTCAGCGGTGTCTGGCTCCTTTTTTCCCTCTCATATCACTGGCTTCAAATGGCGTTACTGTATCTATCTGGATTTCACTACTCTACTCATAAATACCTACCTAGTCTCTACTTTATCTCTTATAAGCTTTTTCGTAGACTTGATCTGGTATAGCCTTGTGCCTGCCTCAACGGCTCAACGGGAAGGCGTGACCATTGCAGCCCCAAATAGGCAACTACCTGGCGACAAACTTCCACAACTGGCGTCTTCCTCATCACCTCCCTCGTCATCAACTCTGTCTTATTCTCACATCTCTCTTTGCCCAACTCTTTTGATTTCCCAGCCACTGCTCAAACTGTACCTAGTCTGTCACTCTTCGCCATCTTCACCATGGCTTTGTCAATCGAATGCTCCGGTGGTAAGCTGTGTTTCCCATATCATGCCCACAAGTAACCCCAAGTTAATCCGACCAAGTGGACCTTTTCAAATATCTCAAGGCACTAAAATCCCAACCCGAAAATGAAACATCTCAAAGACACCGGGTCGAATTACTCCTCTCCATTATCCACTTCCAAGTGATGAAGAAGCAGATGCTCGAGCCATCATCCCCAGACTTCCAATCTCAATCTGGGTCTTCTTACATAGGTGTATGTGCTAGTTCGACCAGGGCTCGCGCACATGGGCATCCTGAAGGTTCGTTTTGGTACGGGTCAGAGGGCAAGAGCATCAATTTCCCGGCTGTGATGCGACCCTCAAGAGCTTTGAGTCGCAATGCAACAGCCCCAGAGATGATAGCGATCATGTGTGAGTGTTGTATCATACTCCGGCATTTCTGTCACAACTAACTGCAGAAAGGTGGGCTCCATGCCAAGCAGAGACATCTACACAAAGAAGACCACTTCGCATACACACTTGCAACAGACGGTGATATCTTCAGATTCTTCCGCATGAACGAGGAGGGCCAGGTATCTTTTACTCAGAGACGCCTATAGGAGATTGTATAACTTGATGCTGATATACATAGCCGACTGAAACACAATGCCGGAGCGGAAATGGCTACGAAGATGCTATTTTGCTTCTTGTGGCGGTCTTTAATAATGCTTTGGTTCCACCCGGTGCCCGCACGATATCCCCTGCCGCACATGAGGATATTACCGGTAAGACTACTCATTCCGACTTGCAGGTTGGAGACGGATCGCCTTTACCGAACTTAAGCAAAGTCCCATCTCACACCCGAAGAGGAAATCACCCAAGAACCTATGAACCAGACACTGATAAAGATCATAAAGAGGAAGAATACCACAAAGATCACAGTCGCATGCAAAAAATGGCCGTGCGAGTGGGCGTGAACGTGTACATGAATGTGCTACAGGAACTGCCGATTCCGCTCAGCCGCTTGGCGGAAAGAAAAACACTCGGCCTAATCCAGCAAGTGATATTCGAAGCGATAGGGAGCCCATTTGAGGAGATACACTACGGCGACTGCGAAAAAGGCTTTCCTCACTATGGGGCGGTATTCATGAGGAACTTCGATATTGAGCTAAAGAAAGTGCTGGAAGAGGTTGACTTTGAGGACTACAATGATAACCAGAAAGTGCTCAAGCGTGCAATTCGGATGGCTGTTTTGGAGGAAATCAGCCCTGTATTCGAGGAGATACTCCTGGAGGTGCGTGACCAGAAGGTGGAGAGATTTTTCAAGTAGATGGGTGGGTATTTGCCATTTACTGGGACACAATATCTACCATGAACTTGCACATCGCTGAAAAATGCACATGTATCTGGACCAATGGATTTTACTGCAGTTGATTAGTATGTCTGAATCATTTAATTTCCGTGAAAATCTTCCCTTTTTCATAGGACTTTGCCGTATTTGCTCTCTATCTCTTTTCTCCTTGTGTCCAAGGCATTTCTATCTATATCCACTATATTGTGTGTAGAAATCCTCGAGGAAACACTTCACCTTAACGCTAGTTGATCGTAAATTGGCTACTGAAAATGGCTATATGGACGAGTACCTTCGCCCATACCTTTATAGATTACAACTTCGGCTAGCCCACCCATCAACTGCGCTTTCCTCGCCTCATCAGCACCAGTTCATCAATTATGTTGTATACATTTTGTCGGGATGGAGTTCCGATGGATAAGAAATATGTCGACCCCGCCTGTGGGCCGGGCCGGGTTCCCGGTCCAGGCCTCAATGTCCATTGCCAAGTCATAGCAATGAGAACAAAGCCGGAAAGATAGGAGCATCGGTATATGGAATCTGTACTCCTTTCATTGTCTAATTTCGGGCATTCTCGTATCTGACGGTTCCGAGGTTTGTACCCCTCTGGAGTTTCTTTAAAATGAAACCAGCCATCCACTTACAGAGTAACACTCATATAAACATGTCATCTTATGCATCCAAGAACACACGTGTCGGTATCATTGGTGCTGGTGTTGTCGGGCTTACCAGTGCCTTGTTGCTTGTTGATGCTGGATACGATGTCATTATTGTAGCCCGTGATCTCCCTGGCGATGAAACAACTGACTGGGCAAGTCCTTGGTGAGTACTCTAAAATCTAAAACGCTAACCTGAAAGATCTCTGTCTCTTATTTTGACTGTTTTTGCCCTGCAGGGCCGGGGCTCTGCTTGCACCTCATCCCGATACAGGCTTTAATGAGCTCCAGGAATACTCAATCCAAAAGTACTTCGAACTAGTGGGCCAGGATCCTCGAAGTGGTATCAAAGTAAATTAACTCTGTATAACTACTGTCAGCCGGATTTAATAAACTAACCGAAGCTTAGAGAATCCACATCACTGAGCTTTACGATGACCGTGGGGATGATTCAACCATATGGTACAAATCAATCTTCCCCGATTTCACCTCCATTCACTCCACCGACCTCCCATCCGGAGCGACTATCGGATTTACTTACAGTGGATTGGCCGTGGATCCTAGTATGTTCCTACCATGGATCACACAGACGTTGGTTAAACGAGGAGTGGGATTTGTACGGAGAAACCTTGGATCTTTGCAAGAAATGAAGAGTCTGAGTCAGGCCAGTATCGTGGTGAACGCATCAGGATTGGGGGCGCGTGAACTTGCTTCGGATGATAGCTCGATATCCATTCGAGGGCAGACCATGCTTCTCAAAAACCAACTCAACTTTGACCGCGCTGTTATACGGCAAGGATCCCAGTACACCTATGTCATTCCCAGGGCAAGTGGGGGAGTCATCCTCGGCGGTGTTAGCCAACCCGGGAACTTTGCTGTTGACCCCGACATGGCTCTACGAACGGACATTCTCGACCGAGTCAATAATATGACGGCGGGCGAATTTGACTGGGTTGATATCGAAAGAGATGTTTCCAAAAACATTGTGGGGTTTAGACCGGCTCGAAAGGGTGGAATTCGTGTTGAGCGAGAAGGCAATGTCATTCATGCTTATGGAGCTGGTGGTTTGGGCTATGTCTACTCCTGGGGAATGGCAAGTCGAGTTGTTAGCTTGATTGAGAATCACTATAAACCCCATATATAAGGATATATCTTCGTCCAGATATCAAGAAATTGGACTTCAAATACCATGGGCGGACTAAAGCGAATAAACAATATTAAAGATGAATTGTTTCATTTATGAACCGAAGAAACTTACTATCGGATCAGCCAACCTACTGGGTGGAGAAATTGTTAGAACTATGGATACAGATATGGAACTACATACAGTATAGGTAGAAGAATAAATTACCGGAAAAGAAAAAATTCAATAAAGCATGAGAATGGAAGGGGAAGGTTGCTTAGGGGAGAGCAATGGGTGCTTAGGGCGGCGAGGTGACCACCAATAAAGACTCATCTAAAACCAAAAAGCAAGTCAATGAACGTGGCGATAAATGGAGACATGCAAATACCTTTTGCAAAAGAGCTACGATGCTCCGAGATGGCGAAGAGCAAACATTCGAACAAGCCCTATAGGAACTGTGGGATTAGTAGTATGTGAGATCAAAAATATCTTAGTCCTATTGGAAATATGAATGTCTACCATTAAAATACTGTCCCAATATTCACTATTCTGCTTGACTAGACAAGACAACCACTACTCAATCTTTCTCCTGTAGTATTGTTAGTACCCTCATTTATATCCAGCCCTCGGTTCATATCTAGCTCTCACAAATAAGAACGCTGGTGCTTTGGTTTCGACTCTCGACGTTACACACAGATATGTGGGTTTGGTAGTAACAAGTATGAGCTACAGAGTCCGAGAGATCCAGTGCTAAGAAGTGGATTCACAGGGCTGGGCTTCTTTTGTCTTGTTATACAATAAGGCACTGCATGCCCTTATTTGCATGGGTTGTGGGGTAGGGCACGATCCTCCTATACCGAGAGGCTCTTACTACACATATATCCTTAGTCCTCGGGACAACCTAACGGAACTACCATGATTAGCTAGATTGATAAGTATATTTGAATCACAATACTTACATCTCTTAGAAAGGTTTGGCTCCAAGGGTTGTATATCGGGGTATGAAAGCAGCTATAGCTATACATTTCTGCTGAATAATTGATATTTTCAGTCACTAGCAGCGCGATTCATGTGTTAGCCTCAAAGATTACGCAATAGGGTATATGGCCGAGAGTTCTAGAGTAAATGAGCTAATTAATGTCCTATATCAATAGATATCGCAAAATTTGTTCGACTTGGCGTAATTATAATCATGCGTACGATCACAAGCCAATGCCTTTCACTCCAGTCTAGTTGGAAGACAATATGCAGTGAGTGGTGTTCGATTTTAGTTATACAAGCGTGCCATTCCAAATGTTATCATCGTACAGGCAAGGAATAGGTCAGATGAGCAATATATGGTAAGAAGTCCCAATCTCAAGGATCGATGAATATAAATACCACCATATGGACACCTAGTCTGAAAATTTTACATTCTGCACAAACGTGTCTCTGCCCATCATCAAACACCAATTGCACCCTCTTAAGATCTTCATCGGCTATCTTTGTTCGCAATGGTTGACGCTGCCTGTCGCATTGCCACAAAAGAAGAGATCTATATCTTCGCTGGCCGGCATTATGGTCGTGTCAGGTTTAGCAAAGGAGGCCCTGAGCATAATCTCGCTGCAGGCCCGACCCTCCTGAGCAAAGGCTGGAACACTCTGCCTAAGATGGGATTTGGTACAGTGGACACTATTGTGCCTGTGCCTGGTCACGAAAACCAACTCTACGTTTTCTTCGGAGGCCGGTATGCCAAAATCAAGCTTGAAAACTACGATGATAGCTTTGTCAGTGACGGAGCCCGTCCCATTACCTCGGGATGGAAGTCGCTCGCTCAAGCGGGCTTTGACACCGTGGATGCCGCAATGCTCACCCCCGGAACAAAGAATGAGATGTACTTTTTCCGTGGCCTGCACTATGTTCGCCTGGACAATAGTACCGACAAGATTGTTAATAAAGTCGCACCTATCGCAGAGGGCTGGCCAAGTCTTGTCCAGGCTGGCTTTGATTGTGTTGATGCTATTGTTGCGGTCCCGAGTGGTCAGGATCTCTACTATGCCTTTAATGGGGATCAGTTCGCGGTGATCAAAGTGGATAGTTCCCGGGGTGATACTCTCGTCTCACCTCCGAAGGCAATCAGCTCGTTGTGGCAGGCCTTGGAAAACTGGGTTTAGTTGGATTATCAGTGAAATAGGTGGTGATTTTGTCAAGCGCAAAATTAAAGCCATTTGCTGGGGCTTAGGCTGTTTCGGGTTACCTCCTATGTCTCTTTTGGGCCCTAAGTTTCATTGCTGATGTCAAAGTTGTTGAGATCATACTTGAGACAATGCTATAGGCAGCTAGCAGCCCCTGTCTTAAGGTGATGGAGTGCAGATTTCACTATTTTTAATCTAAGTATGGATTGAAAGCAAGCGTCTTGAAAATCCCGTGCAACTACGTTGTGTGTGAAACTGTTGGACATACGTAGTATCCTTCCCTATAGAAATGATGACTCGACTAAGAGATACTACATCTGTAACGGTGGCTCAAATATTGTTTATCTTCCTTAGAATTACTGATCGTACATACTTTCCTCATTATATCATTCGAAGGGAATAGTACACGAATGCGATATAGTCAAAGAGAAACGATAGCTTAGGCATAAACCAACAATTCCAACAATTCCAACAAAGAAACAAATGAACACCAGATTATACCTAGATTCAATAAAAATTTTCTAATCTCTTACATTATTCAACCCTCACAAATGAAACTACAGGGTCATTCACTTAGGGCTTGGCTCGCAGGTGACGCTTGGCAAACGTCAAACGTCATGTGATGACTCGGAGAAGAGCCGCATTTCTCGTTACTCGTTTCACCTCTACGCGCCCTGTCTATCACCAAGGTCTCAGACCCTCCTCGCTAACTTCCGCCCTTGGGGAATTGCTCATCCCGATGGGTGGATTCGTTGTCGCCTTTGAAGACAGTGGAAGCTGTCAAGACACGCGACGATGTCATCCCCGAGCGGAGCGGCCTCTTACAAGAAGAAAGATGGGACCCTAGCGATATCTGCAGATGAGAAGTCAGTCTCATGGAGTCCTGCAGTCGCAGGGGCTGGGAACACGATCACAATCCCCGTGATCAATATCACTAGTATGCCGTCATTCCATGACCGCGCATTTGTCTTTTTGCTAACTTGCGCGACTGGTAGATTTGCAGCAGACCCCAGCCTCGAATCCGAAAGTGATGCTCAAAATCTTTGCCCAAGCTCCCGATGCGCCTCCCAATAGTACTCCCGATCAATATGTTTTCCTGTTCACGGCGGGAGCAAACGCTCGCCCGCAGGCCGATGTCATCAAAGACACATTGAGTGCTCGGGTCAATACCGCAAAGGCGGGCACACCATCCCAGACACCGGGGCCTGGAGGCAGTTCCGAGGGTCTGTCAGCGGCAATGGCGATTGCAAACGCTGTGACATCCGCCGCGACATCGAAGAATCCTTTGGACGACGAAAATAAGCTTCGGTCCGACATAGAGCTGCAGCAGTCGTTATTAAGATCCGATTCAAATCTTCAGCGAATGTTTTTTGAGGGATTGCATACAAAACCGGAAGCCTTGTCGTCCGCGTCGTTCGTATCACAGTTCTGGTCAACACGACTGCATTTACTGCGAGCGCACGCAATCGAACAGGGCCAAATCCGTGGTTCATATAATGTGCTATCTTCACTCAAGCCTCGAGTCGAGGATAACGTCACACGATTGAATATCAGCAAAGAGCAGATCCAGCTCATCTTCACACAACATGCACTGGTCAAACGCGTGTATGACGAGAATGTACCGAAACTCAGCGAGCAACAATTCTGGTCACGATTTTTCCAGAGTCGGCTGTTCAAAAAATTGCGCGGAGAGCGCATTACAGAAGCCGACGCAACCGATGCTGTGCTGGACAAATACCTCCAAACGAACGAGGCGGCTCAGCCTGACCGGGATACCAATATCCATCACTTTTTGGATCTGGCTGGCAATGAAGTAAACCACAGCCAGCGCCGCGGAAACCGACCTGACCTAGATATGAGGCCATCTGGCGTCGACAAAGTGCCCATTATCCGGACACTGAACAGCCTGAGTGAAAAGATCATGGCCAATGTGGCTCCGGCCGACGGTGATATGAGTGCCCCCATAGGCATCAACGAAGAGGCATGGAAAAAGCTCCAGCTACAAGATCTTCGTGGAGAAGAAGAGCAAAGTCGTATCACTTTGAACATTCGTGATCAAAGTCGGTTCTTCACTCAAGGCCAGGAAGAGGATAAAACCAAGCAATTTGCGAAACAAGATCCAGATCAGCTTCTTCAAATTCTCCGTGCGGAGATCGATCAAAATCTTCCATCGCAGGGCAATACACAACTGGGTAAGTTAGTGGACCCTGGCGATGATGAGGACGAGGAGATGGAGGATGCACCTGCTAGCCGTCGACCTGTCGGCTCATCTGCCGCTCTACATGATGCGTTCTCTCAGATCTTGGAAGCATTGCGCGATCGCCGTGCCCAGACGAGTGAGCGAGCAGCATCAGAAACATATGGACTGTCGACCGCGCTCTTTGACCGCTTGACATTGACACATGCCACAACCACGGAGTTTTTGCACCAGTTCTGGCAGGCGTATCTATCAGGCAACCCAGACCGCGCTGGAGAGGTCGCATCATTAGCAGAGTCTCTTCAGCGGGCAGCAGAGCGTATCAAGGCTGTTGCTAATGACGCTGAGGCTGAGCGGAAAGTCGAAGTTGACCGGCTAAAGAAGCAGGCCCGTGACATGTACGAGAGCACCGGGCGAAAATTACGAGTCAACTTAGAAGGCGTGGAGGGAGGCCAGAAGGTTGTGAACCAACTTCTTGGTCCTACACTCCTTGCGCTGGAGGTCGCATCGACTCGATATCAAAAAGAATTGGCCGAACAAAACAAAGAAGCGGCCATGGCTAGTCAAGAGATGGCAGGGGCATAGAAGGAAACAACCCGGGCGTTTAATAATGACATGGGATGTATAATATGACACTTTAAAAGAACTTCAATGTTTGATTCATACAGAAAATACAATTCTCGATATCTCTGACATTTAGATGTAAAATAAAAATACCCTAAAAATGCTTGCAGAGAACAAAGTCGGCATGCCGAGCTTCCCCGGACTTCGGGAATTTAGTGCCAACTGTCCCCTCCACTGCACTGAACTTTCTCCAACTCCCCATCTCCCCCACCTTGGATGATCTCCAAGCCAGAATCCAACTAAACAAGAGAAACACAAGGGGCCTCAAGATGCTCACCTCCGGCCTCACAAATGCGCCCCTCACCAAAGGCCTCCTCATCTACACGATCGCCTCATCGGTCGCCCTGTCCCTCTTCGACATAAAACACCTCGCCGTGATCTATGTAACGCCTCATTTCTGGCCGTACACCCAGTTCTGGCGTGGATTGTTATGGCAGGTTGTCGGCTTTACCAATTCCACCGAGGCCCTCTTCGCCGCAATGCTAGTCTACCACCTGCGGGTTGTCGAACGCGCGTGGGGGAAGCGGAAGATGGCGGTTAGTTCTTCTTTGTCTTATTGCCTTTGTTCCTGCAAATATGCACAGACATACTCGACCAGGAAACGGAGAAGCTGAATGATTTCATACATGACCTGGAAACCGATTGCTGACACCATGATACTACTTGCTATAGACCTTCCTACTCACCACACTACCCTACACGACTCTCCTCCCACCAATTCTCCTCGCCCTCCTACTCCGCCCTATATCCCTAAACAAGCTGAATTACCTCCCCTCCGGCCCAACAGCAACTATCTTCGCCCTGTTGGCGCAGTATCATGCCACTATCCCGCACACCTACCGCTACCGCATCGGGTCCACATCCTCCCCCACCACAACAAACAACAATACCAGCAATGACCCCTCCTCCACCGACAATACCACACAGGCATCCCAACCCAAACCCCCGGCACCGAGTCTATCCCTCCTCCTCTCCGACAAATCAACCACCTACATCGTCGCTGCCCAGCTAGCCCTCTCCCAGTTCCCCGCAATGCTCCTCCCGTCAGCTCTCGGCTGGATCGTCGGTGTAGCCTGGCGCGCGGAACTGCTACCGGGTCTGTCGCCGGCTAGCACCGGGTTCCGGGTTCCGGCTTGGATGGTTGGCGAGCAAGAGCGGAGGGGTGGTTCCGGCCCTGCGTCTGGTGGTGCGGAGAGGGAGAGGTATGAGGATCTGCGACGGAGGTTGGAAGGCGAGGTTGCTGCTTCGGCTTCAGGGCTGGAGGGGTCTGGTGCGCAGGCTCAGAGGCGCGCGAATAGTGCCGGTGAGAGTGGTGGTGGGTTTGTTAATCGATTGACACGGGATTGGTAGAGATTACTTCGTTCTTTGAGTGAGCTATGGCAAGACTGATTGAATATGTCTATCTGGTATAGATGTACTGTGGAAAGTTGAGATGGATCGTTTGGGTCATTAAGTAGGACTTGCTATTAGATATAGCCCGTCTTCGATGCCCTGTCTTCATACCTTCGTCCTCGATCAATTCATGTGGTGTCCCCACGTTTGCAATTCACGCTTCCAATTCTTATAAGTATACTAATACAATACAATACTACAATACTCGGTGATCAAGAAGAGAGATGAGTAGTGAAACGAAAAGCCAGACAATATCTGCAAATGCATAAAGTCTAGAATATCAACTAGCAAGGCCCTGTCTCCGCTAGAGTATGTGCCAATTGAAAACACCACATAACGCCATATCATCAATGTCTATAACCTTGAACGGGACATGTTACCGCCCATTGCGACTCCGTCTCATATTTTCCTTGCACTCGTTACAATACCATTTAACTAATAAAGACTGTTAGCTACCTGAACGACTTTAACAAGGCAAAGAAGACTCTTACCATTCTTCCCAGGCGGTTTCGTCAAGCCCACACACGACAGATGGAACCATTCACGCGGACAGGCGTCATTATCGCAAGCAACCATCTCGCCGAAACTGATTTCATTACAGTAACAGTAGCGGGGCTCACCCTCTTCATCTTCGTCGTCGCCCTCGTGGAGCGACTCATCGTCGGAGGGTATTGCAGGCTGTGGGATGGGCTTTTTCTGGGTTCGTTTAGTAGAAGCCGGGTCTCGACTTCGAGTGGGCCGTGCGTTTTGTTGGCTGGGCTCTGTAAATGCGGGGAGGATAGGGGTAGATGTCTTGGAATTGCGTCCCTTGGTCGTCTCGACCTCAACAGAACCGGCTTTTCCATCCCGATCCTCGCGCTTAGATCCCGCTGAAACGGAGGTTCTACCATTGGCATCGGCTTCATAATCACGATGTGTGTCTGCATGGACAAGTTCGTTTTTGATGGGTCCGTCCCGGGTTGTGGACCTGGAATCGGCAATTTTGTCTGCGTTGGGGATCTGGTTAATTGATAGTTCCGGGAAGGGTGGTTGAAACGGCATACTGTTGTTGGGCAGGTTCGAAGCCGAGGATGATGGCCGCGCGCGCGAATTGCCTGTAGGACCAGAGTTCTGGGCTCGTGAGGACTGTGGCCTTGTTGTGGTTGGTCCTGGACTGGCGGCACCCCGCGGTCCATTGAATGTTCCAATCAAAGGCGATGGGGCCAGAACGGGCGATGCAGCATTGGAAGCGTTGGCCCTGAAATAAAGTCAGTTGGATGTAGTAGTGAGGGCAGCGAAATGAGACATACTTCTTGCGTGCAGTAGTAGCCTGATTGGGAGCGCGAGACCGCTTCTTCTCTGCTGGGTCTTTATTCGCAGCTCTCTGGCTCACAGCCCCGCTAGCAGAGCGCTCCATTGGAACACTAGTGTCTACCGGTAGCGGTCGTTCCACCTTCCGACGCTTGGGTGCAGCGCTCGGGTCAGCTGCGTTATCTCCGCCTCGAGATTTAGCAGTATTTGTCTTGCGGGCGCCCGAGCTGCGTGTATCCTCATAGTCCGCATCAGCTTGTGCCCGACGTTGCTTCCGTGCGAGAACAGCATCGCGCCGCGCCTCACTGCGACTGGCAGCTTCAGCCTCTTGAAGCACGTGCGACAGATCCTGTCTTTGCGCAACCGCTTCCCGGCGCGGGCGTTCGTTAGTCGCTGCCTTCGCGGTACTTTTGTTCGAGTACGCCCAGTGTGTCAGGCTGCCCAGGCGAGCCTCCTCGCTGATCTCGCCTGCAATGTATGGGAAAACCGTATCCAGTCGGACAACTTGGCGATCTAATTCCTCGTTCGCGTTCGAAATGACGTGATTCTTCTCATCGGCGGTCATCATCAGGTCCGAGAGGCTTTGACGTACACGATCGAAAAGAAGCCGGCGGCTTTTGCTCTCGGGCGATTCCGGTGACTGAGATAGCTCCTGGCGCAAAAGAGGCGCTGTCAGTAAATGTCCAGAGTGGACAATTAGACGAATCACCGGGAAAACTCACCTTGGGCAAAACATCCTCCCTAACCACACCCCCGACGATAGGCGCTGGGTGGGGAGGGTGAGGAACGGGCTGCGACTGGGAGGAGAACTGGAGTAACTGCAGCAAATTTTCCTCGAGAGCCCACGCCTTCGCGTCAACTTCCTTGAGAAGGGAGTTGTGGCGACGGAACTCGCGCGGAAGCGCCGTTATAGCATCGGTGAAATGCGTGAGTGCAGGATAAAAGCCGTGGGGAACAGGGGGCGTAGAAGGAATTTCAGCTGTCGAGCCTCGACCGAACGCGAAAGACGACCGTCCGATGGTTTTGGAGGTTCGAGACGGGTTTGTACGTGTCTGACGGGCGGACTGTCTGATTCCTTGGCCTTGGGGATTATTGACTGACGTCGAGACGGCAGACATGGTGAAGGGCATAGTCAGGACTGCGAGGTGCGCCGTTGGAGGAGGGTTGAGGTAAGCCTACCCCAATTTGAGGAGGAAATAGTAAGTTTTGAAGAACCAATGGTGGTCGGCAACGATCTGGGACCATATACAGTACTCAACACCTCGCGTAGCAACAGGAGGGCATCGATGCAGGAGAAGCTGCTGCTGGGAAGTTTGAGTGCGGAGAAGAGCAATCGAATCAGGTGAGATTGCTGCCTGCGGCACCGATAAGGCATCTATTGCTGAATCATCCAAGCACGCGGGTGATGTCATATCAGGGACAATGTGCATGGACTCTTTCTTACAATGAACACAGCTGATGAGCTATGAGATATAAAATGCTATACACAGAAAGAAAATAAGGGGGAATTTTCAAAAAAAAACAAGGATTCTTTGTATTTTACATATAGTGGATTCTAGGTATAGACTGGGACCTTACATTAGGACAACCAAAAGACTGTCCTAGCATAGCCTATGACTATGAACCTAGGACACATCGATAGCACACAAAGGAAATCAGTATAATAAAAGAGGTAGTACAACAAGGAATTACACGCTAGGTTCTAGGAAGACGAATGAATATATGACACCCAACTCAATACAAGTGTCAGTGCAAGATCCCAAGTATCTCATCAACAGAAGTCGAATCAAATCGCTAGGAATGCATTTACTCGCCCTTCAGGTGATCCTGGTGAAGAGAAAAAGCATCCTCCAGGAGGTCCTGCTCCTCCTTGAGGTGGACGGCCTTGAGACCAGTAGCGACGGAAGCGCTGCCAGCGCGACCAGCATACAGGACATGGCGGCGGTGGTGGTGCTCAGTAGCGTTCAGCAGGCTCTCAATACGGGGCTGGGCGTAGGACCAGGCACCGGCGTTGAGGGGCTCCTCCTGACACCAGACGATGTTCTTAGCGTTGGGGTAGCTGTCCAGGTTCTCCTTCAGCTGAGCCCAGGGGAAGGGGTGCAACTGCTCAACACGGGTGATGGCAGTGTTGCGGATACCGTTGGCCTCGCGGTGCTTGATCAAAGCGGCGTAGACCTGTCCAGAGCACAGGATGACACGCTCGATCTCCTCGGGAGCGTCGATGGTGGTGCCGTGACCCTCATCAGGGATGATCCACTGGAAGTGAGACTCACCATCCAGGGCCTCGATGTCAGAGCGGGCAATGGGGTGACGCAGCAGAGACTTGGAGAAGAAGATGACCAGAGGCTTGCGGAACTGGCGGTGGATCTGGCGACGGAGGATGTGGAACAGGTTGGCAGGGGTGGTCATGCAGGCAATCTGCATGTTGCAGTCCTGGTGCTGACGGTCCAGCTTGTCAGCCGAGGGGAACACACGGGGCTCCTCGTTGCAAAGCTGGAGCCAACGCTCCATACGTCCGGAAGAGTGCTCAGGACCCTGGCCGTCATAGCCGTGAGGCAGAGACACAACCAGACCGGAACGCTGCAGCCACTTGGATTCACCGGAGGCGATGAACTGATCAATGATACACTGAGCGTTGTTGGCGAAGTCACCGAACTGGGCCTCCCACATCACAAGGGCGTTGGGAGAGGTCAGAGAGTAACCGTACTCGAAGCCGAGACTATGTTATATGTTAGCGTCGTTACCACGCATAGAGTTTCGATTTCAAGACTTACCAACCGAACTCACTCAGGGAGGAGTTAGAGATGACGAAGCTTCCCTGCTTGTCAGCGATGTGCTTCAGGGGAGTGTAAGTGCGCTCGGTCTGCTGGTCGTGCAGGACGGCGTGACGCTGAGAGAAGGTACCACGCTCAACATCCTGACCGGAAACACGGACGTGGTAACCCTCATCAACGAGCGAACCGAAAGCGAGAGCCTCAGCAGTGGCCCAATCGATGTTCTTGCCCTCATCGACGGCCTTCTTGCGTCCGCTCAAAATACGCTTGAGGTTGCGGTGGAGCTCGAAGCCCTCGGGAACACCGGTACCGGCGATCTTGTCAGCGATGTGCTGCAGCGACTTAGCAGGAACGGCGGTGGGCAGGTGAGGCAGGACCTCAGTAGCCAGCTCCTTGGGAGACTTGAAGTTGTTCCAGGCGGAAGTCAGCCACTCCTTGCCGGTGGGCTGGTAGTCCTTGCTGCGGTCGAAGCTGTCGCCGAGCATTCCCCAGACCCACTTCTTGTGCTCATCAATGTCCTCCTTGGTGAAGGTACCCTCGGCAATCAGCTTCTCGACGTACTTGTCAAGCTGAGCCTTCTGCTCGGCAATGCGCTTGTACATCAAGGGCTGGGTGAACGAAGGCTGATCAGTCTCGTTGTGACCCTGCTTACGGTAGCAGACCATGTCAATGACAACATCACGCTTGAACTCCGCACGCCAGTCAGCAGCGACCTGGCAGACGTAGTTGACGGCCTCAACATCGTCGGCGTTCACGTGGAAGACCGGAGCGTCGATAGACTTGGCAATGTCGGAACAGTAGGGGGTAGACCGGGAGTAACGGGGGTCAGTGGTGAAACCAATCTGGTTGTTCACGACAAGGTGGATGGTACCACCAGTCGAGTAGGCCGGAAGGGAGTGGAATCCCATGGTCTCGTAGACAACACCCTGGCCAGCAAAGGCAGCGTCACCGTGGAGCAGAACACCCATAGCGGTGTCGTAGTTGGTCTCGTCGTTGTTGTAGTGCTGAATGGCACGAGTCTTACCAAGAACAACGGGGTCCTCAGCCTCGAGGTGAGAGGGGTTGGCAACCAGAGACAGCTGCACCCGCTTACCGGAGGGAGTAGGACGCTCGAAGTTCATACCCAAGTGGTACTTGACATCACCGGAGCCCTCATCGGAAGGCTCGGCAGAACCGGCAAACTCACTGAAGATGGACTCGTTGGGCTTGCGGACAACGTTGGACAGAACGTTAAGACGACCACGGTGGGGCATACCAATGACGATGTCCTTGATACCATAGTCGACGCTACGATCGATCAGGGCCTTCATACCGGGGACCAGGGTCTCGCAACCCTCCAGACCGAAACGCTTGTCGTTGGGGAACTTGGTAGCGAGGAAGGACTCGAAGCTGGAAGACCAGATCAAGCGGTCGAGGATGCGACGCTTGTCGTCAACGGAGTAGTTGTAAGGTTGAGGGATCTCGAAGCGGTCACGGATCCACTCGCAGGGCTTGCGATCGGGAATGTGAATGTACTCAACACCGTAAGAGCCACAGTAGATCTTCTCACAGGCGGCGATGATCTCGCGCAGAGTCATCTTCTTGCGGGTTTCAGTGATGAAACGGGGCAAGATACCGGGTCCAAGGGCAAACTCTTGGTCCAAGTCCCTCTCGGTGAAACCGTAGTGGTCCAACTCAAGCTCCTTGGGCTTGTCGTAGCCAAAGGCCTCGGCCTCTCCGCGAATGCCGAGAGGATCGATCTTAGCCTTGTGGTGACCACGGGCCTGGTAGGCGCGGCAAAGCAACTGAACCTTCAAGTGGTTCGTCACATCAGCGCCACCAGCGAGTCCCAGGCCAGGCATGTCCTGGGGGACACCGCCGGTAGGGGTGGGGACAAGGGTAGGGGGAGGAGTGAAGGCCTGGGAGATAGGCATTTTGCCCTCCTCCATGTTCTTGAAGTAAGTCTGCCATGAGATGTGAACACTCGAGGCATCGTTCTTCCATGCCATGTACATCTCATCGATGTAGTTGGCAGTGCTACCAGTGAGGAAAGAATCGTTGGGGTCCTGTTCACGTAAGGGCGAGATCGCGCCGTCGCATTAGTCGAATGCCCGTTTGTTTATTTGGACTATCGGAAACCCGGATCGGATCGCTACCGATCATTAAGATTGTTGTTGCTTACCACTCCTTGACTTTGGCCCTCCGCGGGGGCCGCGTAGGACCGGGCACCGTTGAAAGCACGGTCGACAACAGCAAGAGGCCGACGGGCGGTCATGCTGAAGCCGGAGCTTTTTGAAGCGCTACGAGCACTCGTGGCGAGGTGGAATGAGCGCCGACATGATGAAGAGGTCGCACCACGCAGCATACCGCTGTTGGTGGCCTTCAAGGCAGTGTTTCTAAACATTGCGGGATTTTTCTTGGATCAATGTCCAATAAAGATTTCGATTTAGAGGAAAGGGGGATTGAAAGACGGTTGTTCGGGATTATGGCCAAATCAGACTTTGAAGAGTCAGATTCACTGTATGATATAGTGTCAGCCTGGTATTGCCCAATTGTCCTGCAGGGCGCGAGCAAACCGGAATACGGAGGAAAGGAAGAAGCGTAAGTACACGTACGAGAAAAATCACAGAACAGGTGTCGACTAGTATTGCCGTAGCACCTGTATAGAATCGGGACTCATCAGAGAGCTCAAACGCTCTAGATAAGAAAAAAAAGGTGTGGAGGTAGAGGAAAGATGAAGCAAAAGAAGAAGCGCAAAAGGAAGAGCTGCCGAGAATGACGGGTCTCACGGCAGGCAGGTGAGGCTGGTGCGCTGACTCAGCCCGACCTACAGCCGATGCCCGGGGAGAGGCGCCACTGATGTTATTGTCCGCAGTGAAGGACCTCGGGAGGCGCCCGAAGAAGCCAACTGGCTCTCTGCCGGCTAAAGCAATTCGGGCCCTTCTGCGGGAGTTTTCGGCCCAATGGCACTAAAAGGGATTACTATTAATCATAGATCTCAGTTCCCCAATGCCAAGTCTTTTTTTTTTTCTCGATGAGATCTGGTTGGATCTAAATCTAAATGTTTTCCATCAGATTAAGATCTGTATTAATATTAACATCTAAACTATAGAACAATCGATAAATTCATATAATCGTGACAATGCGAAATCACCGCACACAAAGGGCATATGCAATATGCAGAGAAATAATAAATCATTATATCCAAACGGGGAAACCAGGTACCATATTACAAGACATTGAGTCGCTAAGATCCACTAGGGCTGAGGTCCACTACGGGGAATTTCTTCAGAATCTGGCCGCCCTGACAAGGGCGAAGCAGTACGTGGGTGGCTGTCGTCAGGTAAAGAACCGAGACCATTTGGGGCCGCCTCCTCGGGACTGAAAGGCCTCGCTTCAGAGACGGTTGGGCTTGCCTCAGCGCCATTCAAGCTTGCACGGTGAGAGGACGAGAGCGCATGTGGTGGTGGACTACCTGCACTGCTGCGCAGGCTACCGTTGCTCCCACCCCAGGCTCCCCGGCGTAGCTTCATGAGTGCGCTCAGGGACATCTCATCGTCGAGATTGCCCATATCAACCAGCTGCGCCAGTCCAGGGCTCGCTAGTGCTGAATTTGGATGGGTACCGCCGTGGGCCTTGACCGATATCATAGAGTTGCGTGTGCTCCATTCACTTCGTTCAGTTATAGGGGTCAAGCTGGGCTCCTGGAATTTGCCGCGACTGCTGTGGTTCCGTGTAAGACCTTCAACCCGTCGCGGACCAAAGTATCCACCGTTAGTTAGCTCAGAGACGCCATTGCCATCTGCGTGTGCGTAAAAGCCGAACTCTTGGCCGTAAAAGCCATCGTCATCGTTCTCAAGAGCTTCGGCGTTAGCAGCAGCAACGATTGCATCATCGAAGTACGAATCATCATTATCGTCGTAGAATCCATCGTCGTAGATCTGATCATCGAAGACATCTTCGAAGGCCATAGCATCTGCAGCTTGGCTGATGTGGCTGTCATCAGAAACTAGACCCGGTTGCGAGTCCATTGTCTGCGATGTTTGAACTGCGCTGCCTTGGCCCTGAGATGCTTCACTCGTGCTGAACTCGCGCTCAAGTCGCGCACTATATGATGCTTCGTTGGCTGCGAAAGCTAAAGCATTGTGCAAAATATCTAGATTTTGCTCTGTGAGCACACCGCCACCATGGGCACGGACAGGACCCATATTTGGTATTGGCTCGCCCAGGGGGCCACGCTTGACTGATCCTGTGACCCGATAGTCACTGGCCACACTAGACATATGCTGCAGTCCTTGGACTCCCCTTTCTGCCACGGGACTTTCTTTCCCTGCTGAAGAGTCATCCTCGCCTGGATCAGCACTGTCCGTTGGTACAGGTGCCACAGGGGCACCGACCCGTTTTCGTTCGTATAAATGACTGTTTACATCATCAAATATAGATTCATCAAATCCACCATCTTGATTGTCCACGTCAAGATCTCCGAAATCGCCGTCATCGAAATAAAGATCATCGTCGTCGTCAAGGATTGGGGCCGCTTGTGTCGCAATCGGAACCTGCGGAAGGGTTTGTGTCGGGAGGGTTTGGGTCGCTTCATTTTTGGCAGCTAGGGACGGTTGTTCCTCTAGGAATTGTTGGTTCAGGTCATCGTCTAATTGTGTGGCCTCAGAGAGATGAGAGGTAACGTGAGAGGTATTTGTGGGCTCTGGCGGTGCAGCAGTGACCGGGCTAGCAACGACGGGTGACAATGCCGGGATAGCCCAGCTCTTAGCCTCGTTGATATCTCGCGAAAGTGAGAAATCATCGAAATCGTCATCGGCATCTGCATTGACACCAGGGATCTTTTCTTCCAGCCCATCCAAATCATCCATCATATCATCATCAAAGTCCTCGTCGAAGTCATCAAAATACCCATCCTCCATTCTGCGAGAAGCTTCCTTGGCCTTATGCTTCTCTTCTAACATTCTCTCTTGTGAAGATGAGTCTACTCCGTTCATATCGAAGCTGAATCGAGAGGCATTGCTCTTGAGATGTCTCGGCAAAGCGGAGGGATTGAATGGTACATTAGGAATAGTATCTTGGTCTTGAGGGTGCTGAGGATGGGCATGGGAGATTGCCTTGGGTGGGCTTGGAGGAGGTTCCTCCGCCTCAGGCTCGAGCTGACCCGGAACATCTACAGATCTTTCTGGCAGATGAGAAGGCAAATTCCGCGCAAAGACCGGTAATGAGCTATCATAACTAGGCTGTGATTGACCTGTTAAAAGTGAAGATTGAAGATAACCCTTGTGTTCCACCTGTAGAACGTTCTGGTCCTCAAAATGTTCCTTGAAAACAGGCGAATAATCACTGTGCCGTTTTGCCTGATCATTCCAGTGGGGCGCACGCGGTTGACTGGGTATTTGCGGTGGTGAAGTATCCTGCCCATTCACAACTGTGTCCTGCAGAGTAGCTGAAAGATTACGGCGCGGCCGGGGCACCGAGAAGTCATGAACAATCTTTCCACGAATTCTAGGATCGTAGTCATCTGGCATAGCAGGGACATTCCGGTTCTTGATTTTGACATCTTCTGCCCGGGAGCTAACCAACTGCGAGGAGCGCCTGCGCGCAAGGAGAGACATCGGATTCAAGAGATGGAACATCGCCTTGCCCGACTTGTGATGTGTCTGTTCTACGGACACATCCCGATCTCCGGTGCGTCGAACAGTTGTGCTACTATCCATCTTGAAATCCTTCTGTGGCATTATTTGTTTATCGGCTGGCGAATCGTCTGGTGAGGATCTGAACCGGAAATGACCTGACCCCGTTGCCGCAGTTGGCGATCGTTTCTGCTTGCCAAACGAACGTCGAAATGGCGAGCTTGATTTGAAATTCGGCTCTGCGTCTCCCTGATCAGACCGTAGAGCCGTCACAGACAGTTGAGAATCATTTAACTGGGTTGTGAACTGTTCTTCCGCGCAGTCGCCGGGGCTAGAATGAGGACGACTTTCTTTTTCGACTGCCGGCGATGGGACAGCGAGAGTGATCGAGGAGGATAGCGGCGCGACCGATGAGCTGATGTTGAGCTTGGAAGGATCAATGTCCAGCGGCGAGTCGTTCGAGTGGGGGCCATCGGGTGAGTGATCGTCAAAGGTAGTGGTGAGCTTTGGTGTATCTGGAATCTCTGGAATCTGAGGAGGGCTTCTGATCGGACTTCCAGTCGCCCCTTTGACAGGCGAGGGCGCGGGGATCGAAGCAGGCGACGCGGAGGACCGTCGGTGGTCCCGGCGCCAGTACGAGAAGACAGTGGACGGCGGCATGACGCTTATTTAAGGCCGCCACGAACGCCAGATTGAGTCGCGCAGATTAACAAGGGGCGTTATAGTCCATTGCAGTTATCAACTGCATGTGGGTGTCGAACAAAGACGCTGTCATATACAGACAACTGGACCGTGGGGGAATGCAGAACCCACCCGTGAAGTTCCCAAGGTTCTTAAGCCGCGACCTTTTGTAAGCCTACTAAACTCGATTTGACGAAAAAGAAGGGGTAATCCACAGTAAACGGGCAAAGACATAGACTTTTAATGTCTATTTATATAAAACAGAAAAGATCAAAGTAACGCGCGGCTAAAGTTAGGTTACACCCCATCTTGCCATCTGAAGTGTCTGGGCCTAAATACAATATCGCGTCACATTCTTACCCCTACTTGATTCCTTTGTCTACTCTCTTTTTAAGGCCCATAGGTCAAACCCCCCGAAAAGTATGCGATAATTATTCTATAAATCGTACATGGTGATATGTATGCTACACGGATATCCTTGGAAGAAAAATAAACTAAAGAATGACACGCTCAAACCATATGCTATGCTAACAGACAAAACATAAAGCAAAAATTAATATATGACGCTTTCAACGAATGCTTTGCCTCCAGCGGTCGATCACGTCGGTTTTGACCGGGCCAGGGTGTTGTGCCATGTTTGGAGCATAACCCATGCCATTCATGGCCATCGCAGGGTTCACAGGATACCCATATTGCTGTGCCATCGGGTATCCTGCAGGTGTCGAATATCCCGTTTGTGACGGAAATTGTTGCATGGACATGCGGTTCCCAAACTGAGACATGGTGACAGGCCGCTGATTGAAGACGTCATACGACGACTGGCGATTAAGCTGGGGAGGACGACGGCCCTGTGTAAGCGCAGCCATGCTCCGACGCATTCGCGGGTTCTTTTGGGGCGCGGGTTGGGCAGCGGCCTCTTTCTGCAGGCGACTGCGTCGTTGTGCAAGTGTCTCTTCCTCGAGGGGGGCAGGGACTTCTTGGGCTTCTTTGGGCGCAACTCCAGCCCGGGTGTCAATCTCGGCCATCAGATCGCTAGCAAATTTGCTCTCCGAGCGATTATGTCCCTTCAACCGTTGCAATCGCTCGGCGAGGGTCTCTATCTCTGTCTCGTCCTCGCTCTGGGCGGTTGGCTCGGGAACATGCGCCGGTGGCCCTGGTGCATACACCGTAGCAGGACGTTGCTCCGGGCGCGGGAGTGGTTCGCCCCGAAGCCTGGCACGGCGTGAGCTCAGAGGCTCATTTTCTTCTTGCTGGCGCAGTGCGAGCAACCCCAAAGGTCGGTCGTCATTTTCGGCATTATTGTTTTCGGGGTACAACATAGCCAGAGGAACGTCATCGTCATCATCCCGCCCTTCCCAGGCCAAAGCGACTGGGCGCTGCCGGCGTTTATCGCTTTGCTTTTGGGCACGTTCGTCCATTTCTAACAGAGTGCTCTGCATACCATGGAAAGGCACAGGTACAGCCGTCCGCCGTCGGTGCTTCAACTCATGCTTCCGTAACTCCAATTCGGCGATAAGGGTGTTCGGTGGACCAACATAATCCAACTCTCCTTCTTCCCCATCCTCGTCCTCGTCCTCTTCGTCTTCGTCTTCGTCCTCGTCCTCGGACCGCTCATCACTTTCGGTATCAGTGCCTTCCGACCCACGCTCGTGACCGTGCTCCTCATGATTTCTATCCAAGTCATCCCCCGCTTCCGATCCATGTCGCGAAGTGACGGGCTCCCCATGCTCGTCTACATTATTAGTGCTATAAGGCTGGCCAATCGTGGCTCGCGAAAGACGACTTGTCTTTTGCCCTGTCAGATCTTTTGTCAGGGTCTTGCGTTTTGATTTATTGTAGGCGGACGCGCCTGCATGACCGGCATACGGGTGATCAGTGAAAGCCGAAACGGGCGCATTCGCAGAGGCATCCAAAATGCTATCCAGCGTAGCAACCGCTGAGTCATGCTTAACAGCGACCTGGAGTGATGTACTTGGCTGATCAAAAAACACACTCGCACGGAGGTGTGCTGGCACTGTCGATTTTCGTTTATCGTTCTGGCCATCACGTGGGCCGTTTAGGTCGACATCAGATAGCATGATTGTTGACTTTCTATCCTGAGCGGCGATGGCGCCTACAATCTGTGTACGACGCTTCTCCCGGTCGATGTTTGCTTTGCGCGACAACTTCGGCGGCAGATTCAACATGCGTGGAACAGGGGCGGGATAAAACACCATCTTCTCTCCTGCTTGCGGTTGTTTGTAATGTTGCGGCTTGCGGGCGAGCGGTGGCTGCTCCAAAGAAACCTGCCGACCCTGTTCCGCGAAATGGACGCCATCAAAATCAGTGAACAATGTCCGCGTTTGCTGGTAGGTATCGCCGGACGCGACCGAGGCCCGGCGCTCCAACTCCGCCTCCGCCTCTGCGGGAACTCCTTGCGGAACATATTGGTCGTAATAGTAATCGTTCTTTGTATTGAAAAGAGGTTGCGGTGGTGGTAGATCGGGAAGTGCGGGGAATTCATCCACTTCATGCTTATGGTCATCATGTGCAGGCTCCGAGAGCTGAGCCAGACGCGCCCCTGACACAGAGCGCTGACGGGCGGGAGACACATTCGATCCATGGGCGGAGGAAATTGTCGCTGCTGGAGAGAACGCGCCATTCCGGTGAATGATTGAATTAGACGCGGAACTGACTGAGCGTCGCTTTTGCTCTTGGTCTATGCGACGGATCTCGCTCTCGATGTCCGCGGAGCACGAGCTCAGCTGCTCCGCGCTTTCCTCCAACCGCGTTACATTTCCTTTGTAGGCTCCTTGTATCGATTGCAAATCCGGGGTAGGGTGGCTGAGAGGCACGGGAACCTCGCTGGATGCGCTGCGGATGGGGGTCTCGGGAGAAGAGTGTCGCGCGACAGACGTATTGAGTGGTGGGATTCGGAGGCTATTAGATCGCTCTTCGGGGGAATGACCGGCGTCATAGTCATCGTCCTCCACCATATCGTAGCTGGTAGAAGTCATGGAGCGGATCATCGACCCTAACTGACTGAAGCTGGGGTTTTCTGTGGTTTTGGCAGCTTCTAAATGGCTTCCTCCCCCAATATGATCAGTGTCAAGTGGCAGCTGCTCAAAAGCATGCCCGTGAGCGGGCGAGGGGCTGCGTGATGCAGAAGCGGAAGAAACAGAAGCCACCTCGTGGTCGACTTGAGCGACGGCGTTGTACGCCATAATATAGGTCTTAGTCACCGACTATCCATTCAGACTAGTCCAAATCAATAGTGGATTTCAGGATCAAAGACACTCGAGATAACAGGGATACCTGACAAAGAGATAAAGCCAGACTGGAGTGATATGGGAAAGAAATGATAAATCAGGAAAGTTGGGGATCACTAATTTTGGAAGATTGCCGTCGTACAATAATTTGGCCCTGGAATGCCAGAGATTAATGAGAGTCTTTGATGCTAATTATATCGATGTAATTTCCTCCTAAATCTCCCCGAAACAAGGAATTCAAGCCACTAAGCCATTTAAGGAATCTTTGCGTAGATGTCTTAGACCAGTCAACACGTTCTGAACCCCGAGCCAGACTGATTTGACTCTCCACTCCGTTCTAGAGGTCTTGGCATTTTTTTGTATATCTATATAAGGAGTATTCTGTCTCAAGGAGTATAAGTCTTAGGCAACCCCTTGGAATATGCTAACTGCACTCCCATTTTATTCTCTATCTCGTTGCCTTCCTGCAGGTTTCCCGGTAACATGCATCAAAAGGCAACTCAAATAGGCAATGCCGAGGTGTATGCGTCTGAGCTGAAGTACTTGACAACCCCGGACCAATCAGGCTATGAACAGATATCGCGTTCTCAACTGTTTTTTTTTTCCCATTGGATTGCTTGGCCTTGCTGGGATCTGACTAATAAAACCAAATTGATTCCAGGCCGTGTTCTCGAGACTCGAGATGGTCGCGTGACCTGACCTATGTAGATAGCCGATACCAAACACAATGACCAATGACCTTGCATACACCTCATCTTACACTCATGTCCCTTCTGGGACAGAGCAACAATATATGGTAATACTACGGTCGGCTCAATTTTCTTGAAGCAATTCGGCCCGACGAACACATATTGGGAAATCATATTCCAAATCATCGCCGGCACAGAGTTTCTGTTCTTCTCCTAGAAATGACAGCCAAAAACCTTATATCCTGGTATCAGAGAGTCTAACTGCATTCATACGAGTATACCGAAGATGATAGCAAACGGGTCCACTCGTTCATCCTCAAATTCGGAGATATACTTTGCTGCTGTTTGGCTACGCCGAGGTTTGAGAAGGGAGCCCGCTATCCTCGATACAAAGTGATTACCAGGGAATCCTGGGGGGAGAAGGAGAAGCTAATCTACGCAAAGCCCATGATGATATTCAAGTCGCACTCCAGGAGATGATGGGGGACTTCGACTCTTTTTTCGAATTGGAACATCAGGCTCGGTGGGCCTTCGATGACTATGGCAATTTACTGTATCTGGCCCTGGGGCATTTTTGATGAATGTTCCTGCACCACAGAATCAGGGGCCGGCAGCAGCCATCTTGGAAGAAGTGACTAGCTTGGGTGGTCAAGATCCGAGTACGTTTTACGGCGATGCCCGGTGCTTTGCCCATTAGGGCTGCGAGGACAAGCAGGGATAGGCAGTCCCTGTCTATCCTACTTAATCTCCGACTCGTAGCTCAGACCTCGGAAGCTTTCCAATTAAGGCGATCATCGTTCCCCGGGAAAAATAAGGTTGTTTTTAACCTACCGTTGTTGGCGTCAGGTTAACATATATCAAACAAATAATAACCAAGCTTCTTTTCCACTGAGACAGTATCTATGTTTTTCTCCAATTTTCAATGATGCAGACAAGTTCACACTCTCCAAAAACGGAACCATTCCGGCTTACGTGCTAATCTGCTCAAAACCGACGCAAGGCCGTGACTTGGTCATTCCAACACCTGGCCGTGTATATAAAGACCAGATCGCCTGTTCTAACGTAAACCCTGGCGGAGGAAATCATTCCTTTCATGACAGTAAGCAGAGCCATTCATCATGCCTAACAGTAGCGAAACCACAAATGATGTGCTTGGTATGACCCTCACTTCCAGTATACATTCCACATATTAAAGGATTGAATGTCTAGAATCTCAAGGCAAATCCGCCCCTCTCCGCGTGGGCGTAGTGCTATTCCCAGGCTTCCAAGCCCTGGATGTATTCGGCCCGTTAGACTGCATCAATGTCCTCTCATGGACCCACGGCATGACGTTAGCACTCGTAGCCTCAACTTTAGAGCCAGTGACAACGAAGTCGCCGATATCCGCCAACGCCATAGGCCAAAGCGTGGTGCCGACCCACACATTTGCAACAGCACCGTCTCTGGATCTGCTTTTTGTCCCTGGTGGCTTGGGCACGCGCGTCTCGAGCCCAGCAATTGAAGAAGCAATAGTATACATCCGGAATGTATATCCCCAGCTGAGCTATCTCATTACAGTGTGTACTGGTGCAGGGCTTGCAGCGAGAGCTGGGGTTTTGGATGGGAGACGAGCTACGACGAATAAGATGGCCTGGGCCGAGATTACGGGTCTGGGGGTGAATGTTGATTGGGTTCCTCGTGCGAGATGGGTCGTTGATGGTAATGTTTGGTCTTCTTCTGGGGTTAGTGCTGGCATTGATGTTACTCTTGCTTGGATTGAAGCGGTCTATGGGAGCGAGTTGGCAAGGACGATATCGAATAGCATGGAATACACTCGGCATGAGGACCCTAACCACGATCCGTTTGCTGAACTGCATGGGCTTTGAGTCGTCTACCATGATTCTGCATGTTTGGGTGTTTGCATATTTGATATCCATGTCTAGAGTGTTTTCACTTTTTTTTAGGAATTTGATGGGGGAAAAAGTCTAGAGCATTGTGGTAATATATATTAAGTTGACTTTTTTTAGTGCCCGAAGCCTAAAAGTTTTTGTTGGCCATCTACATGCCCAACTCATTAGCTTGTGTCTTGTGCCATTATCTGTCTCCTCGGGTTGGAAATGCAGATTAATCGAAGCTATCTTGTCATGCGGGAAGAACCATCGCATCGGATCCAATAAATCTGTGCTATTCTCCACCGGATGAGCTCACCCTACATGATCGCAGTTGACGGTCTCAACTTCTGCAGTAGGCATCTACTGATATCGACAGGATCATTGAACATAGTAGGTATACCGAAACTAGTTGAGGCCCAATGAATGGAGCGCTGCATGTATGTCAACTTTTCTGATGCCGCCGAGTCAATATCTGTCGATGAATTTAGCGACAAAATTATACTCAAATACAAATACCACGCCGAGGCGCTGTGGCGTGCATGCGTCCATGTGTGCAGTATCACGTAGGGTAGGTACATATGTGATATCTTATGCCTGGGTTTAGCGAGTGACCCTGAAATTCCAAGCTCTGGACCGACACGCAAGATTGCATTGGCTTTCTTGACCTTAAAATGCTTTCCTCGATGTTTTAGATTGTTAGAAAATAATTGGCTTGGGTATAACAGGCTATCGCAGAGTATGAGACACATATCGGGAGGTGACGACTTGAAAGTGCTACATGACCTAGCTAAGAAATCAAAATATGTTTCCTGATCTGCCAGGTCGTAGTCTATTTGTTAGCCATTGGACAGAAAAGAAATGGAGATCCCTAAGGCTCATAACTTTCAAAAGTTGTAGTGGATGGCATCGGTTTCTCCACCAATTTCCCATTTCGCGGGTAACACGTGACCGCGCGCCGTTATCGACGCGCCTCAACCTCACAACTTTTGCGATCAACAGAATGAATATTCTGACGTGTCATCATGTCTTACTATGATATTGACTCCATTTTGACTGATGCGCAGGTGAGTTGATTGCGACCACGTGCCTTCACCATCAACTCGCAGAAATGAACAATTGCTAACATCGTTGGATCCAGAAACTGCCGTGTACATTTGAGCTCGAAGTACCCGGACTCGGTATTCTAGAGGGCAATGCCGGTGAAGATGTTAGTTTATGCCCTATTTTTCACCACCCGGCTACACAGCTTGCTGATCCCTGCATAGATCAAAGCCGGAACCCGGATCGATCTTCCACTATGGCTAGGTGAAATGCTCTCGATCGGGTAAGGTCCTACCCAGTTTAGTCTACTCAGAAGACCAGACATGGAATTTGTCATTTTCCTAACGTACTATATGTGGCTGTTACAGAGCACGTCTAGGAACGTCCCGTCTAGTCACGCTCGACATGCCCGAGGCACTTTCGGAGCGAGTTATGAATGCGCTGAAGGCAGATCCCCGCACGCTTGACTTGCGCGCGTTAGCACCGCATTTCTACAACCTGAGCGAACGGATTCTTGAAATCTTCGAGGAAGAAGAGATGGTCGATGTTCTCGGAGATGTAGGTGGCTCTGATCTACGCATCTGAAAACAGTTTATGGGCCGATCTGGGACTAACAAGCTGTCAGGCATTCAAGAAACGAGCGGCAGAGATCGCTGACCACGCGCACAATTCACGTGGTGCAGTTGGTGGCGGTGTTGATTTCCTTCGTGGGCTGGATGAGACTGAGCGACAATGTAGGTTATGACTGTCACTGTTTTGGATATCTACGAATATGGGTAGAGGATAAGGTTACTAACAGATCTGGTTCGATAGTGTTCCGCGCTGCTCATGATCGAGCCAAGGAGATGCGGATCTGGTCTGGCGAGGCGAAACGTAAGTAATAGTCCATTGTGACGAGGCATTTCTCGTGGGCTTTGAGCTGCGCTCGCTCATGAAAGTTACGATACATTTTATGCGACAATATGATTCTTCAATCCGATAGGCTGCGTGTGACGTAGCACAGGATTTTGACTAGGTCTGACTTTATTTTATTCTTGTATAAACGTACTCCGTATTTCGAGACTATTGAAATGCAATTTAGACGAAGGATAAGAGATAATTAAAGTGCTATAGATGAATCTGTCAAATCTGACAGGTGTGAGATCCGATGGATATGCCCTGGTGGAGACATACGATCTGGATCCATGGAAATGGAATGTTGATATATCAACTCTTTTTGGATTGGCCATTTTTATACATTGGCCATTTTTAGGTTAAGTCTTATTATATTGTATTTATATTTATATTAATATTAGATAAATATTGATTCAACCAAGTCAATCTATATAGGGATACATTCATTTCTCATCGCAATCTACCAAATCAAACCCCAAATGGGGAAGTAAATCTGTAACACTTATGAAGTCACTCATGTTCAGGAGAAACCCCGCGTAAGGACCAAAGTGAGACTGCCCCACGGCCCCGATCCGATTGGTGTGATGAATGTCAAGGAACAGAGCGAGTTAGCGTTGATAGCGAATTGATCGTCGTGCTAAGGAGCCTATTGAATCTAGCCTCGAGGGGGCTGGAAAAAAAGAGGAAAAGAACATAATACTCCGTAGTAACTAACATCTTTGACATTCAATCATTTTCGGATGTTTCTTCCATTCTTCGATTCTTCCATTCCTTACCTCTCATGACAACTGTCCCTACTTCATCAAAACAAATAACATCTACATAAGTGGGGCCTGTAACTGCACCCTTTTTTTTCCCCTTCCTTTTTGGAGACTCATCACAATTCGTTTGCGACATCACCCTCGCTTCGTTTGACTTGTCCTGGTCCCGCCTTCTCCTCCCTTGACTCTTGGGTTTGGAAATTGGGACACCCCTCTATGCCTTGATTCGGGTCTATTGACTCTACAAACCTACCTTGCACTCCACAGGTTCGACCTACCCGGCCTCTGATTGCTCCCCACCTACAACACATCTGCATCCCTCGCATCGCGGCTGCGTGTTACCCACCACTATCCAACCGCCTATCCAATCGACATCAATTTACCTGGATCCATCCATTAATCCTCCGATGCGGCTGGTGGATTGTGCAGGAAACTGTTACCGTGGTGTCCCCTGATTGACTAGAATATTGCTGTGTTGCATCCAAACAGGGAAACTGGGGGCTTTTTTACGGCACGTCAATTATGCGCATTCGGTAAACATTATGCCGGCAGCCATTATGGATGAGAAAACCCACAGAAGGAGTTCGGCCGCAGGTCCGCCTGCTCCTTCGCACCCCGTATATCATCCCAGGACTGCACCCAAACGCAGCGTTTCCACCAAAGACCACTCCTCTAGTACGTGATCTTGGAACCTGCACCGGCCTTGATTGAGTTTCAAAACTCAAAGTTGATTAATTAAAGCTGACATTGCTTCTTTCTCAAGAGTTGTCAGAGCGTCCTCAGCACCCATCACTTTCCCGCGTCAAGGGTCGATCCAATATGTTTACTCCGCCTCGAATGAGTGCAGAGGTCTCGTGGTTGAGAGACCAGTCACCTATTCATCATGGCACAAGGACACCAGTCCGCTCATCTGGTATGTCTTCCCATTACCAGCAACGTTGGGTGGCTCTAGAGTACAAGTGACTGATGATTTGTGGCCTAGATACTCCAGAACCCAGCACCCCTACACTGGTAAACCCTGCCTCGGCTCTGCTACAGGGGCTACTGAAAGAAGAACGCGCACACCGAAGCTCCCGTGGAACCATATCGGAGGATTATAAAGAAAATACTCCTCAAACCCCCGAGACCACGCGGAACCAGGATGATACCGCGTCAGAAAAAGCACGCAAAGCGAATGACGTCTTCTCTGCTGGCCAGAGAAAACCGAAAGAAATGGGGATGCGGGAAATGGACCAAGTGAGTTCAGAGTACGGAATGACCATATGCAATAGCTGACTCGTTTAAAGTATGTCTCGAAAATGAACAAGCTCAATTTCGATTTGAAGCTCGAGGTCTTCCACCGCACGCAGCAGATGGCTATCCTTGAAAAGAAGCTGGAACGGATGGTGGAGATGGAAGAACAATTGGCGCACATGGACGATTTGGTAGCAGAAGTGGAGGAGCTCCGAACTACCGAGAAAGACAACCAGATCCTACGTGAATCCAACGAGCAACTCCGTATTGACCTCGATAAGCGAGACCTGGCTGTTACCGAAGCCGTCGAGCTTATCTGCCAATTGGAATCGAAACTTGACATGCTGGAGAATGGCGGCAGGGCCTCCAGGCAGTCAATGTCACGCCCTATGACCGCCGATGGCTCCGAAGCCTTTGCACCACAATCCCGGGCCATGATTGAAATCCCAGAGAGAACCTCTTCCAAGCGAAATTCAGGTGTCTTGAGCGTAGCTCAGCGCCAGACATCTTCTGAGCTACGCAAGCTCTCGAAAGCGCCCTCCTTCCTACGCGCGGATAACAAAAGTACTGCCACTTTGCGAAGCCTTTATGCTCCTGAAGAAGAAACTCAGTCACGCTCTGCAAGGACTGAACTTTCGAAATCGGAGAGCTTCCACACGACCACCGAGGTTATGGAGCCCGAGTCTCCCAGATTGAGCGTCCTAAGCGAATGTAGTGAGCTGAATCCGTTCGACACGCCTACGAGGTGGGAAGACTTTGAACAACTCGAGATCCCTGTTCGGAGATCGTTGTCGACCTCAGGCAGCTTGGATAGCTATGTTCCACCGAGTGGGCGGGAAGAAAGTAAAGAAGACCAGATTGATCGGTGGATTCGGTCCCGCGAAGAAGTAAACCAGACTATCATCACGAGACGCCGAAACCGAGCATCATCTGATGCCACTAAGGCTAGCATCCCCAGCTTTACACCAGACTTGTATGCTCCCAAGCCACGTGGACGCGGACGTCTGGATGCATCTCTCTTCGGAGGCGTCAGGCTTCCTCCCACTCCTGATACTATGAGCACGGCATATGCTACCGGTGCAAACCGATCGGACGGGTCAAATAGGTCGCATAGGAGCATTACAGCCCGAACGAGCTCACAGACCGAGCAAGATTTGTTTTTCCCTGGCAGGCGGGTTAATCGCCCGCGTTCTGCGGAAGAAATGGCGAGTCGCTACAGCTTCAATGGCAGTGAGGTTGACGACAGCATGGAAACCAACTGCAGTGATACTCCGCGCCTAGGAGTCACAGCTCACGAGTCGCGCACTATCTTGCCCTCCTTCAGCACTGTTTCCTCTAAAGCCAGTGCGCTTCTTGGGCCCGGAAGCCCCAACAACCCTGCTATTGAGACCTTTGGAGATAGATACCACACAAATGCCAACCAAGCATCAACCCCAACAATTAAACGTGTCCGTAGCCCAACTAAGGCTATGACTCCGGAGCCGCGCACCAATGATCGCGACTCTTCATCGCCACTCACACCTCAAGACTGGGTTGCCGCTGCAAAGCAGGGTCCACGGTCTCGCAAGCCCAAGCCGCGTGAGACCCGCCACGAAGTTCAACAGACAGAAATGTCACCACGCACTGTCATCAGTCCAGCTACATTCCATGATGATAGTAGCATTGCTTCGGATCCAACCGAGCCCGAGGTCACTGGTATCCCAACTCTTGACATGACCACTCTGGACATCCTTGAACAACCCCTCGACCTCGCCCAGTCGAAGCCCAAGCCCGAAGCCAACCCCGAGCCCCGTCGACGCCTCAGCTTCATACCCCCATTCTTCAACCGCTCAGCCAACAACCCCCGTCGACTACAAGGCTCCCCGACTCCAAACGATTTCGAAGACGACGATGAAGACGGCGCCCCATCCCCGGTAATCCCCAAAACCAGGACAATGGGCGGCGCCTCCCGAAGACCCAGGTCCCAAATCATCACCGCCCCAACTGACCTATACTCCTCCAACCCCCCAATCCACAATGATGAATCGCTCTCAGCCTTTAGACCGCGAGGAGTTCCGCAATCCTTGACAATGTCAACACTTGCCGACCAACCCGGCTCTGCAACAGTCTCAGGACGCCCCTCCACATCTCATGGCATTGACGTTGAACACAAGCGGCGCAGCTCACTGGGCATCTTCGGCTGGATGAAGAGTAAACGCTCTGATTCAGTGTCTATTCCGGGGACAGAGAAATCCAATGACTCTACGCAAAAAGAGAACCGCGCTCCCTCGCGTCTAGCCTACGAAACTACTCATGGACTTGGGATCCCCCGTGGCGACACGCCGGACTCAATGGAGGCCCATGTCAGACCTCACTCTGAGATGGCTGTTTATGCTGATGACTATGCGAGACGGCCTCGGTATGTGGGTCGTCGTGCCCGCAGGGGCTGAGCTGCTCCAGAAACAGTCATTGATTGATGCCTTACTCCGCTTTCTTTATTTTCTTTACTTCATCTCTCTTTGCCTTCATCCTGCTCCTTCTCCCTTTTGTACTATATGATACCCAGCCCTGTATATACAGTAGCATGGCTACATTGTTTTTGCTCTTATTGTTCACTTCCCAGAAACACCTGGAGCGCATTGGTGTCTTATGATCTCTCCGCATTTCACTTTGTTTTTCCTATCCTGATGTATGCGATTCACGACTTAAGGCTTTTGCATTTTTGTCAGTTTTTGATATCCATCCTGCTGGCAGGGTTAATCCAAAATGTGTTACATCGTCCAATATTCTATCTTACAAATTCATGGTTGTACCAAAAGTAAGCACGGTGTGAAGTTATCCGAATGTATGCATCTAGGTATTGTGTTATCAGCGAGACTACCAACTGATACAAACGCAGTGGGCACAAAACCTATCCCACCTCCTTCACCCGTATGTTCATCATGTCTTGGATAGTCCTCACCGACTCCAAGACCCCGACTCTCGCGGGACAAACCAATTGTTCTCATCACTGCTGTTGAGATGGATCACTTAAGAGGTGAAACATTTGAAGCTTTCGATAACCAGCTTACGAACCTCTGTTTTGCGCTCCAGACGCGACAATAAGAGTACCATATACATAAGGGTTCCCCTCCTAGTAGATATTAGTAATGCATCAATCAATCAGGAAAATCGGAGTCTCATCTTACAATGTGTGTCTTGGTAATGTGGCGACGGAGGTTTGAAGCCATCAGCCTAGTCCGTCCGAGCTTGTTGAACTCGTCGCAGTAGGGACATCTGAATGCACAGGAAGCAATCGTCTAAATAATGCAATATGCGTTAGTTCCGAACATAGGAAGGGTTGTCGGTTTGGAATAGAATACGCACCAGTTCGGCATGATCGAGAGGCCACTGCCACACGCCGTGGTTTGGGCAACTGCAAAGAAATTTGTTGGGGGACCTGATATAGTACAGTCGTCAGCTAGGATGAATGGGTGAAATGATCTCGAAACTTACGCGAAAGTCTGGGGATAGGTAAAACCATATGCTCTCCAGTGGCTGCCATATGGCGTGAGGCCAGTTCCAGTTCCAGTGCCAGTCCCAGTGCTAGTTCCAGTGCTAGTGCTAGTGTCGGTGTCAGTGACAGTACTAGGATCAGGGCCAGGGTCGGGGTTGTCCCCAGTGTTGGGAGTTTGGGAAGTGGACATCACGATGGATATCGTTGGTGCGAGTTTGGTAAGTTGGGTGGATGTGGTGGTAGAAGAGACCAGGAGAGGAAGTAGGGGAAGAAGAGGAAGGAGAGAGGATATATCGCACACGAAGAGCCAGGCAGCAGGACTGTCAATGGACGTGATGTGTTATTCAATGTAGCATTGATGCGCGTGAATGAAGCACGTATCGTGCAAGAAGGAGCCTAGCGCGATTGCAAACAGACTGACGAGGTCTGAATTGAGCTCTATAGTTGATATCCATGCCTAGAATGTGTTAGTTTTGGACAGCCTACTTAGAGCAAAAGCACAGCTTGCAATATCACTCAAATGCATAATATCAATATCAAATTCAGACAACTCCAAGCTCCAAATCATTTTGTTCCCAACTCCAGGCTTTTTTAACTTGCCAAAACGCCCAAACAGACATGATATACAGTCAACCGAAGTATCCAAAATGAAAAGAATGCCCTCTCTATCGAATAAATCTCAGCCCAAAGCCTAATACCACCGATTCCCATCCTCCCCAAGCGTCTTCTTCTTCGGATTCAGTGAAACAACCCGTTGACCAGGAAGCGTATCCGCCGTAAAAGCCGCCTCAAAGATACTCGCAATGCCACGCTTAGCATAATGCCTAAAAGAATCGTAATCGTCCGTCTTCCCATTAATAGCCTCCCACTCAATACCACCAGGCGTAGTCCCATCCCCAAGATCACTCCACCGCGTAACAACAATAGACTGCTTGAACCTGCGATCCTCCAGATCCTCACTCAGCTTAACCTCAATGAGATACTCAGTCGGACACTCAGGACATCTCCGCATCGGCCGACAAAACCCACACAGTATCGTCAGCGCATTCGGATCAAACACCTGCCCCGCAATCCGGTCTTTCACCCGATTCTCAAGCCCCTGCAACCCGCCAGAGCTCCGCGGCCGCGGGATATGCTCCAGCGCACACTTACACGCCGGCATCAGCTCGCCGTCCCGCCAGTGCGCGCACGCGCTAAAGTACGGACAGTAGTCGTCGCGCGAGTACAGAAGCATACGCTGCGCGGATGGCGTGAGAGCCGGCGCCGCGAAGGTCTGGCTGGTGACGCGCATTAGGAGCCGTCCTGCGTGGATGTGGAAGCGCGATGTGTGCGACCAGTTATCGCGCTGCCAGCGTCGGCCGAGCGTGTCGGGGGCTAGTCCATAGCTGGGACCGAAGCGGTGGGCGCGCATGGCTAGTTGCACGAATGAGAAGGGGAGGTTGCGGCCGTGAGTTATGCGGTGGCGGGGTGGGGGTTTGACGGCGTTTGTTGAGTTTGGGCAGTTGAAGAGCGGGTTTAGGACGTGGGTTGGGCGGATGCGTTCTGTTCCTTCTTGGGTGCGTCTGTGGTATTGGACGCAGGGGAAGCAGAGGAGGTGGTGCGGGAGGGAGATGTCTAGGCCGGAGAGGAAGTTGATTTTGTGGGTGTGGTTGTCGGGGTGGTCTAGAGCCATGAGGTATCTTGGGCCTAGTCTTCGGTATAATGTGATGCTGGCGATTGCTAAGCTTGCTGCTTCGGTTGGATCCAGGTATCCTGCTATTTGTGCCCATAGCTTAGGTGTGAGACTTGCTATGTCGCCCTCGCCTGGGGGGCGGTGTTCATTGTCCCCGTAGTTTGCGGCAGTGGTATCGTTGACGTCGAGTGTGCCTATCGCATGGATGATTTCCGTGTAATCCCTTCGTTCACCCAGTTGTGAGTCTACTTGCGCGTGCAATTCCCTGTATTTGAGTCTATGGGCATGCAATGGAGCTAGCTCTGGCATTGGAGGGGCTTCCTCGACACTGGGGCGCGCGGCCAGCCGCAGGTCTGTGGTCGATCTGCTGCCTTTGCGGAGGGTTTGGCGGGATTTCTTAGAACGCAATGCATTAGAGAGAAATGACTTGAAGCCATTCTTCTGGCCAGGACTTTCTGCCGACATAATGGAGTTGCCAAAGGATGTAAGTGTTCGAGGCCCTGATGGAGAATATCAGGGTCTCGTGTTTCGGATGCTTGCGGTGATCCGCATTACGCGGTCCGCCCGGTCCGGTCAACCACATTGGTTTATATTCGAGAGGAACAAGTAATTGCCAAATAAAGATGATCTTATAGTGTCAAATAATTGATAATATTGAAAAACACATGCTACAATACAGGGGTAATTAAGCGCAAGATATCATAGCAGCATTTACAGATCAAATAGGAATTATTTAAGTGAAGCGCTTCTCAGCTGCCTTCCAGTTGATGACATCCCAGATGGCGGAGAAGTACTCGACCTTGCGGTTCTGGTATTGGAGGCTAGAAAAACGATTAGTATAGGCAACGGATCATCAAGACGGGAATTCTTACTAGTAAGCGTGCTCCCAAGCGTCAATACCGAGCAGAGGCTCGAACTGGCCGACGACGGGGTCCTGGTTCTGGTAAGGGGTTAGTAACTAGAACGGTTCATATCAAAAGCGAGGAATCGCCAGTCATCACTTACGGCGTAGGTGCGGATGCCGATCTGGCCGGTCTGCTTGTCCTTCACGAGCCAAGCCCAGCCACTGCCCTGGATGCTAGCCAAAGCAGCGTTCATCTTGGTCTGGAACTCGCCGAGGCCACCGTAGGTGGAGTCAATGGCCTTGGCCAGAGCACCAGAGGGGGGCTCACCACCGCCGGCACTCTTGGGGGCAAGGTTCTCCCAGAAGAGGGTGTGGTTAAGGTGGCCACCACCGTGGAAGTTGACAGCGGGCTTGAGAGCGATCTGAGCGGCGATGTCGCCCTTAGCCTGGGCCTCCTGCAGCTGCTCAAGGGCGTTGTTGTAGCTGGTCACATAGGTGTTGTGGTGGTTCTTGTGGTGAAGCTCCATGATCTTGCCGGAAATGGAGGGCTCCAGGGCGCCATAGTCGTCTTATTTTAGAGGTTAGTCTAAGAGTTTTTACTCCAAACATGTAGATACGGCTTCTCTAAAGCCCTAGTGGGTACTCAAACACCCAACTTACAGGAAAGGTCGGGGAGGGTGGCCTTGCCGCGGGCAAAGGTCAAGCCCGCGGCTCCGGCCTTGGAGGTAGCCGAAGCTCCCGAGCGAAGGGCAACGCGGGCTGAGTTGCTAAGAAGAGCAGCCATTGTGAATGTATGTGTTGAGAATGAATACGCGGTGAAAAAGAATAAAGAGTGCACCAATTCTGAGAGATGAATGAACTCAAAAGAAAAAAAGTGGCAGCCGAGCTATGAAGTAACCGACCCTAACGTCATCTTGTTTTCGTCGGTCCGGAGTTCGGTTATTCCGCTCCGGATCCCCACGTGAATTTCATGAGCTCTCAACTGCGACTCGTTCTTCCAGGACACAATTTGCTTACTTTGACTATTTTGCTGAAAATAGAGGGGACAGTTGATTTGGCCACGATCTGCCGATGAACCCCTGAAAAGATGGCGTCGCCTTCGTTTTCTGGCCAGAAGCGCAAGGTCGCTGACATGAGCTCTGATGAAGAGAACACACCCCCGACCACCGGCTTTCGGGGGTTTGCCAGAGCTGCCTCTGGCTCTGTGACGCCTCCCACTATGGGTGGACTAGGTAACGGTGCTCACACAAACCGAAACACCATGGCCAACCCTCGAGGTGGAGGATCGTCGCGAGGTGGGAAAGGCATGGGAGGTGGCGGGGGAGGGGGAGGACCCAACAGTTTTGCCGCGCGCATGATGGCAAAGATGGGCTACAGGGAAGGACAAGGTCTTGGAACTACTGGCCAGGGTATCGTCAACCCGATTGAGGTACAGGCGCGACCCCAGGGTGCAGGCTTGGGCGCAGTGAGCGAGAAATCAAAAAAGACTCGCGAAGAAGAGCGACGAGCAGCTGCACAGAAGGGCGAGATTCTCGAAGACAGCTCCGAGGATGAACGGCAGCGGCGGCGAAAGAAGAAGGAGGAGCGCAAGACACAAGGGCGGAGCGGCACAGGTACACCGATCCAACGTGCGAAGCCCAAATTCCGCACAGCGCGCGAAATTGAGGATGATATGGAAGGACTGGAAGTTCCCAATGTTCTCAAATCACTCGTCGATGCCACTGGAAAAGAGCAGCGTGTTCTCACTTCGACCGCTGGGTTGATGTCGACACAACAATTCGTCAGCCAAGAGGAAGGAGAAGCATTAAAGATTGCCCAGCGAGCTCGGAATGACCTGGAAGCATTTGCGGATGAATGGAAGGGGTTGAAAGAGAGAAAACAATACATCGAACTTGAAGAGGCTCAGGTCGTGGACGAACTGGATGCATATCAATCCCGGATCAACCATCTCACAGGCCTTATCGCCGCAGTGGAAGAATTAGACCTCTTTGAAAACGACGAAAGCATCACGACCAAATTTGATGAGTTGACGAACAAGCTTGAAGATATAGAATCCAAATATCGAGATGCTGTTGATGAGCACCGACTCCCAGAGACCGCAGTCGCAGCTCTACATCCGCTATTCCGCCAGGCCATGGAGGAATGGGAGCCTCTTCAAGATCCCACGTTCCTCGTGTCTAATCTCACACGCCTTCAGCCTCTCCTGTCTCGCACCAACGCGTTAGAAGAGCCCCGGAAACGGGCATCCACTTCACCTTACGAAACGATGATCTATACCCTCTGGCTCCCACGAGTGCGCTCAGCACTTCTGAATGATTGGGACGTTTACGACCCTTCTAAGGCAACCGCGCTGGTCGTGGCCTGGAAGGCGATTGTACCGCCATTTGTGTATGCAAACGTTCTCGACCAATTGGTCATTCCCAAGGTGGGCCTGGCCCTTAAAAACTGGAAACCTCGAGCTAGTCGACGACACGCCGGCTCCGAGCAAGATGGAAAGTTCCCCTGGTGGCTCTTCACTTGGCTTCAATACCTGGATGAACGACACACAAACCCGAAACAGCCCAGTGGTCTCATGTCTGATGCGAAGAGAAAGTTCCGCTCGGTACTCGATACATGGAGTCTGCGCAAGGGTCTGGTCGATCGCGTTGAGATCTGGCGGGATGCCCTAGGATCC